CGCACCTGGCCCGAAATTGATTATGTAAATAGAAAATAAATAGAAATGAAAATGCTAATGATGCTGGCGATGGATTGCCAAAAAAAAACTCCAAAAAAAACCAAATGCACGCACATGGGCGTTGTCTGCGATTGTCTCTTTGCCACGCCCAGTTTGAATTTAAAAAATAATTAAACCTAAAACAAAACCCCCTCGAATAGGCGAGGCTTCAGCTTGGATCCACAAAGTGATCAGCAGGAGCTCCTTCATAATCACTACTATCATGCCAGTGAGCCGGTCAAGGAGCCGGGTTTGGGTTTGATCCATCAGGATCAGGATCAGGATCAGGATCAGGATCATCAGCAGCATCAGGAGCAGCAGCATCATCATCATCATCACCAGCTGCATCATCATGTTCCCCTGACCGCCGCTGGTCTGATGCAGGCCGTTGCCGCAGAGATCCAGTTGGGGGAACAGCAGGAGCAACTTCCACCACAACACTCTAATCCTTCCGAGAATAGTGCCTATCCCATCTATAGTTATTATCGAAGTGAGGATGATAAGGAGAGTCATGATTCGCCAGGCGATATTGCTTGGAGGTAAGTCTCCAAATGGGACAAGGATCACATCAGGATCCGAAAACGGAAATGGGTTTTAAAAAGGAAACGAACTTGGGTGTTATTTATAAGGAATTTATTAATCAATGTATAAATTCCTAATCATTGATATTATAAACTATCAGCCTACTAATTTATAATCTTCTTAAAAGGTTACTTAAAGATCAAGCTTAGGGAGTTTATATTAAAGATTTATCTATAGTTAAAAGAAACTAAGATAATTACTTTAGTTTACTTTTTCCTATAAATTTGAATTAAAAGACTTTCTTTATAAATTTATTTTAACTTGGCAAGGTTAACTTTAACCTTTAGAAGAATTCTTAAACGTGTTTCGAACTAAAGCAAGAATTTATGCTCTTTAAATATATATTATTACAAATGACAATAAAGAAAACTATTTTCGGTATGACGAAGATTATATTCACTATCAGTTTGCAATTAAATTAAAGTATTAAATCAGAAATCAATCATAACTAAGCTTAGAATATTCGGATTTGAATCGATATTTATTTATATTTTTATATGACAAATTTGTCGAAAATTCAAAGTTTAAAAAACTCATAACTAAGCCAAAAATTGATTAATTTCAATTCGGAAAGCGTTCCTATGCTAGTTTTTGGTTGATTAATAAATCTGCATACTTAATTTAAAATGTAAAAAAAATTATTTTTTTAACATTTTTTTTTTAAATTTAATCCTCATAAAATTAAGAAAAAATAAAAAAAAAATATTTTCTTCCAAACACGGCTAGATCGACTCGGATTTCGATTCTGATCAAGAATATATATGATTTATAGGGTCGGAAATGGCTCCTTCATCAAGAATATCTTAAATATGTCCATTATAAGGACTTCAGATCCATATTTCGATAAGATATTTTTTTGGGAAAATCGCACTTTTCCAAATATCATAACTTAGCCAAAAATGCATTGATTTCAATTCGGAAAGCGTTCCTATGCTAGGTTTTATTAGCTTAATAAATCTGCACACTCAATTTGAAATGTTAAAAAATTCATTTCTTTAACCTTTTTTTATATTTTTCCCGCTCATAAAATGTTGAAAAAATATACAAAAATTATTTTCTTTCAAACATGCCTAGATCGATTCGTCTTTTTATGCTGATCAAGAATATATATGATTTATAGGGTCAGAAATGACTCCTTCACTGCGTTACAAGCTTCTGACTAAAATTATAATACTCAGTAAGGGCATTAAAAAGGATTCTGTTTTTTAGTTTATGCTTGTTTAAATTTAACCCGTACCTTTTCTAACCCCTAGTAAACAAACTCTAAACACCACTCAAAATATTTCATAACTCCTCATCATCGTAAACTTGAAAACATTTTCATTTTCTTCCGAATTTTTCTGTTGGGGATCTAGAAAATGCTGTGTACTCCAGCACTTCGTGGAAATCCGCGAAAAACGTGGCCAGGGTTTGGGTTTGGTTTAATCTCTTTGGGGGGGTTATGAAACCCCACACGGAACACTTTGTCTGCTTTTATGGAGCCGTGATGAAACCGAACCGTAACCGTAGTTCGGGGGCCTGGAAAAGGTCGCGCGTCTCGGCACTTGGCTTAGAAACACAATTAAAAGCCGGGCCGAAAGAGAGATATGGACAGCACTTGGGGCATCTAATAAATGTGTGCTGCTCGTTCTCGCCTTCCCCATATCCGCTACGTGATTTACACGACCTGACCCTAAAAGCGGAGTAAGCCCGCCACATATATGTTATATATCGCATTACGAAAAAATGTTATAACGTCGTCGCAGAGTCCGAATCAGAGTGTCATTTTTAATAGCGAAAATGTTCTGCAGAACATAAAAACAAAAACATTTTTTCGTACCCATGTCGATGTCCGTTTTTTGTTTTTTGTTGTGTGTAGAGAACAGCAAAGGCTGAGAGAAGCCAGAAAACAACTTCGGGTGAAACCGGGACACCGGGCACGAGGGAGACAAGTGCCACAAAATGGGGCAAGCGATCGCAATCGCAATCTCCACGACCAACGTTGTCAACTTGAGCAATGCCAAAAAAAAAAGCAGCTAAATTTGGAAAAAGAAAGCCGAAGTTCTTATACACTTTTTATAGGTATTTAAAGAAAACGAATCAATTCTAGTAAGGACTTGACAGGACTTTTGATGCGTAATATAGCTCTTTTAATTAAATGCAGTCTGGTCACACTCTGTGCTGCAATAATACAAGGACTTTTTGTGTGTTATAGCTTTTAATGTTACCAAATCAAAAGAATTTAGTTAAATCATCTTAAATTTTGTTGCAAATATTTATTAAAATATTTAAACAGCTTTTGTTAGGGTATAAATAAAGCCCAAAACGAACCGTAACTGAAAAAGAGAGGAAAAGAACCGAATGGAAATAAGTAGACAGCGCCGAAATCGCTTGCAACAGCTGCTAACGGAAGAACTGACAGCGGACACAACGCACACACAAACACACTAACACACACACATATATATACACCTTTGCAGCTTTTCTATATCTATGTGAGACCAAAAGGTGTGGCGCAATTTTATGAAACTCTTGGAATTTTGCATATATGCAATCAATATCTACGAACAAATGAAGACAAATTGCCCAAGAAAACTTGCTGAAAATTGGGCGATATCTGATGGATTCTTAGAGTTATGTTTAATAAAAGAGATATTAAGGCAAAAATTTATATAGAAAATATTTAAAAAATGTTAATGATTGGAGTTTTCACTTAAAAAATAATTAAAATAGGAAAAATGTGATAAACAACATGGCAAAGTAAGTATTATACGAAAGAAAGTACAAACCTAAAAGACCTTATAACCAAATGGAAATAATCCTTAAATATTCTTTATAAAGTTATGGCTTCTTTAAATCTTAAATCTATCTAAATAAACGATATAATTAATGGAAGATCAGAAGTCAAGAATTGTATAATCAAAACAAAAGCAGAATAATCAATCAAAGATAAACCAGTTTTAGGCCCAGAACCCAAAACAAGATAAGCATAAACAAAATGTCTTTGCAAATCAGATCAAGTCTCTAAAACCTTTATAAGGGAATGAAAATGAAGCTATATATAGATTATAAAATGTACTATAATTAAGAGATTTTATATAGAGAAATATTGATTATAATAATATTTATGAAGAACCCTAAAGAACATGCTGTTTACAACCATTATGCATGCTTTTATGAATATGTTTTCTTTTCAAAAAGATATATTCCCTTGTATTTCTTTAGACAATTTACCCAAAATGTTGGTTGTCCTTTTTTTGTTATTTTTATTTTGCTTGGTCAAAGGGCGGGGTTTCCCTCAAAGAGCTTTAATTGTGTTTGTCTGAAGACTTGGTGGAAATAAATCCACAATCAGATCCGGTTTTCCAGCTGCCAGGACAACTGCGAGTTCCTTCCTTCTTTCCTTTTTGCTCCTTTCGATGACCTTGGTGCTGGGTCTCCTGTTCCTGTTGGAAAAATCCAAAAAGTTATCCATTTTCGATTATCACCGAATGGAAGACAGGCATCATCGCCAACTAATTTATGACTCTTCCTAGAGTCGATGGAGCGATAAGCTCCTATCGAAGGGGCAAAACTCTCGGGGATGCCGCTAATTCTGAGTCTTTCCTCTATATATATGTATTTGTTGTTGTTTTTCTCCGTTTCTGTTTTTTGTTTATTTTTACTCGCATTTGTTGCCAACTCGACTGGACTGGAAGCTGGCCAAAAGTCGTTGTTGTTGTTGTAGTTCTTGTTGGTGTTGTTGTTGGTGTAGTTGTTGTGGTTGTTGTTGTTATTGTTGTCTTGCGTCTGGTTTTAATTTTTTCTGTTTTTGTTGCTGGCACTTGCTGGCGGCTGCAGTCTGGATTCTGGTTTATAGTGGCTGGTTTCTGCTCCCATTTGGGCGGTCATCCAGGTTTTTCGTGAGCACAGCGCACAGGTGTCTCCGGCCTGGGTTTTGGTTTGTTTGTGGTGCTACCCGTTCTCTCCCTGGTTCTCCCAGTCTCCACAGAGCTTTGGTGAATGAAATTAGCCTTGCCTCGCCGTTGCAGCTTGATTGCTTGATTGCCCAGGTGATTGCTGATCGCCGGCTTGATTGATAAGCCCGCTAATGGAGTTGCTTTAGAGCATGATTGTGGGGGAGTTACAATTGGGTTTTATTAGGGGGGAAAATTACACTATTATGTTGTATTTACTTTGAGTAAATACAACTTATTTAAATCTGCTTAGTATAATGTTTAAATTAAGGAATTCCAGTGTATTCTGTTGCTCAAAAAGAAGCAGTTTGTTACTTTTCTTTTGTTAAATATTTAAAACTAAATCATTTGGTACACTTTTTTTGATTATTTATTCTAATCTAAGAAAAAACTTAAACTATATTATATTATTATTATATTTCTTTATATTTTCTCTTCTTTTAGTGGCAAACTTAATGGCCAGACCACGCCCATAGATGTCTCTGGATTATCACAAAACGAGATTCAGGGCTTTCTCCTTGGCTCACATCCCTCGTCCTCGGCGACGGTCACCACCACCGGCGTGGTCTCCACCACGACGATCTCGCATCATCATCAGCAGCAACAGCAGCAGCAGCAGCAACAGCAGCAACAGCAGCAACACCAGCAGCAGCAGCAGCAACATCCCGGCGACATTGTCAGTGCCGCTGGCGTTGGAAGCGCGGGCTCAATTGTTTCCAGTGCAGTTCAGCAGCAGCAGCAACAGCAGCAGCAACTAATTAGCATCAAGCGAGAGCCCGAGGACTTGCGCAAGGATCCCAAGAATGGCAACATTGCCGGTGCAGCGGCGGCCAATGGAGCGGGCACGGTCATAACGCAAAAGGTACGTTCAGAAACCAAAACTCAAGTAAAAATACAACAATAAAATTTAAAAAAAAAGGCAGAGTGCTCTCAGCTGGAAGCTCTCTTAGGGACAAATTAATGGACACGCACGCAAAGAAATATCAATTTAAGAGGGAATACTTTTACAGAGGGAGGAATTTCAGTAAGGATTATTATTTATTCATTGAGAAAATAGCCCAAAGTATGGGATTTCTTGAAAATATCACATCAACATATTAAAAACTAAGTTATAATTTGAATGAAGACTTCCAATCAAGTATGACAAAAATATAACAGATACATTTTAGTGAGAAATAAGATTAATGTGACCTTATCCTTAGTTTGTTTATAGATATACCTCTTTATATTTCCCATATCTGAAGCTCTACCTAGGTTTCCTGATGTTTTATAAACATAATACCTTAATATTATTTATAAAACCAATTATATAAATCGTTATCAGTACTCCAGCACTTTTTCCCCCCGTGTAAATTGCATGCAACTCGCATCTTCCAGCTTCCCATGCAATCCCCTTCCCATTTCCACAGCTTCCAAACTAGCCTCTGATATTCCCATTCCCATTCCATTTCCATTCACAATTATCAGTAGCAGCAAGCTGCAAGCGGAGCATGGAGAGTGGACGACACTGTGTACGGTGGACAACCGCAATCAGCGGCGCATCCTGTGCGCTACATCAATTAACCCGCTCGCCGTTGCTGTTGCTGCCTTGCCACCCCACCCCACCACCCCTAGCTACCCATCCCCTTCCCAATGCCGCTGGCAAGCTTGTCGCTTTTGTCTAACAGCGCTGCAATTGGTCTGCCAATTGCTGGTGTGAGTGAGCAATGAGTATTAGTGGTTGCAGCCAATACGAATCGGCGTCGTTGTTGTTGTTGTTGCTGTTGCTGTTCGGTTCTATTGAAAGCAATAGCAATGTGGCCTGCATTGGAAAAGTGTTATACACGGCTGTCGTGGACTGTGTGTTATACGATCGTGTGTGTGCGTATGTGATTTGTATACGGTGCTCTCGCTTGCTCTTATGGGGGTTCAGCCTGCGTCTGTCCGTGTTGTATGTTGGAAAGGCTTCCTTTGGACACGGTTCGATGTTGGATGTTGGACGTTCCAAGTTGGAGGTTCGAAGCTCAATATGCTGGAAGGCCTTTATCAGCAGCCAGCAGAAACGAAGCAAAGCAAAAGAGGAGGAATAAGAGGAAGGGAAAAACAGTAGAGTAGTAGGAAAAACCATAATTAAATGTCTTGCAAGAGCAGCAAAAAAGCTCTGCAGCGGTGCACTGTGGGAAATTGCAGTTGGCAAGAGCCAGGGCGACAATCGGTAGCGATAAGTGCGCACTTCCGGCGGTTCGATTGGCGTTGCTCCTTCCTTTTCGATCTTTTGATTTAGCTATTTTTTAATTCTGCTACCCGGACTACCCCCCCTCTCCCCACTCGGACTACCCCCTCTCCTCTAACACAAACAAACATACATGTCAGAATATTGCGACAGAAAGAGATTCCAACCATTTTGAACTGATATGAGTTATCTCCATCCCGCTCGCACCCGATCGTCGTGTCTGTGTGTTCCAACTGGCCGACGCAACTTTGCCCGAGTGTGCGTGTACGTGTGCGCGCGCGGCTGTCATACTTGGTTTTTTCAAGATTTCTGAGATCGGGCTTTAGTCTTTAGTATCGCGCTGTCGGAGTAGGATCGTATCGTTTTCGTATCGTATTCACCCCGACCCGTAAGCGTAAGCGTAACCGTAGTAACCGTAGACCGACGATATCGAATTGTAACAGAACACCGGAGATATTATACGTGATCCAATTGGTGATCGCAGTGATCGCAGTGATCCGTGATCAGTGTGTTCTGCTAAAAAAAAAAAAAAATCAGCAGCAGCAGTGAGAAGTGAGTGTGAGTGACCGTGATATCCGATCTGCACAGCACAACAAATAAAATAACAACAGCTTGATTGGAATGTGGGCAGTGCAATCCGTGGCATATCCATATCATATCATATGTAGATAGGCCTACGGCCTACAGTGGAGGGTCTATGGCTTGGAAATCTACAAAGTGATCTAAGAACTTTGTGGTTTAAAGTGTGAAGTTGTGTGGGGTTATGCCAAAATTGAATATGGTATCAGTTTTGTGATCACTTCTTAGCCCTATGAACTTTAAAAATGTAAAAAAATTCCATTTCAAGGCTCGAGAAACTCAAACTTCCTGAACTTAAACTCAAGATCAATCTGAAAATCTTTTTAGAGATCATAAATCCTAAAAATGATTGAAATTTGAAATTAAACTTATCATTAATAGAATTCTGCTCAAAATTCCATATAAGAATCTGAAGAATTTATAGTTCAGAACTTTGTTATGGTCCGTTTATATAAATATTATAATAGAACTGTCAAAGTTTGTTTTATTATTAATGAGACTTGTAACAAATTCTTGGAAAATATAACTAGTTTTTTCCCACGTTTAATCATTGATACAACAGACTTTAAAATTATTTATTAAAACCAATCGATAAATATCATAAATATATATTTATTAGACCCTTTACATGTCTCTTGTTATCGAAGTTCAACTGTTCTGTCCACCTGCAAGCCAAAACAAAATCAAATCAATGAATCAAACAAATAACAACAACGAACGCACACGCGCAGCAACAGCAACAGCAGCAACAACAACAACAACATTAAGACCAGCTCGATAGCAGCAGCAGCAGCAGTATGTGTGTGTGTGTGTGTGTGTGTGGGCGCAACGCGCGTTGCCTTTCAACGCCCACGCGGCGAACAAGTTCGCTGCCTAAGTCTTTTGTTTTTTGTTCGTTCGCTCTTTTTTTTTTGCTTGGCGTTTGGCGCGCATTTCTGGCCGATTCTTTTGGTCGAGGTGGGTGGGGAAAATTCATTGAGCAGAATCCAGCGCTGCTTAATTGCCGTCTCTCGGTTTTATTGGGCATTAATTTGCACAAACACAGACAAAAAAAAAATAAAAATAAAAATAAAAAGAAATATTAAATTGCCGCAACAGAGACACCCAATTTGCATGCACTCTAATTTATTGTACATTTTTGCATTGACAGTTAATTATTCTTAATATTTGTCTTATTAATTTACATACACACACACACACAGTGCATACTGCCTCCTATAGTTTAAAGTCTAAGGTTTCCGCCAGCTTAATTTATGGCAGAAAATCGGAAAACATATCAATTTTGTACTCTCCGTCGTTCATTTATTTATTGCGCTCTCCATTGCACCGGAAAGTGTAATCAGGGACACACAACAAACACAGAGGAATTAAGATCTCGGATTAGCAGCTCTCTCTCTCTCATTTGTTGCTCTATATAATGGCCATATCGGAGCGAGTATCTACCAATCCGCCAAAAGCAATTTGTTTAAGCCAAGATGTGAGACTGGAGGCCTTTCTAATTGCCCGAAATCGAAATCTTTGCTTATCAGTTTGTAGGGGTTTTACTTTACCAAACGGATGTTTTTAACATTTTAACATTTTTACAGCATTTTCATTAATATTTCATTAATGTGTCGCAACTTTACAAAGGTTTAATAAACTTCAAGAGTTATATAGAAGAGATTTCTCAGAACCGGAAAGAAAATGTGGATAATAAATAATTCAATTAATAATCAAAAGCCTATAAATGATATAACTATCTAATGACTCAAGCAATTACTGACACAAGCAAATGAGATTTTCCAACCCAAAGAAGAGACTCTTTTAAGAAAATCGAACACAATAACCTTGAGGGTTTATTGCTCTTATTAAATGTGTAATTGTTTATTAGTCAGGGGTTTTTCTTTACGATAAAGAACCAACACAATTACAGCATCAAAGAGGAACCATTAACAGATTTTATGAATGCAAAACAATATTGTTGCTATTAAGATTCATATTCATTTATGTATAAAGATGTTTTTTGTTTTTTTGTTTTTCTCGGCTTTTCGTTCACTTTATTTCCGAGAATTAACGATATTCATAAAAGCGCTGCTGCCACTTGGAAGAAGAAAAAAGTTTCACTTTTTATCATTCCAAAAAGGCATTAAAATAGTTAATTGGCTTTATTTAAATATTTTGTTATTTTTGTTTCCTTTTGTCTACGTGGTCTCCAAGTGTTGTTGTTGTTGTTGTTAGATCTTTGGTGATTTTTTTGTATGAATATATATTTTTTTTATTTCTTCCTCATACATAAATATGTGCCAGAATCATTCGTTTGTGGCTAGTGACTAGCCGCTACTTAGCATAATTCTAAGCTAGCTCAGTTATATGGCTTGGTACCGTACAGCAACAAAAGCTAAAGATTCGGATGCGATTGGAAAAAAATCGAACAAAAAAAACAACACGCACCACAAAAAAATATCCGAAAAACAGAAAAGCAGAAAAGCCAAGAGACACAAAAAAGAAAAAAAAGACCAGCAACAAAGTATCTTTGTCTCCATGGATCGTGGATCGATCGTCGATCGGATTCGTCAAGGCCTTTTCTGACGTTGCACGTTCAAAAAGTTTAAAATGCAAATTGATTTCGATGAACAAATTTAATTAGCTCGCAGCTAGAATCTTTTACTGATGCTAAATTATACAAAAAACACCAAAACTGAAGCTAAACACAGACAGATCTGAATAAAAAATTCAAATCACAAAATGAGACAACCTTAAATTTCTTGCTGTTGAAGAAAAATACCTCAAAGGTACAAAAGATTCTCCAGTAACCAAAAAGTGTAACAAAAATCTTTAGACCGGTTTGATCAAAGGCTAAAAAGCTAAAGACTAGAGTGACGTCTTTGACGGGAATTTCACTTTCTTTAGACCAAAAGACGAAAGACAAAACCTTTTGGCAATCAGCAGCTGACTGCTAATTCAAGTCCAAGTCTATATATATTATAAATATATATATATATAAATCTGAAGACATGAATTGACCACACTTTGCTCCGTATTACCTCATTTGGCTCTGCGTGCGTTTTGTGTCTCCAAAAAAAAAAAAACGTTTGACATTTTCGGGCGGCCAATAAAAAATATACAGAAAAAAAAACAATGATAATTAACATATGCATATAGCCGCATATATATATATATCAGACGTATATAAATGTTGATTTTTTCGCGCTTTTTTCATTGTTGTTGTTTATTTGATTTTTTTTTCTGTATTTCTGTATATTTTTTAATTGGTTTCTTTCCACTCGACGACAACAACGGACGACGGCAACGGCGACTGTTTCATTTCGGCCCCTATATACACTCTTTTATAGCTTTTTATTATAAACTGTACTTGTTGACGTTATTTTTCAATAAGCTGTTGTATGAATCATGGTTTTAATGGTAACACAGTATCGTGGAATCATGACAATCAGACCCAGAACTACCGCTCGCACGCACTATTTTTTGTCACCTCGTTTCATGGTAGTCTTTTCGTTGTGACCTTCAGTGGGCCAACTCAATCAGCCATCAATCATTAGCCACAATGACAGGTCTGAGATCGATCTGTTAGCCACCGGATTCCAGTCAAGCTTTAGCCTTAAGATAAAGAACGAAACCCAACAACAACCCGCCACATTCTTCGTAGATCTTGCACGCAAGTGAAGCTGATAGGCCCAGCACATCGGAAGCAGGATCTATCTTGGGATCCACCGGAAGCATCACACCACCAGAACCACCAGCACCACCTCAAGCAGCGGCACCACTTCACTCCCCCAGCACCACAGCGATGTATGCAACCACGGGCGGCACACAGATTTACCTACAGGTGAGCACCTCTCCCAGAGCAGTGCGGATAAGGAAATAAAAATGAGAAAAACTGGACAGATCGTATGGAAAATGGGGAAAATTTGGGTGGAAACATATAGGAAACTATGGGGAAATCTAAGTAAAATTCAAGGAAAGGAATGCCCTAAAGACATGTTAAATTCTATGGTTATTTCATTCATATATATGTGTATATCATTTAATATGATTTATAACATCTAAACTTTAACTTTGGATAACATTGCCCAATATCCCAAAAATGTGAAAAAGGTTCCTAAATTTAAACTTTATTCGAAAATATCCAATAACTTCGACATTTTGCACTGCTTTCTTTAGAATCAAAGCTAAATTTCCTTTCAACATTTCTAATGAGAAAACAAACCATTCAGTTTTAATAACCAATACTTAAAAACAATAATAAAATCAAGACAATAAAAATACAAAAATCATAAAAAAAGCCAGATAAGAATCGATTACAGCATCAATTAAAAATCAGAAAGTCGAATAAAAGCATTTTAAAACAAGAAAACAATAAGAAAGGCGATTCCCCTTCTGAGAACGATCTGTCCAGGGTAAAAACAAGATTCCTAGCACTGTCTCTCAGAGAAACCCTAAGAGCCGAAAGTGAACCAAGATCAACCAACAAAACCACCTGCACAGACCTCACATCCCAGCGCGGCAAGCGGAGCGGGCGGTGGGGCAGGACCCGCAGGAGCTGCCGGCGGCGGCAGTGGAGGAGGCGGCGTCTCCCTGCAGGCTCAGAGCCCCAGCCCTGGTCCATATATAACGGCCAATGATTATGGAATGTATACGGCCAGTCGCCTGCCGCCAGGACCCCCGCCCACCAGCACCAGCACCTTCATTGCGGAGCCCTCGTACTATCGCGAGTACTTTGCGCCGGACGGCCAAGGTGGCTATGTCCCAGCCAGCACGCGATCCCTCTACGGTGACGTGGATGTGTCCGTATCCCAGCCCGGCGGAGTGGTCACCTATGAGGGCCGCTTTGCCGGCAGTGTTCCCCCACCCGCCACCACCACAGTGCTGACCAGCAGTCTGCACCACCAGCAGCAGCAGCAGCAGCAGCAGCCACAACACCACCAGCAGCATCAGCAACAGCATCAGCAACAGCAGCAGCAGCATCATCCACATTCGCATCCACAGGATGCAAAGAGCAATGGTGGAGCCACGCCCCTGTATGCCAAGGCCATCACGGCGGCGGGTCTCACCGTGGATCTGCCCAGCCCGGATTCGGGCATTGGAACGGATGCCATCACTCCGCGGGATCAGACCAACATACAACAGGTACAGGTACAACCCGTAAAAGGGGAAGGATAGGAATTGGGAGTAGGAGTAGCCTTTGGTAGAGTATTTGCGTGGCGTGTCCATTAATATGATTTGTAGTTTGTAATTATATGAATTACTTATTGATTTAACTCAAGGTTTAATATTATAATTAACAGGTATCACTTTGGAAGTAAAGGTGCCATAGAAACGAAAGATACAGATATATGAGTCATAGCAATATAAGTTGATCTAGATATTGCATGTAATAGAGGAAATCTAGAAGTTGATTTAATGTATCTTTGAGATATAACTTGGTTTCAATATAATTTCACTAAATTCCACTCCTATCTTATAGTATAACTTAGGTTACAAGAGATTTTCTAAGGCATCCTTGGTTACAACCAAACAAAAAGTATATATAGTCTTTAGTAAAGCGTGTCGTGTCCATTAAAACCTAGTAATTAGCTATCTATAAAACAATTTAGTTATTTATTAATAACATTTTAATTGTTTTATATGATTTAATGTATATATTATTGAAACCTCTATTTATTCCTATTTAATAAATTTCCTTCAAACATCCTAGTCCTTCGATTACACGGAACTGTGTCAACCTGGCACCCTGATCGATGCCAATGGCAGCATACCCGTGAGCGTGAACAGCATCCAGCAGCGGACAGTGGTCCATGGGAGTCAGAATAGTCCCACAACCTCACTGGTGGATACGAGCACAAATGGATCGACACGATCACGGCCCTGGCATGACTTTGGACGACAGAATGATGCAGATAAAATTCAAATACCAAAAATGTGAGTAATAGTCTTTGAAAGACTAAAGATTTTGGATATAATATGTTGCTATAAAGGTTCTTAAAGATGTCTCAAGATAGTCAATCTTATCCAGTTTCATTTAATCAATCTATAAACCCTTTAAACATCAAATACTTCCTTAATTCCTATTCTAATCTTAAGCTACAAGTACCTCTATTTCCATCCACTTTAACCCCTGATTTACCTGATTATTTTCCCCTCCTTAATAGCTTCACAAATGTGGGCTTTCGCTATCACCTGGAGAGCCCCATCAGCTCATCGCAGAGGCGCGAGGACGATCGCATCACCTACATCAACAAGGGTCAGTTCTATGGGATAACACTGGAGTATGTCCACGATGCGGACAAGCCCATCAAGAACACCACCGTCAAGGTAAGGATCCAAAAACTATAAGAATATATACCATAAAGGGATATATACAGGGACCTGGGGAAGGGGAGCTTTGTCAATCAAGTTCGTGCTGCTTGTTTTCCATTCTTTTGGTGTGTTTTGTTTATGCCATCAACACCACAGAAAGAGGAACAGCCAAAGGGATCGGGATTGGGATTGGGAATAGGAACAACCCCTTCTTAGAAGGAAATATATTCTAGGTGATTTGTCAGGGGATCTGCTGCTTCTACTACTACCCCGAGGTGCGATCAAGTCTCGCCAACCCTTTGCTCAATTACACCCATCCCATATCCTGGTGCTACCCAAGAGCGATGATAAATGATACTGAGAAAGCCTTAGAAGACGGCGATCCCTTGATGAGAATTTGAATATTCGTTCAATGCAAATTGCCGAACGCCTCGAGGTCCTTTCAACAGTCGTCTTTTGGAGAATGTTTGTTCAGGACGATTGCGAGTAGGAGCAGGACGACGACGACACACAATGTGCCCATCAACATCATCAATCAGATAAGCTTAAATGACGTGAAGGATGCAAAGTAAAATGCAAATTGTAAACTGAACCGTTGAGAGCTCCGAAAGAATGACATCAAAGTTACAGTTTTCTTGAAAGTGGAAACGGGAAGTTCCTGGGGGGAAATTGAAAGAAGTGGCTAAGTAAACAACAATTGAAATTAAAGAAAGAAGCAGACGAATCCTTGTCATTTGCATAAGCAAAAAATGAGAGCAATAAAAAAACGAATAAAGCTGGAAACTTGCCACAGAAACTATGAAGAAACGTAGATCTTTGGCTAGAAATAAGGAACTTCTCAAGTTCTTCCAAGAGGGCCTCTCCTCATATTACCATAAAACTGCCATATTTTGCCAAGGCTCAACCAAAAAAAGTGTCAAAATTAATTTACGAGTTTATTTGTTTAGAGCTGCGCGCCCTTTTTTCTACCCGAAAACTCTATATATATATATATATATACCTTATATCTACCTTATGCAAATCACAACCCAATCGTGCAATGTCCATTTCTCTAACGGGGAAAAGCGAACCGAATCTTGAAGAAAAACTGAGTATAATTTACGAGCTGATTAGCCCATGAATATGTAAAGACTTTCGTATCACAAAAAACAGACTTCTCCAAAAAACATACACACAAAAATATTTATGCCTGTAATCAGTTAAATCCGAGAAAAAAAAGGGGTTGCTTTCTGAGACTGTTTCCATTTCCTCGGCGCTATCTCTGCGCTTCCTTTTTCGTCCTAATTATTCAAAATCTTAAAAATCTAAGGGGAAAAAATAGGATATGGACACATAAATGATAGCGAAAATATGCAAATGCTGGGAAAACAATGCTTCGTGATGAGCAGAAGACACAAAATGTGCCGGACGTTTTTCTGCTAAATCGAATTCGTCCTTTTTTGTGCTCTGGCGTCTCTGGCGGGACCTTAATCCTTTTGACTTTTTGAATAGGCGTAGGGTGCGATCCTTTCAGTTGTGAGTTGAGTGTCACAACGCGTATATGTCAGAGCAATGAACCCTGGGAGCGTTCAAGCGATCCATAGCCCAGATCCAGGATAGTATAAACGGATTATGTCCTGTGAGAGAGACATGTCCTTGCCATGATAAAGATAAAGATCAGTATTGGGACTAGGTTATTCGGTATAAGGAGAAGATCCTAATTTGATTAGCTATGTTTGCACTGCAGATCAAGAAGAGATTTAATCTACAAACTGAATTTTATTTATTTTAAATTTAAGAAAATTTGTGGGAAAAAATAAAAGGTTTTAAATGCAAATTGAAAGAGAAATGTTTGTGTCCTGGGAATTTTGTTAATTTTGTGTAAAAGTAAATCATTACACATGGTTTTAAATTCTATTTAAATGCAAGATTATAATAGTATTTTTAAATCTTGCTTTCCCTGTAACTTTCCACTCAATAAAACCATTTCCCTGACTTCATTTTAACTATCTTACATTTCCTGTTCAACAAATATATACATTATAATTGGTTTGAATTAATTTTTAGAGCCCCCTTTTAACTTGGTCTTGCACTTAATTTAATAACCATATTTGCTTTCCGTACCAACAGAGTGTGATCATGCTAATGTTCCGCGAGGAGAAGAGCCCCGAAGATGAGATCAAGGCCTGGCAATTCTGGCACAGTCGTCAGCATTCCGTGAAGCAAAGAATCTTGGATGCAGGTGCGTAGTGGAAATCCCCCATCCCCCAGCTCCCAGCTCCCAGCTATCTATCCCATGCCCCAAGAATATCCCCAGAAAGAACGATGTAGAAAAGCAGTAGGAATCCATAGGAGATGGAGTTGGAGTCGGAGAAGTCAGAAGTCCAGCAGCGTTGGATGCGGCACTGTCCATTTGTATTGTCTAGTATTTCTAGCAGTAAATTGTGGCTTTTTATTGAAAGGCCCGCGGAACGTTGCAGGAGAGTTATGACATTGATAAACGCAGCAGCCACTGCCACTTGCAACGTGCAACTTGCAACTTGGACTTCTCGCTCCGTTTGTTTGATTGCAGATAATCTTAGCTGCCGCCAGTGCTGGCCCATCAAACATAACTCATTAGGCACTTGTCACTGGTTGGCAACGCAGAAATTTCCTTAATTGTTAATACAAACATATTTTCATCCACCTGCTCCTCCACCTTATTCTGTTCTCCTGTTCTGTTCTCCCCACAAATAGATACGAAGAACTCGGTTGGCCTCGTTGGTTGCATCGAGGAAGTGTCGCACAATGCCATCGCCGTCTACTGGAATCCGCTGGAGAGCTCCGCCAAGGTAAGTTCTGTGTGTTCATTCTAGATCTCGATGCCATATGACCATTGCAATCGGTTATGGAATTTATTAATACCCTGTAACTCGCTCCTGTGGGAGATATTTGTTTTCTGTGCATATCTTTAAAATACGTGTTGATAATGGTACCTTCTTAGCTACAATGCTTTATAGATATATGCTTAAAAGATCTGTACGTTTTCAGATCATTTTAATGTGATATATAGAAAAAATACACTTAATTTGGGGCTGTTTTTGATGTATTTGCACTTATTAACTCTTGCCGTATTTAACTTGTTTAATTTACATTTCAATTATACCATTTTCCCACACTTGTTTGTTATTACCCATTACAATTAACTTTAATTATTACTTCATATTTTTCTTCACACTAAATCTTAAATATCTTTCAAGCCAAGGCTGCTGATATAAACATTTTTGCTACAATGCTTTATAAAAATATGCCAAAGAGATCTTACAGTTTTCAGATCAGTTAAAAGAGTTTTTTACGAAAATTTAATTATAGAAGGGTTATACTTAAAATGTTAAGACTTTCTTTGAAGTACAAAAACTTGTTCATAAAGATAATGTCCTTATACCTTAGTATACTTATATTTCCCACTCTATAACCTTTTTTTTACAGGGTATATTTGGGTACATATTCATTGCTAGCTAACTTCTGTATATGTGTTTTTCCCTCTTTCTCTACCATTTTGTTTACTTCGAGCGCCGCCTCAATTAAAAATATAAAAAAAATATTTAGCGCGACACTTTTATTGAGGCAGACGGAGATAGCAGATACACGCTTTGCTCTTCACTTCGCTTCAAGAATTAATTTCTGATTTATTTTCAATTGCGGCTAAAACGCAAATTATTCAGCGAGCGTCGTCGTCGTCGCCATTGCCTCAGCCAACTATGGCCATCCCTTTCCATTTGTAAGGTGTCTCGCTTCCACTCTCTACAGACTCTGTGTTGTTATTTTCTTCAAAAGAATAATTTATGCATTTATTTATTTATGACACTTAGTTTTAATCACTTACTCGCAAATGCTTGGCACTAAGTCTGAGTCCGAGTGGCTTTTGATTTTTGCTTTTCGCTTGGCAAGCGAGCAAAAGCGAACCCGAAGCCAAGCTCCCAGCCGCGTTTTAATTTAGCAATTATCAAGCATTTTAATCGCTGGAAAATATTTGCAATTCTATTGCTGCAAGCGCCACTAAGCGAGGCACACACACACAGCCCTCATATTACGTATACGCCGCATTGCCACCGCAGTTAATAGCTAGCTTAATCCTTTGCCAAGCTCCGCCCACGTGCACAGAGAGAAAATCATGGGAAATTCTTACTACTCTTTGTTAACAGGGAGTTTTAGGGATTTTCAGTGTTAATTTTAACATTTTGTTGTTGAATAAGAATGAAAGTTAACTCAAATTGGAGCTAAACTGGATTTGACAATATTCTAACTTGTAATTTTAGATGATTCATGGTAATATACTCTATTAAATATTCGCTTTATAAAGAAATTCGAGAATTTTAATGATATTATGTAGAATTTTACCTTTTTAAAATTCTTACTTCTCTTTGTTAATTATATTCGCTTTATATAGAAATTCCTTAACTTTAATATTTTATAGAATTTTACCTTTTAGAAATTCTTACTTCTCTTTGTTAACAGGGAGTTTTAAAGAATTTTCTTGGATTTTATTAAAAAATTCTAAGATATTTATGTTAAATAAGTATGAAAGTTAACTTAAATTGATGCTTAACTGGATTTAAAAACTTTCTAAGTTGAAATTTTAGATGATTCATGGTAATATACTCTATTAAATATTTGCTTTATAAAGAAATTCTTTAATTTTCATGATATTATATAGAATTTAACCGTTTAACCTTTTCTGGGAGCTCATTTAAAATATTCCCAGGCATTTTTATAGGCTTTAAAAGCGACTTACTAAGCTTGAAAACATCTCAAATGAAAGATGTATATTTCAAGTACATAAATTTCCTATAAAATGTAACCAAAAATCACCACATTTTCTCTCTGTGTGACCATTTAAGACCGTAGGAAAAACAAATGCCAAAAACCGAATTGATTTTCATTCAAGTTCAGTGACTTCTGTGTGTGTGTGTGTGTGTATGGAGCCTGCCAAATTGGTCAGCAGTTATTAACTGGCTGTGGCTATAAGTGCACTATCCTCCCCCCTCCCCTCACCGGTACCCCCCTTTCCCGCCCACTCGAACATTTGATAGAGCTTTTTATTTACAAATTGTTTACGCGCTGAGATGTTAATCCCGGCGACATCGGGAGAGAGTCGTCGCCTGGCATAATGTCGATTTCGTTTTGTGCCGTTAGCCAATGCATCTCAGTGTGTATCTGTGTGTCTCTGTGTGTGTTTGTATCTGCAAGATACTGCCTTTCCCAGCAGCGGCAACAGAAAAAAAAAACTTTCGTACGCACCGACACGCAGGTGCTTCCACCGCCGTTCCCTCCCCCCCGGAACCCGAAACAAACTACGAACCCAATATGGTACGCGCCCGCTAATTATTCACATTAAATACTGCTCGTCCACATCGGACAGAGATGTGGATGCTGCTGCTGTTGCACTTTTACCATTAAGATTGTTTCCTTTGGTATTTTTGCGTTGATGGATTTTCTTTTTATTTTTTTGCGCGTCTGTCTCTGAACGGAGCTCAAACTCCAACTCAAACTCGGACTTGGCATGCTTAAAATGCCTTGAAAACACACAGCAACAGATACAGCTACAGATACATTTGTATTTGTATCTGTATCTGTAAGATGCATTGGAGCACACCTTGCACTGGAATCGAAGTCAAACTAAAAATGAATTGGATGCGATACAAAGTCGCGGCCTGACTTGGCTCGTTACTTGGCTTTAAGGCCCCGGTTTGGTCCATGGTCCTCTTGTGTATTGCCTTGTTATTGTCTCCTCTCCTTCTTTCTTTCTTTATATATATATATTTATATATATGTATCTTTTTTTACCCCCTTTTTTCCGTCGGAATGTTTTAAACTGTCGTGGGCATAAAGAGGACATCGACTTAATAGAGAGAAAACAATTGCCTTCTAATAGCCAGGTTTTTTTTTGTCATCCAATATAATTTCTTTTTATGCTCATAATTGTTTACATTTGTATATTTTATGGCATTTCTCACATTTTCGATCTCTTTTTTCTCTCTTTTTTTCTTTTTTCAAAAATGTCTTAACAAAAAACAGATCAACATTGCGGTTCAGTGCCTCAGCACGGATTTCAGCAGTCAAAAGGGAGTTAAGGTGAGTTTTCAATGGTATAATATTAATATTAAATAAAATAACTAATATTAAGTTAATAATTAAGCTACATTCCTTTGAAGAGAATATGGTTTGATATTCTCATTAGTTTGCATTATTCAGAAATAATAAAGTTCTTACAGAAAATTATTATTAGGTTCATTTAGGCTTTGAAAATATTTCTATCCCCTTAAAAAGGTTTAATATTTGTTCCTAAGATTTCTCCTTCTGTGACGCATAGAGTAACCTATATCATCATCACTTCTCCCAGAGAAATCCTGTAGTCTTCACCTTTCTATAATTGAAATTCAAGTCAGATGCATTGCCTTTGATGGGTTAAGTAATAACCAATTTAATGCCAACTTGTTAATGGCGAATCAATGCGACTGAAAAGAAGAAACGCTCCAGTTTCCTCTTAGCTCCTCCGATCGTCTTGACAACGGTCAGAAGACTCTCTGATGAGTCTACGTAGGCAGGGGGATTTCTCCTCCTCTGCCTCCTGCTCCTGCCCCTCCTCGAGGTGAGTGGAGCTCCTCCACCTGCCTCTAAAGCGGATTGCACATCCTCCTCCTGGCAAAAGTCCCGGGAGTTGTAATGCGTACATTAAGTCTGATATTTCATTGACAGAAAACACAGGCAGAACTCGTTGCTTTTCATTAAAAGAGAGCGTGATGGCAGGTAAAGGGGGAGATTACACAGCAAGAAAATAGGGGGAGATTACACAGCAAGAAAATAGGGGGAGATAATTTCAAGTAGAATTTAAAACTACAAAAAAGGTATTTAAAAAGAATTAGAAAAGATTTGTTGCAACGAAAATTATTTCAAAACACTTAAAAGCTTCAAAGTTAAGCCAAAGTATCCAGGAACTTGTTAATTTCTTTAGGAATTTTAATATATATTTTATTAGCTATTAAAAAATAACATTTTTCGGAGCTGTGTGTGTGGCTGGGAGTGGGGGCCATAGGCAAATCAAATTATGCACTTGGCACAAGATGTTGCACTGGCACAAACAACACACTCAACGCCACACACACTACTCACACCCCATATATATATAATTTTTTTTTTTGGCGGAGGGGGACAACGGATGTTGGCAGTTTAACATCAATGCGACCACGCCCCATTTGGGGAGCACCAGCTCCAGCCACGCCCCCCAAAGCCCAAATGACAACGGCTAATTGCAGCTCGCTGTGGCAAGTTGCAACAGCAACAGCAACAGCAGCAACTCTTTTAACTGCCCCGTGGGGCAATTTGAATGATTCGGGGGCATTGTGATATTAATACGGATTCCCGTCTCTTCTCTGCTTCTTTTTTTGTGGTTTCTTCCAGGGCCTGCCGCTGCACGTACAAATCGACACATTCGAGGACCCCAGAGATGCGGCAGTCTTCCACCGCGGCTACTGTCAGATAAAGGTCTTCTGCGATAAGGTAAGTGATTTTATTTTCCCTAGTCCCCTATGTCCCCTATGAAACATAAGAAAGCAAAGCAAGAAATAAGAGGAGTTCTTGTCCGCTTCCCCCCCTAAAACCCTGGCAATTACGCACACAGGAGCAGTCTTGGTCTGAGACCAAGTTGCAGCCACAAAACAGGCAGCAAGCAGCTCACTCTGCCACGTGCAACAGGTTGATGAGCTAACTAAAAGCGGTCTACGTGCTGGTTCGTTTGCATTACACAGTGAGAAAAAGTGCTAGAGAACGATTCTTTAAATCAGAAAAATAAATATATTAACAGAAAGTGAAATTAAGCAATTAAGCTTTTTCCAAGAGAAATTCGATTAGAATTCGAGTTGTATATTGAGAAGAAAAGTTCGATTATAATTGATATCTAACATTTTTACATTTAGGAGAATATTAGTATTATCCTAGAAGCTTATATTATATATATATTATTATTATATTATATTATTATATTTTAAAAGATTTCCGAAAACAAAACTGTTCTACTTTCCGATAACATTTTCGATATATCGATATATCAAACAACATATCAATTTCCCGCAACGTTAACATATCGATTTTTATTATGCTATCAAATATCGATACAGTATCGAAATATGCAATGTTTTCTATCATCTTTTTAAAACTGGGAAAAGTCCAAACTACTTATTTTGTACTACAATTTCCAATTGCTTCTAGGATTAATTTACTTTAAAAAAAAATCTTAGGAAACAAATTATAACTCTAGATTTGTATAATTATAAAATCTAGTTTAAATATTTAAAGTAATCAATTTGATCTTAAATCTACAAAAATCTGCAACTCATATGAAAAAACCAAGGCCAAGTCCACTTTAAGTGCAATTTCAATACAAAAAATATATTTTTTATTACAATATTTGATTGACCTTTTAAAGCCAAGCCAATAAGAGTAATTAGCAAGCAATTTAATGGTCATAAAAAATGTGATAAACCTAGAAAACAGACAGAGATTTTCCCCCAGTGCAGTGTGTATCTTGGCCACTTGTTGCTGCCGCCGCTGCTGCTGTTGCAGCTTCTCCCTCGGATATGTGGCTGCCACTTTTATCGAATTGGGGGCACCGGTAAGGCAAGGCAACGGCAATGCCTGTCCGTCAGAGTCAGAGCGGCCTTTAGTGGAAAGCGTAACGCGTCCAAAAGTAAATGGCCAGCAACAACAACACACATCCAATACACACACAACACAACACACATCCTTTCCATGCCCTTGTTTTCGTTTCGTATCTGGGCACCTTTTGCCTTTATGCGAACCCTTCACTTTTTCGCTTGATGGGGTTTATTAATAAATCATTTCGTGGATTTCCAATTTAATTTTCTCATATCATTACACATCCCCACGTCCTGCCGTCCTCCCCCCGTTTTGGACATGGCTTTTATTGTACAGAGCCCCCGAGTCCGATCCCCATTGGAATCCTCGGATCTGTGGCCATGGCCATATCGCTATCATGTCGGGCTTATATTTCACATTTTTAGGCCGGCCCTTTTGCCTGGGCCAACAACAGCCCAGCGTGTGTTTATCGGTAAATGTATCAATTAAATTTCGCGCACCACGTTATTTAGTTTTGCCCCCTTTTTATTTTCTCTGTATGTTTTTCGGGTTTTATATTTTTGTATATTTTGTTGTAATTTTGATTTCACTGCAATTGCAGCTTCAGTTGCAGTTCCGTCGTTTGGCACCTCTGGGGCCATGGTCGCCAATTATGAATCCATCCTTAAGTTTTGGGCCCCTCTGGGCCCAAAGAGATACAAAATTGCAAGAAATTCTGTGCAATAAACGGGGGAAACCTTGGGGAGACGATGACTTTGTCTTCCGAGGGATAACTGTCATTTTGCACTTTTTGTATTTCGTTTTTTTTCGTTTCGATTTCGGGGCGGAGTTAGTGTGTTGACTTTCCCCCAAAACAACCAAAAAATTTACGAAAATTACATAACATGGGTATAAAATGATGAGCTTTCGAATGTTAAGGGTTAAGTCTTTACATTGAAGGAATTGCAGCTTAAGATCTTTTCAATATCTTTTAAACTAATGCTGTTATCATAACCATTTTTCGTATGATAGTATATAATTATATAACTAAAAGATTTGTTAGTTTTCAGATCAATTGAAAGAGGTTTACCAGTTCAGTAAAGAAAAGTTGAGTTATATTAAAGAACTTATAATTCTGTTTATGGTACTCAAAGTATTATTCAGTCTTGGATATGAAAAGTATATAGAAATATATTTTCTAATGTGCTTTCTGCTAATAGTTTCCTCTTCCTTTGTCTTAATATTAAATAAATTAAAAAACCCTAATCTTGCACACCTTTTTCTGTTTACTTTTCGTAAAATTCACTTAAAACATTTAAATACTTTAGTGCAGCTACCTCTTTTAGTTAACTATCTACCTGCTAATAGGCCTTTGCAGGTATCTTTTACCTCGGCAAATGGTAAATCATTATAGAATTTAGCTAACGTTAATGTGAATGGTAATGGTAATGGCAGTGTCCCTCCTCTCTTTGGAAAGTGGCAGCCCACTTGGTCGCTTGTCCTCTGTCTTCGTCATACTTTGAAGTCGATTAACGCAGCAGAGGATATATCTGTACATCTGTATATATATATTAATATATTTGTATACATATATAGAGAGATGTGTGTGCGACGGGGTTTGGACAGCAAACGAGCATTGACCGCATTGGGCGATTCGAGACGCCGTCGTTTTAGCTTGTTGCACGTCCCAGGCTGTAAGGCTGGCAGTCTTGGCCAGGTTGCAAGTTGCCAGTTTGGCGATATTTTTGCCAAGATAAAATAAAAGTAATAAAATACAGTTATTTACATGCCACACACACACACACTTACTTACGTACACTTGATGTACATCGAATGCATCGCTCTGAGCTAAAATGCCTTGTGATAAGCTCAAGAACTTGGGCTAATAGGTACACCGAGAGAAATTAAAGGGGAATGAAGAATAAAGATTTTATTTATCATTTCAATGCTAATATTTGAAGTAAATGCTATGCCTTCTCTTATTATTTGTACTTCTAAGGATATTTTTGTATATAATCTCGATTTTTAAGTTCTGTGTACTTTGAGGGAAACTGATTCTTTGGGGGAGGGGCTTTGGCAGACATCCTTGCATAATATGGAGCCCCAAGAGAAGCTTTAAACAGCGACAGGCGAAGCCGCAGCGGAGGCAACATCAGACCAAGTAGATTGCTGCAACATATCACTTCCTGTGTGTGTTGCACACCCCCTCTCTATCCTGCTGCAGTCACCTTCAGCAGCTTCCATCGCTCAATTGCTGATTTTTAATTACAAATGCAAAGTGCAACAGCAGCAGCAACAACAGCAACAGCAACCTGCAACCTGCAACTTGCAACAGCAATGCATGCTGCATCTGCCTGCGCACGCAAACTAGCAATCACCGGCGGACAAAGTAGCCAACAGACTATATATTATATACCCTATACGTGTGACTATAGCCACAGGTGTGTGTGTGTGTGTGTCTGCAATCAGGCTGCAACTAGAGGCAGGTGGGCAGCTGCTGCTGCTGCCTTGGTCCAGACAAAGTCTTCTTGGGGCGCCGCCAGATTATTTATTATGTATGCATATTTATGCTGCATCTCTAAGTATTTTATAATAATTTTTACTCATTTTTTTTCTCTCTCTATATTATTTTGGCCTGACCCTAACGGTGTAGACCATTTTGTCCAAACTGCCCGGCAGTTTTGCAGACTCCAACTGAGAAAAATCCACGAAAATCCACTGCGGTGGCGTCTTTGTCTCTGTGCGACATCGCAGCTCCCCAGGCGAGAAACTCGTTTCTCTCTCTCATACGGAGTTTGGTTATATTTTTCCTCTTTTTTTATATATGCAGTTGCAGTTGCAGTTGCAAAAATCGCTGCAACAGGCAACAGGCAACAGGCAGCAGCTTATGGCACTGGCAGCCATACACGAATTTAATTAATAAGTAAAGAAATATCAAAAAAGGTGGCATCCATGCATTTGATTGATTGCTAATTACACGCTGGCTCCCCATGTGCACCTGTGCCCGTGCGCAGTGGGAATATCATGGTGGGACTTTTGCAATCCCACCTGGAAGCATCTTCAATGCATCACGATAGCTTCAGGATCCAAAGTCTCAAAATGTTTGGGAAGACGTTAGATCATTAGTTATCATTAACTAGGCTCTAGGAAAATACCTTTATAACCCTTTTCTTACCCCCAAAATCTAACAAACTTTTCACCCATCTTTCCTCTAGGGCGCTGAGCGCAAGACTCGTGACGAGGAGCGGCGGGCTGCCAAGCGAAAGATGACGGCAACGGGCAGAAAGAAGCTGGACGAGCTATACCATCCAGTGACGGATCGGTCCGAGTTCTATGGAATGCAGGACTTCGCCAAGCCGCCGGTGCTATTCTCGCCCGCCGAGGACATGGAGAAGGTAGGTCAGCTGGGCATTGGCGCTACTGCTACTGCTACTACCAATACTGGCATGACATTCAACCCACTGAGCAACGGCAACTCCAACTCCAACTCGCACTCGTCCTTGCAGAGCTTCTACGGCCATGAGACTGACTCGCCGGATCTGAAGGGGGCCTCGCCATTCCTGCTCCATGGCCAGAAGGTGGCAACGCCGACGCTCAAGTTCCACAATCATTTTCCGCCCGACATGCAGACGTGAGTAAAAATCGTCCATCCATTTTACGAAGAAACTAAATCCCAAACTCAGATATAAAGAGGAGCCGAGTTTGGGAAACCCCTGAGTAAACTCTAATTAATTGAAACAATATTTCTCATTTACTCCTTTTGAAATCTAGCGATAAGAAGGATCACATCCTGGACCAGAACATGCTGACCAGCACACCGTTGACCGACTTTGGTCCACCCATGAAACGTGGCAGGATGACGCCGCCCACCTCGGAGCGGGTGATGTTGTATGTGCGGCAGGAGAACGAGGAGGTGTACACGCCACTCCATGTGGTTCCACCCACCACCATCGGTCTGCTGAATGCGGTAAGCAAAGAAAATGACCCCAAACAAACCCGAAACCCTGTTCCAAATCTAAACCAAATCAAAAAAAAACCAAAACCAAAACTCGTTCTAATGGTTGTTAACCACCTTTTCTGTAATTTTGTTCATTTTGGTCTAATTGGATCGGCTGAAAACAAAACAAAAAATCAAATCAAACAAATGAAGCGCCAAAATGTTCAATCTCTAAAAATAAAAATAAAGCATAAATCGACTAAAATCAGCCACATTTACTATATATCTTTATCGTTTACTCACCCGAAGAAATTCGATAATTTGTAACTTTTGTAGTTGGAACTAATTACGAACCATTTCATAAACCAAAAACATACAAAGTATATATATATGTGTATATATATTATAACCAAAATCAGACTAAAGCTCTGCTCTCCAACCACACACATTCCTTACACTAAAGCACAATCAATTTATTGATCGACACTGAAAAAACCCAACATTTAAATGATTGCCTGATTGGCTGACCACAAAAATGAACAAAATTACACTTGAAAGAAAAAACCAGCGAGTTATCAGAGAAATATTTAGTTAAACAGCGAAACAACAACAGACAAAAACATCATATTTCTCTCGTTTCTCAATTGCAGATTGAAAACAAATACAAAATCTCAACAACGAGCATAAATAACATATATCGCACAAACAAGAAGGGGTAAGTAAGCAAGTTCTAACCAGATTGAGCCAAGTTAGCAGTTACACACCCAATCACAACACACTCACACACACTTAGTAAATACACCAGGATGCATCCTTCCTCCCCTCACATCATGAATGCATATTAAATTAATCTTAATTAAATCAAACTAAAAACAATCGTGTGCTAACTCTTTTTGCATGGGTGTTCTGGATTGTTAAACTTGTAATCAAAGACTTGACGGTTTGAAATCTCTAAAAAATGGATATTTGACATAAAAAATTAGCTTACAGAAAGTATAGCATACTTTTTGGCAACCTTTAAGCGATTTCAAACCTCTTGCCTTACTATTTCCTTATTATTCATTATTTCGAAATCATTTTCTTTACAGGATTACTGCGAAAATTGACGATGACATGATATCGTTCTATTGCAACGAGGACATCTTCCTGCTGGAGGTGCAACAGATCGAGGACGATCTGTACGATGTGACGCTAACGGAGCTGCCCAATCAGTAGCAGTGGCCGTAGTAGTGATCACACTACACAAGCTCAAAAAAAAGAAAGGATAAGACACACAAATGAAGGACACAAGCAGTTGTTTCAATAAGCCATTTTTCCATAGAGCCTAAGTCTAATTTCGTAGTTGTAGTATTGGGACACACTTACACTTAAACACGACAAGTTGCAACAGAGATTTGCGTGGAATGAGATTGGAAGGATGAGACACACAACAATATATACAATATGTAAAATGATATACACTTAAATTCGAATTAGTTATTTAGCAACAATGAATGAGATTACTTTCTGAAAATTGTTTGATCAAATTTAACATTCTCGTCTATGTCTATATAGATACTCGATAAGCTCTAATCGTAATCGAATCGTGTACTTCTGTCTGTCCAGTAGGTTTATAAGTCTCTGATTATGCTACGACCTTAGGTCCCAGGGCAAGTAAGAGTTACAGAATCTAAAATCTATCTTTTAGGTACATATATCCCTCGTTAGACTATAATATTGTGTAATCCATTTTGTATGTTTGGCTTAAGCGTTTTGAATTGTTGAGAATATATATATATATAAATTGTAAAATTATTTTTGAAAAAAACACACACACAAAACAAAAAACAAATCGTTTGTTCTATATTTCTATTTCAAAACTACACCGTCCCCCACTCTCTTTCTCTTTCTTTATCTGTTATGTATAATTAGGATCTCTGTACACAAAAAAAAAAACAACAAGATATAACGAAACAAAAAATTGGTAGAAAAACCCTTCCCCTCCCCCAAGCTCGAAGTAATTATCCTTAAAATTAGATTTACGCACATAGAGATAAGCAAACACTCTGCAATAAAACATGTTGATAAAAATCGTAGTTAAGTCCAAGCTAAGGCATAAAAACCCATACAAAACCACAAAAAAAAAACAAACAAATTAAGAAAACTTTAAAAAACACTTTTGTGCATTTGTTGTGAAACAAACAAAATATCTAAAGAACAAAAATCAACCGAGAACGTTGATTCAAAACTAAACAATATATTAATTCATGAATCCAACGAAAGGACGCAGCATTCGTATGAATCAGATATAATATATATATATGTATTTGTATAGGGATATATAACATGTCGTGTTTACAATCTTTGTTTGCCATAATTAACAGTTTAATTTAATTAACGAAATGTTTTGTGTACAATGTTATTTGAATTCAAGCAGAGACTACACCGCGAGATTTTGCTTGGAACTACGAATACTCCGCATCGATTGCTACAATTTTGAACAGTACGAGTTCAATGCTCAATATTATTATTAATTGTTTATTAATTGTATAATCCCCACCTTCAGTCCAACTCCCCCTCCCCTCCAATACTTAACAATAATGCTCTTTACTACTCTAATCTCTCTCTCTCACTTTTTTGCGAGGGGGAAATACAAAACATTTTCCACTCGACTTTTCCGGTGTTGTACATCACAATTTGTTTTTAATGTTAGCCCTTAGTTTATTACGTACTATTCAAGATACAACAATATTATGATATGAATTGAGAAGAAGATAAGATATATATATATATGAAATGATGATGATGAATCGAAAATCTTGCCTGCATGTTATAATTCTATATGTTTAGCTATCGTATAACCCTTAAGTTCTACGCTCTTTCTATATATGTTCGTATACGAAACACATATACACATATATTTTAAAGGCCAATAATTTATTTTTTGTTACTGTTGGAAACGATTCCGCGAAAATAGAAAAGCAAAAAACAAAAAACCCCAAAAAAAAGAGAGAAACGTGAAAATGCAACTGAGAACAAGTGGCACTCCATAAATCGTGGGAGAAATGCATATGTCCAACTTGAGAAATTATAAAACAAGAGACAAGCAAACAAACAAACAAAATAAAACAAATTGTACAATATAATTATAATGAATACACAACATTTAAATAAAGAACAAAAAGTAAGCAATTATGTGTTTTCAAATTAATGGATTACTTTTCACTTGAAACTTCTTTTTAAAAACTTTAATATTTTAAAGGGCGGCTTGAGGTGTCTTAAATGAATATCCCTGAAACTGATAAGAATGTTGACTTTAAATTTGGTACCTTTATATTTTTTAGACTCTGATATTGAGGTGATTATTCTGATTAACGGACAGTCGAAAAGGCGGACAAACGGACAAGCTTTATTTAGATATTTATACCCGCGGAGGGTGAAGGATTCATTTCCGGCCCTATAAATCATACATATTCTTGATCAGCATAAAAAGTTAAATCGATCTGGCAATGTTTGGAAGAAAATAGTTTTTCTTAATTTTATAAGAATAAAATTAATTTAAAAATATGGTAAAAAAAATAATTTTTTAACATTTCAAATTGAGTATGCAGATTTATTAATCTAATAAAAACTAGCATAGGGTCGCTTTCCGATTTAAAATTAATGCATTTTCGACTGAGTTATGATATTTGGAAAAGTGTGATTTTCCCAAAAATAATTATCTTACGAAAATATTGATCTAAAGTCCCTATAATGGATATATTTTAGGTATTCTTCGTGAAGGAGCCATTTCCGACCCTATAAATCATATATATTCTTGATCAGCATAAGAAGACGAATCGATCTAGGTATGTTTGAAGGAAAATATTTTTTTTAATTTTTTCAGAATTTTATTAGGATAAAATTAATTTAAAAATATGGTAAAAAAATAATTTTTTAACATTTCAAATTGAGTATGCAGATTTATTAATCTAATAAAAACTAGCATAGGGTCGCTTTCCGATTTAAAATTAATGCATTTTTGACTGAGTTATGATATTTGGAAAAGTGTGATTTTCCCAAAAATAATTATCTTACGAAAATATTGATCTAAAGTCCCTATAATAGATATATTTTAGGTATTCTTCGTGAAGGAGCCATTTCAGACCCTATAAATCATATATATTCTTGATCAGCATAAGAAGACGAATCGATCTAGGTATGTTTGAAGGAAAATATTTTTTTTTAATTTTTTCAGAATTTTATTAGGATAAAATTAATTTAAAAATATGGTAAAAAAAATAATTTTTTAACATTTCAAATTGAGTATGCAGATTTATTAATCTAATAAAAACTAGCATAGGGTCGCTTTCCGATTTAAAATTAATGCATTTTTGACTGAGTTATGATATTTGGAAAAGTGTGATTTTCCCAAAAATAATTATCTTACGAAAATATTGATCTAAAGTCCCTATAATGGATATATTTTAGGTATTCTTCGTGAAGGAGCCATTTCCGACCCTATAAATCATATATATTCTTGATCAGCATAAGAAGACGAATCGATCTAGGTATGTTTGAAGGAAAATATATTTTTTTAATTTTTTCAGAATTTTATTAGGATAAAATTAATTTAAAAATATGGTAAAAAAAATAATTTTTTAACATTTCAAATTGAGTATGCAGATTTATTAATCTAATAAAAACTAGCATAGGGTCGCTTTCCGATTTAAAATTAATGCATTTTTGACTGAGTTATGATGGATTTTACTTGCAAGTGTATATAAATTTGGGATTTCCGAAGATAGCTTCCTTCTTGTTTTTACTATTTTATTTTACAAAATAAAATTAAGAACTTAAGTACAAAATTAAAAGTATATATAATGGGGTTTTTGTTAGAATAACCCTTGGATCGTACAATTATGAGGTATAATAATAGATGACTAATAAAATATTTGAAAAACTATTATTTTTAAAATAAATTTTATATATTACGAGTAATTCAAAATAATTTTTTGGGTACTTTCTTAACAAACTTAAAATAAAATCAACCAATGCAAAATATAATAAAAATATATTATGCAAAATTATATACGGAGTATAATATATTAAGTTAAATAAAATGCGCCCTAAAATATGTGGTCTTAAGGAACTTCTACATTTAATCTGTAAAACTTAAAAATACTTTTGTACAAATAGTGCTCAGTTGGTAATATTTTTTAGCATAGTTAATGAAACTTTCTTAAAATGAAATGCCAATTTTCTTTAGCAATATTGAAACATAACTTAAATGTTAAAATTAGTATTTAATTTACACCGATGGAACATTTAAAAAGTATCTCTACATGCGGATGTAAAATATTTGTAAGATACATGAAACCATGTAAAATATCTGTCAAGTAAATTGTGCAAGGAAATATTCGACATTTTACACCTGGCCAAAATGCAAAGCGAGCATCTAACTGAAAAAAAATCTGATGTTTGGCCTTTCTCGAAAAAAACCCACGGAATCTAACGGCAAAATTAGTCGCCGCAGCAGCAGCGGAAAGTGCAGTGCTGCTAAAGTCGACTGCGCTGCGACATCGGTATTTATTTTATTTATTTATCTTTGCGCGCGGGCAGCGCACTTTTCATTCATTCGAAGCGCTCGCAGAAAAGCGAACGTGTGCGCTCGCTGTCGTCGTCGTGTTTTCTTTATTTTAATTTTTTTTTTTGTGTTAGCGTTTTTCTTGTATTTTAATTTTCTCGGTTCCTCGGTTTCGCGTGTTTTCTTTTATTTATATATATTTTTTCCCCCACATTCGCTTCTCGTCACTGTTTTGTGCATATTCCTAAGCATCGCAACTTTGTTTGTTCGTGGGTCCCGGAATATGGCATTTACACAACAAACTATGTGCAAATATTTGGCCGCAGTTGACTCCACTAAAATACACTAAAATAATAATCAGATGAGTGGGTCGGGCGGATGACAAGAGATAAAGAACTAGATCCGCAGATAAGGATCCGTGCATAAACACATGGTGGACCCAAAAGAGTGACAAGCCAACGTCGTCGAGGGAATCGCCTTCAGTTAAAAATTCGAAACGACTCGCGACGGTTGTGGCTACGTAAGAGTTACCCCTTTGGAAAGTACAGTGGAACACCGGTAAATGGAACGGATCTCAGCTAAACTACAGTACATTTTCAACTAATCTTCAAGATTGTTCAGGTACCTTATTAGATTTTATCTTAAATTGACAAGCTAATATTGTATTTAATATGCAAACGATATATTCTGAATGCAAAATTGATCTAAAAATTAGAATTCCCAAGTGTTTATTTTGGGGAACAAAAATGTTTTATAAAAAGGAACCTAGTTGTCAGGAAGTGGAGTTCCCAATGGATTATTTTCGAAAATATTATCAGGAACTTTTATTCACAATTTTTTATTCCGGGAAACACAACTAGCTCTCAAAATATACTACCACAAATTTAAAATTTGTAAGGTTCTAAATTAATTTAAATTTTGTGACTTATATCACCTTTTTGTTCCATTTTTGGAAGTTCAACTGTTTTTCTATAATAATGCGATGGCATAGAAAGTGCATTAGCTGGAAGCCGGAAAAGTCGCCTCAACCCAAACAAAAGCAAAAACCTAGAAATAACAACGAACAAAAAAACACCAACATGACTTACAAACGACTAATTTGTGTTTGTTTTAAAATATATAAAGGCAAATAAAATAGATTGAATACGTGGAGTTGAAACACAGGTGAGCAGTAGGTTCAACTTCTGGATTCCCATTTCCATTCCCAATCAATCCCATTCAACATTATCACTCTCCTCGTATCCATTTCGAACTTCCCTTCTCCTGTCGATCATTTGCAATTCCAAGTTGCACTCAAACTACTTGACAATGCTGAAATTTCAATTGCAATTTACACTTTCGCTTGTATACATTACTAGCGACGAATAACTTTTATTCGAAGCCAATTACTATCAATTGAAAAGGGCGCCGCGAGCATTGCCAGAAATAAACCTAACAGATCAGGGACACTCCACTAAAGTGGACCAGGAAGTAATTATATAAAATTAATAATTCCCAAGTGATTATTCGAGAGTGACAAGTATACCTGATGGCAATTGAAATCTCTTTAAATTAATCAAAAAAAAAGATGTAGAAGTATTAAGATGGTTTTCCAAACACTTCTACTCAAATAAACATTACTTATAATCCCCAAGTTTATATTCTGATGCTGCCTGATTTTATCATTTGTTTACTCTTAAAATATTCCCATCTTCATTTAGATTTTGATCTAATTGTTACAACAAAATATTAATTGTGTTAGCCGCGTTGAGTCATCGGACTGACCCTAAAGGCACGCAAGCATTGTGTCACTGTAATTACTGTTATTCGTATTGGGTTCGCTTACCTTTCGTGTTCCATATCTAACTTGCATAACTCACAAATCTAGTCTTTGTGGGAAAATGAAGTTATTTATTTGTGCTAAACAATTATAGACAAATTAATTGGCCACGAGAGGATCTATATCGAAAAGTTCTACCTTTCTCTTATCTCAATTACCCGCAATATCACAATGATCTCGCTAATCATGTACAAAGACGGCGTTGGTATTTCCCCCCATCGTTTCCTAGTGAGCTTCGAACTTCAGTCCAAAGTCGGAAGGCACCCTCCCACCACTCCGATCGTTCCGACGATTCGATCATATTCGAACATTCATTAGTTCCCCGATCCCCAGTTAACTCAATTGATGTCTGGCTGGCTGAGAGTTAATTGCACAACGTGATTATGACATCCCCCCGACACTCGTTTGGCTTTAATTGAATTTATCAAATTTACTCTCGGGGTTTCATTAGAATATTCATTCTACGATTTATGGCTCTTTCAGTTCGTCTGGCCTTGATAATAGCAACAGGCAGAGTCAATTTTTTTATTTTTGTGAAGAATTGTGTAAATTTGCCCCGGGCATACAAAGTATATGCATACAAGTACAAGTACTACTTGGCGGTCGGATGGATGGATACACTTGGACCTTTGTCAGTCTCTGGGGAGATCTGTTGACAGAACCTTTTAGCCGGCGGCTTGAGGTGGCTGCCTCTCTGCCACTGTTTTTCACCGAGATCCAATTACGGAGCCAACAGCAGCAGCAAGTCAGTGGCCAGAACGTGTCAAGTGTGCATTTCAAGAGCACATGAAGCTGAGGTTTACCGAGAGAGTTGGGGGGTAACACTACGAAAAAGTGGCATATACATATAACTCAGATATGGGGATTGTAAGATCATAAATCAAGAGTTTATGAAAGAAAATTTTAAAAAAATTTCGCATCATATGTTGAAAAATATTTTTTCTCAGATGTCCATTATTTTTTTAAACCAAATTTTAAAGAATAATAAATATAATAACATATAATATAATATATATTCCAAAAACCTCAAATACATTAAAACAATATATTAAAAGGTTTAAGTTAATACAGATCTGTGGAAAGATCAAACTTTTAGAGAACAATAGTTTTCTAACTTGCCAATACTAGAATTGGTTCAGAATATTGGAGAAAAACTTGACAACTCACATGAAATTAATTATTTATATAGCTAACTCAAAGATTTATATAGCTAAATTAAAGATTTATATAGCTAAATTAAAGATTTATATAGCTAAACTAGTTTCCAAAATTAAATTCTTAGTTAAAATAAATACTAAAGACAAAAACTCTGAGATATAACAAATTAAATATCATAAATCCTATACCTTCTTGGGAATTGAAGGGCAAAAATGAAATATTAGCCATCTTGAAGCTAAATTGATCCTAAAAATATATTTTAATCTACCTAAAATATAGTTCTTAATGTTAAATTTAAAATCACTCAATAATATAATCGCCTGATCAGAGATTTTCAGTGTTTAAAAAGAAATGCACACCTCCAGACCCCATAGATCGCTTCGGTTAAAGCTCGCCCCACAGGCTCAGCTGTTTTGGCCAAGAGCTTTTCACACAACAACAAAAAGAAAAAGCTTGTTAACTGGTTTAAACAATTTCACTTGTTTGTTTGTTTCCCTCCCGATTGCACGCCTCTTCCGCATGCATCTGCCACAGAAAGATCAAAGGCTCCATTATCCAGTGTTGAGAGTGATCTACTTTTACAGTTCACCCGAAATCTCTTCCTGCTACAAAGCAATTAGATAACGAGATCTTTATGATCACACAGAGTGCTTTTAATGATTGACGGTTTAAGCCGTAAAAAGTTATATATTTCATTAAGCAAATAAGGGCAATGCGAAGAGCACACAGTTGACGGAATCAGACTTCTTCGCCACAAAACGTGCCAATAATACTAAAGGCCTGGGTGGTGTTTGTATTTCTTTTTATCGGTAAGATACGCAACTGTGAGGGTTTTTCCCCCACACACACACACAAACACACACACACACACGATCGTGTGGAAAACCGGGGGAGTTGCGTGCGAACCCGCAAGGCAATGTGCCTTTTGGGGGGCTTTTAATCAAAAGTTTTAATAGATTGGCGGCATTGCGCTTGAGGAAATTGTCAACTGGAACGCAAAGTAATTCCAGCTCAGAGAGTTATTTCCTTCTCTCCTTACTCTTGTTCTCAGTGTATCCCCTTCTTACGCTCTCTCTCTCCTCTCTCCCTCTCTTCAATTTTGTGTCGCTTAACTGCTCTTTCTCCGGCGTAAAAGCTCCCCCGTTAGCTTGGGGCTTGTGATTTCAGTTTTCAGTTTTGAAGATCACTCGCTGCCAAGCGGACGCACAACCCCAGGCGGAGACACAAGAGAGAGAAAGCGTAAAGAAAAGCTGAGAAAACACAGTGAAAAATACGAACGAAATACAACAAAACTTTACAATAATAAATAAATAAGTAAAGCTAAAAATCCATGTGGGAACCACATTGAGGAAATATAATTCCGACGGTCGGAAAAAATAACAAATAACAAATAACCAATTACCAATATCAGTACCCCCCAATGTCAAGCGATCGTGAAAACAACACTCGATCGTTCCAAATCCGGGGTCAGAAGCTCTCTGGGCTGATTAACACTCCGCCGCATCGCAAATAAAAATAAACAAAAACAGACGACAAACACAAATACGGCCAGAAATTAACAGAAACGCGCGGAATATAGCAAAAAAAAAACACGTTTCCACAAAAAGATTGTCGAGCGGATCGGAGCAAGTTGCCAATAACAACAAATTAACCAAATAACAAATACCAAATAACACAAATTGCTGCCGCTGCCGCTGCCGCTGCCGTTGCTTTGTTATTGAACACACGCGCTTTGTGTGTGAGGAGACTCAGTCGAGGCCCTGATTCTGGCCACTGCCAAATATGTTCAAGTGGAGCTTGTAACCCGAGCAGCCGTGACCGCAGAAAACTCATAGGAGACACTCACACACCCAGTATATACACGCAAACACACACAGCACCATGGAGCGCTCTCACAGCTGCAGCAACTTTGAGGGCAGAACCAGCAAGGTCGCCGCCGTCAGGCCAGCTGAGCTTGAGCTGGCCGGGAGCAGCGATCACCTGCCCACGTCGCATCACTTTCCGCCCAGCAAGCCTTTGCGACGGCGCCGAAAGCTGCAGCGACAACAGTCCGCCGTAGATGCCGATGATCTGGAGTATGCCGCCGATTTGGAGGAGGATGCTGATCCAGATCCGCAGGTTAACTTGCCCTTGCGCCACATCTCCGCCATCACCACCACCACGTCCGCCGCCGCCGTCGCCACCGCCAGTTGTAGTACGCGATGCCTGCGGCATGAGGAGTCCTTTGAATCCTGCAGCACGGCACCAGAGCTGAGTCCTCAGGCCCAGCGACAGCAGCGCTTCAGCAGTCTGCTCCTCCGCGACAGCTCTGTGCAGTCCGTGCAATCCGACTCCAGTCGCTACTCCAGTGTGGACAGCTTGCTGGAGGCGCGCAAGCCCGATCCCGAAGCCATACTCATTAATCTGGGCTTTGGTCCACTCAGTTCCGAGGACATGCTCTCCCGGATACCGCGACGGTTCCTGAAACCCTCCCAGGTGCCGGGAATCGATACGGATGCCTTTGTGCAAAGACTGACCCTGGCCCGATCGCTGGCCGATTCAAGTGTCCTCGGGTATCGGGGACTCACCGGAAACCCGGATATGCCGCCCTCCTCGATTGTGGCCAGCATCATGAAGCGTTTCGAGGTGAATCATCAGAGGAAGAACTCCATGGGCTCCATTAAGCCCACGATACAGTAGGACGCCGCCATACTCCATACTCCATACTCCGTAGTCCATAGTCCTTAGAGAATAGTCAGCCAAATGGAGGACGCATTGTTATGTAACCGGAACTGCTGCTACTGTTTGCCAAGCGGGATCCCAGGGGGATCCCTGTGATTGTCCCCCGTCTTGTCCATTAGTCCTTAAATGTGCCGCGTACTTAGCTGTGTAAAATTGTATTATTGTAACAATCCATTATGTTTATTATTTTTTCGCCAGTTAAAAAAAACCATTAAAGATTATATTTTATTTGTAAAATTGTTGTTTTATTTATTGATATTCATTGATAGTGAAGTTTGTTATGATTTTTGTTAATAGGTTAATTCCGATGAGAAATGAGTTATTTGTTAATCATAATATTTAATGGGTTATTTATTAAGTATATATTTATTAAAACTCCTGAAATACTCTAATAACTTTTCTAGAGTTTTAAATCTCAAAATCTTTTAAAGGGAATTAATCTCAATTGATTTAGAAACTCTCAAGTGCCATTGTGTTCGCTTCCAGGAACTTGTTGTTTCTCCAACTTGAATCCAAAATTAGAAATCTGCGTCACACTGTCAAATGGTCTGATTGTTTATGTACATACTATATGTTGTAGTTGAACAAATTCATTTGCGATATAAGTACATATTTACAATACAATACAATATGTATGTACAGTGTATAACCCGAAGCCCACAGACACACATTCATGGCGTATTTTGCATTGTTTGATTTTATAGTTTTTGTTTTTGTTTTTTTTTTCTGTATTTCTTATCGTAAGTCAATTTTCTGAGCAAAGTCTTATTAATAGCCAGTGACTTGGCATCTTTCGAGTCTGTCCCCCAAGGGGCAGAGGAACAATCAAAACATATCGTCGAATGGGAGCCGAGATTCAAGAGTTTCCAGAAGGGATTACAAAGTCTGCTCGGATCGTTCGGATCGAATCGCTTATTGATTTCAATTGCCCGCAATTGTTTGCATTCACAAATGCAGCAGCACGACCGCAGCACGGCGGCAGGGCATGTACCACAAATTACCTCATTCGCAGCACTCTATTTTTTATTTACTTATTATTATAGGGTTCTGGTTTTGACCCAAACAAATATTCAATAGCCGCCTGCTAGCCTGATAACCGATAATGCCATTTGCGCACATTTGTAACACCTTCAAGGCGATGCACGGCCCACAGGGAAATGCTAATACGTCCATAGACAGCACAGGTCGCATTAATAGCAGTCTATGTGTACCTATAAATGTAAAACTATGCTACATATATATTTATATCTTGAAATTGTTGGATATTTCCGTGGGTGGTTTTTAGTTTAATTTAAATCTTTTTTAATGCTTAATAATAAATAATAATAATCTTAACCTTTGCAAAAATTAATAAATTACTAAGATACTTTTTCATACGAATTTCAATACAATACAAATACTTAAGAAACTTGCAAATTAATCGAAATTGAATATTCTATTCTAGCCTTTAATAAACAAACTTAAGTAACATAACCTTAATTATACATAATAATAAAATATAAACTTACATTTGATAAAATAATCATACTTGCCATATCATATAATTCTTAATATTCTTAAAAAATAACTTATTTCGATCCTAGTAACTGTGCCTCAATTGTAGCTATGCAAATACGTGAGTTCTTGAGCTTTGGGCATATCCAATAGATAACGGTACCTAGGTCTGTTCATCGGCACATGACTCGCTTTATCTATCGATGGGAAAGGGGAGGTAAAATTAATTCCCAAACAGAGCAAAGCAATTTCAAGCAAAGAAAGAGGGAATGGAAAAGCCAAGAAATCCATTGCCAAACAGTTGCAAGTGTATGAATGTATGCGTGTGTGTTAGGAACCAAAGGGACGCAGCGGCAAATAGCACCGTTACACGCGGATTCCTTCTGCACTCTTCACACCAATGCCAAATTTGCAAGTTCAAGGCAGGCACAAAAAAAATGAAGAAAAATGAGCGACAAAATGCAATGCATGCACGTGTATAAGTGTGTATGTGTATGTGCTATTGGCAAGTTAAGAATAAAATAATTTGCGCCCACGCCGGAAGAATGTGCAAAAGAAATTAGCAAACCAAAACAAAAACGAAAGCAGCACCAAACAGCAGCAAGAAGCAAAAGATACACGCCGGACAAGCGAAGCAATTGGCAAATTAAAATGTTTGTCAGAGCGCAAGATGGCTGCGGGTTTGCGATTTTAGTTAAATATGTACAGGGGGCGTTTGATTAATTGCCCTTATATTCACCACTTGGCAAATGTCTCCCCAATAGTAAATAGCAAATCACTCACCTAGTTATGCAGCAGTTAACACGTAAATTTAAGAAATTTTCACGAAACACCAGAACTTTTCACTTTATCCCGCCGAAAAACATTAGTACTGGCAAAACTTCAGAAGCACTATCGATACTATCTTTGTTTGGATAGTTTTCAAAATATCGATTGTTTTGCACACTCGATGTTTCGCAATGAAATTGGTTATTTGTACTATGCATAAAAACCGAATGTTTTCATTCAATTAATTCCTTTTTATAATCTTTAATATTAATTTAATTAGTAAGCATCAAACTAATTACGATTTTGTTGTGTCAAAAGTTAATGATAATAATCCTATTAGCTTGTGTACATTCCAATTAATTGTTGTTCTCTTCAATATGCTGCTTGTTTGTTTCTAGCAATAATAATGCTTTAATTATTGTTTTGAACGTTTAAATTAATTTTTGTGCTCTTCTACATTAAAATAGTCCCTAAAACACAAAATAAATGGGATTTTATATTAATACAAATCTTAATATAGATAATTATAAATGACTTGATACGTTTCAATTCATTTGTATACTCTTTAAAATAATGAATTAGTAAAAGAGATAGTAATGCTAATATATTGTTTTGCACGTTTAAATTAATTTTAGTATTCTTCAACATTAAGATTATTAAAACACAAAATTAAAGTGTTTTATTTTTGTGAATTCAAATATTAGTACAAGTAATTATAAATGACTGGTTAAGTTTTTATTCATTTGTATACTCTTTAAAATTATTAAGTAAAAGAGATAATAATGCTAATATATTTTTTTTGGGCTTTTAAATTAATTTTTTTATTCTTCCACATGAAAATAGTTACTAGAACACAAACTAAATGTGATTTTCTGTTAATAGAAAGATTAATAAAAGTAATTATAAATGACTTGTTACATTTCAATTCATTTGTATACTCTTGAATATTAATTAATAAGTAATAGAGATTAAATTGTTAATGGAACATTTATCATAATAATAATGGTAATTTTCTTTAATATCTACAAAACTGAGGCTATAGAAATCGGTATTGTCAATATTTAATTCGTAAAAATATCTAACGAACACACACAATTTTCACATACATAATATATATTTATTTAAGGTGGTGTAAAACTATGCTATATATTTATTTGTAATTTGAATATGCCAGTGTTGCTAAAGACGTTTCGGCGTCGAGGGTCCGGCTCGATTGCAGCTATCGATAGCTCGATAGGAGTCGGTCAGGCGTTAGTCTCTTTTTTGCTGGCAAAAAGTAAAACAAAACGATATGGAATAATTTGTTTTTTGTTTAGTTTCCGTTCAAAACCTCGCCGATTGTACTTAATTTACACCTTCTTTCCAACTTTGTGGCGCCCGCTAATTTGCCGTTTTTCGTTTGTTTGTTTGCTTGACTTTTTGTGCCAACATGGATTCCCCAGGCGGAGCAGTACTTAAGCCGATCGCTGGTTATCCGAGATGTCTGTGTGGACCACGGCAAACTCCGGTGGCCTAGAGACGCCCGCAAAGACGCCCGATTCCAGGCAGCCGCCCGGCAGGGGTGCACGCAACCCAAATCCCATCGTGACCGCCACCACCACGCAGCACCACTTCCAGCACGTTGTCGCCGCCGCCGTTGCAGCAGCCACCTCAGTGGCCACCGGCCACCAGTTCCCGCAGCAGTATCCTCAGCATCACAGCAACAGTCCCACTGGAAGCGGCAGCAATAGCAACAACAGTGCCGGATTCAAGCGTTCCAGCCTGAGCAACTCGCTGCTGCAGTTCCCGCCGAACCCGCCCCCGCCGCCGCCGTCACAGAACCAAGCGAAGGTAAGTCCAATAACAAATCAATCTCCGATCTCGGTATCTTCCATTTCCCCCCGCTCCCCCCAGTCCCATCTCTTCATCCTTACCTACCGTCTCTTTCGCACCTTTTAAAGCGATGCTATGGAAGCCCCCCCTCTCTCGTTAAGTCTCTCTTGTTCTCCGACGCGTTGGCAATGGGCACATTCAGCAGAGAAAGTCGCTGCGAAGTCCGTGATTTGAGCTGTGATTTCTTAGATTCTCTCTCTCATTTGGTTCTTTTTTCCCTCCCTCAAACAATGTTTTGGCAATGGGTGCATTCAGCAGAGAAAGTTTGTTTGTGATTTTAAGCTGTGATTTTTTATATATTTTTACTAAGCCGTGATTTTAAATAATGATCAAATTTGAATTATTTGAATTACTTAGAAAATTCCAGCATGAAAAATTAATGTCTTGATTACTTTGTAGATTTTCAATCAAATTTAATAACTGTTGCAGTTTTAATTATTAAATTTCCCAATCAAGATTTAATCAAAATAAAGCGAAGAAAGAACAATGACAATTTGTTGAGAAGGCTGTCAGATATAATTTGTACATTCTACATAATTCGTTTAGCTGCATCTATATTTAGGTATCTAAAAGCGATATGAACTAGAAACATTACAAAATCATTTATGCAAGGTGCATTTTTCGAATAGTCGCAACAAAAGTGTTTTTATTGAAGAGCAAAGGGGCAAGTTATATAAATTTTGTATTAAATACTTCATTTTGGAGTTGACTAAAGATATGTCAAGTGCTTGGTTATGTGTAATGTTCCAGTCCGTAAATGGTAATTAATAAATCTGGTTGCAAGTGGTTAAAGACCTCATTATAAATCACATAATTCCCCGTAAATAAATTCGAAATCCCCTGCTGAATGCGCCCCATCGATCGAGAAACGAAATTTCTGACAAACAAACAAGGCCTAAGTTTCAAGTCGAACGAGATTCTGGCACACACACACACACACATGACTGCGTTACCTGGTGAACCTGCTGAATTATTGAACATTGTTTTTTATTTTAGTCTTGTTGTTGCTTTTTGACAATGAAATTGTAAATGGAAATTGAAGTGGAAATGGAAATGGAATGGCGTAGAACCCGGCGTCTGCTTGGCTTCGCGGAGAACCGCTTTTGGGTTCCCTTATCGCAGCGGTGTCTTATTTGCACATTTTCGCCGGCGATAAAAAATAAACAAGAACACATCCACACCCACACCCGGTCCACCCACGAGTTTGGGCCTGCTCCTGGGGGGCGGTGTCTCTGAAATCCAGGTGTGTGTTTGCATACGAATTTTGGAGCGAAATTAAACACCAACCGCCAGCTGACACCTTCCGTTTCTTCTTTATCGGTTTGACTTATTTTTATTCGAATTTTTTAAGTGGCTCCGCTTTGGTTTTACTCTGGAGGAAGTCAGACAGCGGCGACTGGGGAATCTCCAAACGAACTTGTTCCGCTTGGCATTTCATTTTATTATTAAAATTAACCAGATTTGTATCAAAAAAAGGGAGCACTTTCGATTTCCTAGAGTTCTGAATCAATTTACAGGCAGTTGCGACTTCTTCAGATACTTTTATTACATATATTTAAGATTGTTTTATAGTTTGAAGCTATTACTGATACCTTTTGAGCCTTTTTTACTTTCCTTTTCGATTTCTTTAACATCTAACTTTTGTATCATGCAGGATTCTCTATTTCTTTTTGCATAATACTTGTTCAAAACATCTGTTTTAGGCCATTGCTTATTTGCATATCAATTTGTGTTTTCAGCTTAATTCAAATGTTGTTCCAAATTTGAAACGTGAGATTACACTCACCTGATTAATGCTTATAGTTATTTTTAAATAACCTGATGTGCTGTAATGAAACCAAAATAAGATCTTAAATATGCGTCGAAATGGTGCTGCATTCCATGAGGTGATTGAGGAAACCAAAAAAGGAAAACAATTTCTAGAAGTTTATAGTATTATTTTGTATTTCAAGCATGACACTTGCCTTTAAATCAGAGATAACCATTATTTAGACCACGTCATCTCACGTACAATTTGTGCAAGAGAATAATGACCTACGATACTGTGTTACTCATCTTCCTGATCGTCTTTGAGTTCGTGGATGGGGTCAAGTGGTTATTTTGTTTATTAATTGGATCTTGAATTCAATAGTTTAAGTTCAGGGTCTCTGAGTGTGTTGATGTGTGTCCCGTTTTGTGTGTGTGTGTGTGTTTTAATCACTCAATTTGTCTTCCCCATTCACCAGTCGATGATCGCTGATCGATTGCCAAAATCCCCACCTCCCACACCACCCACCTTCAGTCGGTTACTTTGTTTGTTTTCCTGTAGTTTTGCTTTCGCCTCTTTCGATTCTTTACCTTTGGTGGTAGTGCGCTCTCTTTTCGCTTCTATTTCTCTCCCACTCTCTCTTTAAATGCTTCCATTCAAATGGCTTTTCTACAGTAAAGCTTCACTGAAAGGAATTTTGCTGTAGTGTAATTTGTAGAATTCTTTAACATTGAATCTTGAACAAGTTTTATCGAAGTTTATTTGATTTTTTAAGTTTAAACATTTTAATAAAATTTGATGTTTAATATATTTAAACTTAGCTTCGAACTGATTCGTAATTTCTAGCATTTTAATTTGGAAACTTGTGAAATTTATCTAAATAAACATCTAAAATAAATTTTAAAAATCTAAACTATTAATTTAACAAGTCATATATATTAAAATATCAGAATTCGAATATTTTATATTTTAACAAGTCATATATATTAAAATGTCAGAATTCGAATATTTTATATTTTGAAAATTCAGATACTCAAAATGTTGCAAAAGATAACTGAAAATTAACAACTTTCAAATTCATAATTAAATTTCCTTGAAAAATATCTAACAAAATTATACATTAATTTAAAAAAATGTATAATTTATTTATTAAATTTCGAAAATTATAATACTTAAACTTGGAAAGTTTGAAACTGTAAAAATCAGAATTATTGTATTTAGAAATCCTACAATTTTTGAATTTCCTTATGTATTTGATTTTTAAAATTTGTCAAAATTCTAGAAATTGGAAAGTTTCTTTCTTCGCAAAGCCCGACTGTAGTTCGTAGTTCGATTTTCACTATTTGTAGTTGTTGTTGCTCTTTTGTGTCATCGCAGGCCGCCTCATTCGAGAATTGATTGTCGAATTTGAATACGTCGCCGTCGTCGTCGTCGTCGTCGTCGTCGTCGTCGTCGCTGCTGGCGCTCTGCCGGTGCTGCTGCTGCTCTGCGGGCAGAGCCGTATCAGTTAGTTGTTAACTTGCCATCGCCGAAGGAACAAGAGGCGCGAAAAGCTCGAAAAATCGCGAAAAACCAATGAAAAGGCGAACGGCGGAAAGCGAAATACTGAGTGTGTGCAGCACCTGATTCAAAAACCAAAGAAAAAAAACAAATCCGCAAAGGTTTTACATTTCGATTCCGATTTCTTGCGTGCTTCTTGGTTTTTGTATTATTTTTTTTTTTATTTTTGATTTTGGCGGAAGTGGCACTTGCGGTGCTCTTGGTTTTTTCGGCTTTTTTAGTCGGTTTTTGAGCGTTCAAGTACCCAGTAACATCTCGCTGACCTCGTGTACAGAGCAACAAGTGCCCAAGCCTTTATAATTTACATTTTTATAAAGCACATAAAATGTTTATAAATAAAAAGTAAATATTATTTCAAGAGAAAATATATATATATCACCAGAGCAAGAGCAAGAGAGAGTGTGTGAGAATAGTGAAAATTTTCGCATGCGTGTGTAATTTGCCGATCAATTGTCATGTGCACAACAACACACTCGTCTGTCGGCTGTCTCAGGAACTGCACAAAATAAAAACAATACTCTCGGCGGTACTATTATTCAGAATCATCAGAATCATCATCATCAATGGGAAGCATTGCAAAATCAACCAAGTGAAACGGAACCCAATAAAAAAAGTCATCATCGTCGTTGCTGTCTCTGCCTCTGCCTCTGCCTCCGTCTCTGCCGCTGCTGTTGGGGAAACAAAAATTGAATTTGAATTTAAATTCTGAAAAACAACAACGAGATTACACACAGTGTGACAAGTGGCGAAACGGGCTCTAGAATTGCGCGATAACCAGGATTCAGTTTTTCCAAAGACTTCAATCGAATCCCTGGAAACCTTGGAAAACCCAAAAGGATAACACGAGAGTATTACCAGGACAAGCCAACAAGATCAACAATTAAAATTCCTTCACATTATTCAAAGAAGAATATATATATATCACAAAGATCAATTATCAAATTGCTGCAAAGTGAAAAAGTCGTTAAATGAAAACTGCCGCATAATTGAGGCAGGGCGTTGTCGTCGATAACCAACATGCGAACCTTATGACCCAATGGAATATTTATTTATTAATGTATGTATATATACACCAGGCATATGCCAGGCACTGGAAATCAGCAGATCGCCACAGAGAACACAGAGAGCGGAATTTGTAACAAAAATCCCATTAAATAAGTGGGTGCTAAGGTGTGATCTTGGAGTTTAAAAGCTTAAAATTAAAGTAAGCTAATAGTTTTGGACAGTATAAATGTATATGATGAGATAAACCAAGAGACTGCTTAATGAAAAAGTGAAATTGAACTGAAAATTTAATGTATGAATAACATTTTTTAAAGATTATTTAATGTAAACGAAAAAGACAAGAATAAACAAGGCTTAAATTAAGTTTTTGAGAACTGTGAACTGGAAATCACCAGATATCATATTAAACCAAGAAAAGACTTGACAAAGTTGGTACAAGTTTAAAACTGGCTTACATTATAAACCCAGACGATCTCGTAACCAAAACTCGGACCAGCAGTCCATGCCACCCTTCGAAGAGGATCAGGAACAAACCGAGGAGCAGCAGCAGCATCACCAGGAGTTACCTCTGAAGCCGCCGCGCCGCAAGAGAGCAATGAAGACTGGGATCAGTGATCAGGAAGCGGTTCATCCGCCGCCGGCCGAGGAGCATGAGGAAGAGCATCTACTGCCGGAGACGGAGACGGAGACCCACATGCACACAGCAATGATGAGCAGCAATTTACGCTATGCCCGGGCCAATTTGAGCCACAGCAACCTGTTGCTGAGCCACCAGCAGAGCTCCTTTGACACATCCACCGAGCGAACCGCCAGCAGTGAGACCCTGGACGTGTTGCCTGTCTCACGACGCCTGGCCTACCAGATGCAGTTTCAGCAGCAGCAGCAGCAGCAGCAGCAGTTGCAGTTGCAGCAGCAGCAGCAGCAGCACCAACAGACGCGATACGGGATGCGGCAGCAGCCGACATCGGCCTTGGCGAGTGCTCTGCATGCCACTGCCAGGTTGGCGGCCAGTGTGGATGCCTATACGGCAGCTGCCACAGCCACAGCCACAGGCACAGCCACACCGACGGCACCCGGCGACAACCCGAACCTGAATCCGAACCTCAGTCACCTCCAACAGCAGCAGCAGCAGCAGCAGCAGCACGCTCACAACCTGGCGAATCTCAGAGCGAGCAGTAGGTATCTCTACCACAGCCAGTTCAATTCGAGTTCGCCGCAGTCGAGACGCTTCAACGCTTCGACAGTGCGAGAGGGCTCGCCGGCATTCGCAAAAGCGGCAACAGCAGCAGCATTAGCGGCCGCCTCGGCCTCCGCAGTAGCCCCACTAGCACCACTAGCACCACTCGCACCACTTGCCTCCATAGCATCGCCGTCCCCCATCGCATTCGCTGTCCCACCGCCACCGCCGCCGCCATTTCAGTTGCGCACCTACCAACAGAACCAATCCTCCCGCTTTCAGCCGCGTGGCCACCATCGCACCGCCAGCAGCAGCATGTCGCAGTCTGGCGAGGATCTCCATTCGCCCACCTATCTCTCCTGGCGCAAGCTGCAGCTGAGCCGGGCCAAGCTCAAGGCATCCAGCAAGACGTCCGCATTGCTATCAGGATTTGCCATGGTGAGTAATTCATCCTGTAGGTAACATGGAAATGTGATTAATAATGAGGTTTCTGCCTGTCTCCTGTTATTAAAGATATATGGTTTTAAATTAATTAAGAGGTTTTTAGGTGTAATGATATTTTGTAATTGTGTCTTTTCAGTTTCCTTAAAAAGGAATATGTTTTTAAGGAAGAATAATAGTTTTAGTGGTATAAAATATGTATCTTTAGGGAACAGGATGCATAGCTCTTTAGTTTTTAACATTTCTTAGTTGAAAAATAATAGAAAATGAGTTGGGGATATAATTTATATAGTAATATTTAGTAGAATAATGATAACTACTCATGATGTATGATATTTGAGTTATATAATATTTATAAAAAAGCTATTCCATTTTCTTTATAGCTTTTGTAAGGGATAATATTTTTGGGAATATCATAGTAAACATAAAGCTTTGTAAACAAACTATTTGATTAGTAGAAAATACATTGTTCTTGATCATATTTATAAATTTAAATGAGATTATTCAGTCAGTTTTAGTTAAATGCTTTCAATTATCATTAGAAATTGGTTTTACAACCTCTAATTTTACTAACTTACTAGCAAATGAACTAATTTTAAATAAATATACCTTCTTCAGGTAATTCTTAAGCTATTTAAATAGTTTTTAGTGACTATATTCTCACCCTCCGCTGTGCATAATTCGAAAGAAACATTAACATTAAACCAACTTAATGTGCAGGGTCAGAATATGTCTGGCAGAAAGCACATAATTTTCTTTATCTTTTTTCCTAGTGCTTGTTTTTGTTTTTAAAAGAGAGATACAACGAATAATGAATACTCTGCCTAACAGAACTATAGAATTATTACAGTAAATATATATATTATATTACTAACAGAGTTCCACTTGACTTGATTAGAGGCTTGTTTACAACGAAATCTAATCCGTAATTTGTTCCATTCGAGTGGGCAGTCTGAATGCTACCCCTTAGTTCAAGTAAATCTCTATATTGACTATAATACCTACATATATGGGAAAAGAATCGGACTAATTGGATGTCTGCACTTTCCTATATACCTGATCAGCATAATTCCTCTTTGATGCCGCATTGAGGGCCAAAAATTGTGTTTTCTTTGCTGTTTTTGTTTGTATTTATTGGCACTATCTTTCTCTTGGGGGGAAACAAGTCTGTTGGCTGTTTGTTTTTATTTCATTTTTTTACCCATTAATCAGGGGTAGCTTGGGCTATTGTAATTATGAATGTGAGGGAAGTCAAGGGAAATGAATTAAGATTTGATTCCATGGGATTCCCCGCTTGTTTAAAGGTCTTGAATGACAGAATTCCCATATATTGTTTATGAAATTAATGAGATTTGTTACCTATATTTAGTATTTAACGTTTTTTTCGTATATGGATTAGTAGTAGTACCAGTATAAGGAGAAATTATAGATCCTTAACATTTTATACAAATTTCTTATATATATAATTTTTACTACCTAACTATGGATGGTTTTATGATCTACATTGATGTATCTTGAGAGACAGTTTAATTAAGTGACGAGGTATTTATTAGTTCATTTCTGGGTCTGACAACATGTTAGACATTCCACATGCACACACCTAAAGCAAAGGGGATCGGATAAATTAGCCCATAGAATATAGAGGAGCAATCTTGCTGCCAAAATGATCTCTCTCTGTGATTTTCTCTCTTATAGCTAATAATAATAATAGGGGCAATGTGGGGATATTATTTCGATTCTTCTCCCAAATTAATAAGTAACATTTAATGACGAATTTGTTTTCTTATTTAAATGGACAGGTGGCAATGGTGGAAGTGCAACTGGATCACGATACACAGGTGCCGCCGGGAATGCTGGTGGCCTTTGCCATCTGCACCACCCTCCTGGTGGCTGTGCACATGCTGGCCCTGATGATCAGCACCTGCATCCTGCCGAACATCGAGACGGTTTGCAATCTGCACAGCATCTCCTTGGTGCACGAATCGCCGCACGAGAGGCTCCACTGGTACATAGAGACAGCGTGGGCCTTCTCCACGCTGCTGGGATTAATCCTCTTCCTGCTGGAGATCGCCATCCTGTGTTGGGTGAAGTTCTACGACTTGAGTCCGCCGGCGGCTTGGTCCGCCTGCGTTGTCCTCATCCCGGTGATGATCATCTTCCTGGCCTTCGCCATTCACTTCTACCGTTCGCTGGTGACGCACAAGTACGAGGTGACGGTGTCGGGCATCCGGGAGCTGGAGATGCTCAAGGAGCAGATGGAGCAGGATCATCTGGATCATCACAACAACATACGGAACAATGGCCTGCAGTTTGGAGCATCCGGGGACATTGTCTAGCAGGCAGTTTAGTGGGGATCCAGCGGCGCTTTAAAAGACATATTTTTGCGGCTCAGGGCTCTAGCCTCTCAGACTAAAAGAAAAGAAACGAAAAGAAATAACCATATATGGTAAATTTGTAGTTTGATGCAAATTGTGATACGCATAAGGCAGTAGATTTTTACTATATCTCTATATATACATATATTTTAATGCGAACTGTATTCGATGGCGACAATGACGAAAGACCCTAATTAAAAGCAATACTTTGTGGAGCATCATTATTATGTTCGATGAATATTCCTCAGAAATTAGCTCATATCTGTTAGCAAACAAAAGAAAAACAATTTTATATTTATTGTGTCTCCTTCTTAATTTGTACCACTTCCTTGGCAGTCTTCCCTTTTAATTGTTTAAGCATTACAACTCGAGTTTGTCTTTTAGTCCCTTAATTTAATGTTAGGCCAATTATGTAAGCGATAGAAACTGCGCTGTAATTTATATGTATGAGTAAACTATATATTTTCTATAAACGTATTTAGATTTTTAATATATTTAAGGGGGTTTTCCATTAATTCTAAGATTAAATTGAACCTGAAACAGTAATTGTCAAAGAAGTTAGACTCTGTTTCAGTCAACTAGCTTTCCCCTTTAATTTATACCCCTGATTAAACGATTTCCTTCACATATATGTACTTACCCGCCACAAACGATTTTCTATTGAGGCAATGTCTTTGACCTCCTTAGGGTTGCGTGTTGTCCCTTCTCAATGCTGGAGGAAGTCAAATGGTGGCAGGACATGCTGCTTGTAGCTGTGGCTTCGGGTTGATTAGAAAAAGTGACACCGCACGCACGCTGCCCCCTCCCACAAGAGACACCACATGGCACCGTCGTAGATGGCTCCGGGCTCCTGGTTCCTGACTCCTCTGACTTCAGTCATTGACGACATGTCGTCGTGCCCGGCAAGTGGATATAGTTCCGGTGTTCGTTGCCAGCGTTATCCCGGGGGCAATGGTCGTGGCAGGTATCAGGGCAAGTGGTTGGGCAACCAACACCATGGCTATGGCGTGAAGAAATCGGGACGTGGCCTGGTCTACGAGGGGCAATGGCAGCGTGGTCAACGGCATGGCTATGGCACCCTGCGACAGGAGGAGCCCGACGGCAGCAAGCATCGCCTCTACGTGGGTCAGTGGCAGCAGGATAAGCGCAGTGGCGAGGGCAAGCAGTTCTATCCGGATGGATCGGTATACTACGGCCAGTGGCTGGCGGATAAGCGATGTGGTCGGGGAATCTTGTGGCGGGCCGATGGTGGAGTCTATGTGGGAGAGTGGCTACTGGATCAAATGCATGGAAGAGGAGTGCTTTTCACGGGTGAGTCAGGTGAAGTATAAAGAAAACTGGTTAATAAGGTTAAACAATTTGAAATTAACTTATACTTTTAATTGATTTTTTTGAAATATTTGATTAATTAAGATATTAAATACGAAGTATTGAAATATATATTATTTCTGACAATAATTGAAGAAGATCTAAAGATGTCCATTTGGGGATTTTAGTCTTTATTTTATAGTTTCAAGGAATTCCAATTTTATAAATATTATAACTTGGCCAAAAATTCATTAATTTTAATTCGGAAAGCTTTCCTAAGCCAGTTTTTATTAGCTTAATAAATTTGCATACTCAATATAAATTTTTTTTAAATTTAAATTTGTAACAATTTTTCACGTCTTTAATGATGGAAAAATAATGGCAAAATTTTTGAAAAAAAATTGGTAAAAAGAAATTGTTTCTGGAAATGCGTAGATCGATTCGTCTTTTTATGCTGATCAAGAATATATATGATTTATAGGGTCGGAAATGGCTTATTCATCAAGAATACCTAAAATGCGTACATTATAGGAACTTTAGATCAATATTTTTATATGATAATTATTTTGGGAAATCACAGTTTTTCAAATATCATAACTAAGTCAAAAATGCATAGATTTCAATTCGGAAAGTTGTTCTGTGCTAGTTTTTATTACACTAATAAATCTGCATACTCAATTTAAAATGTAAAAAAAATAATTTTTTAACCATTTTTTTTTTTAATTTTAACCCTCATAAAATTCTGAAAAAATATAAAAAAATTATTTTCTTTCAAACATGCCTAGGTCGATTCGTCTTTTTATGCTGATCAAGAATATATATGATTTATAGGGTCGGAAATGGCTCCTTCATCAAGAATACCTAAAATATGTCTAATAGAGGGATTTTAGATCAATATTTTGATAATATTTGAAAAAACTCCATAAAATTATATTTCCTTTCGTTCATGTCTAGAAAGATTCCTCTTTTGCTCCTGATCAAGAATATATATGATTTATAGGGTCGGAAATGACTCCTTCACTCTCTTTTAGACTTCCGACTAAAATTATAATACCCTGCAAGGATATAACTTAGTATTTTTTAATATATATATTTTAAATAATTATCCTTTTTTGAAAATTCCCCCTTATAGCAAATGGAAATCGCTATGTGGGCCAATTTGAAGGAGGCTGCAAATCAGGATCCGGAGTTTATTATCATGGAAGCAAGGATGTTGATGGCCTGCGCATACAGCGCGGCTTTTGGAGCCAGGACGTTTGCAGGACCTCACTGATGCCCCTGCAGCTGCCACGCTGAGCTACACCAAAGTCCATTAAATTCCAAGCACATAATATATATTCAAATAATGCTATATATATATGTAGGTAAAAACACACATTTTTATATAAGAAACATACAAACCGAAGCTAATATAAAACTAAACGAAATAGTCTCTTTATAATCTCTCAGTCACTTTCTCCTACGACTTCGTGTGCCCGTGGCTTCTGGTTCTGTGGCCTGCTCCGGTTCCGTCACAGCCACCGCACGTCGGGGTCTCCTCGTCGCTGTCTTTGGTGTCTCCTCCGGTTGCCGTATCCTTGCTGCCCTTGTGCTTCGTCCGGTGACTTTCTGTGATGGCGTTGGTGCGGCCACAGCCTCCGGACTTTCATCGACAAAGATGGCCATATTGAGCTTGGACTTAACTTTGGGTTTTGGTTTCTCGGTGGTCTTTGGCAAGGAGGGCTTCAGGCTGGTCGTGGGGCAGGGTGACTCATCATCATCGTCGCTTAACACGATCGGCTGGCAGGTGTCCAAGTTCACGGGCGGAGTGTATTCGCTGGAACTGCCACTGCTGCCGCTTGGTGGACGCAGTTCCAACTCTGTGAAAATCTTAAATTTGGGTCCCTTCTTGGCGGACTTCGTGGAGGACTCCTTATCCGAAGGGGTTTCGTTTTTTCTTTCCGGTGAGAGAAAATTCAAAGCTCTTCGCAGGCTCTGGCACTGCACACCCTCCGCCTCCACTAGGTTCTCGGGTTTAAGCTCCAGTTCCGCTGTCTTCAGCTGCGTCATGAAGTTGTAATTGTAGTCAATGTCCATGGCTTGGAGAGGCGTTTCCATTCCAAGCTGAGCCACAGTTATTGCGTCCACATGCTGGCCCCGAAAGCGCAAATAGTTGGCCCTATAAAGCTGCTGGACGTGCAGCATGGAGCCCAGGGAATCGCTCAGCTCGGGACTCTCCTTCAGTTTGCTCTCCGCGCTGGCATAGAAGTCATCCAGCTGGTCGCTGTTCCTCTGGAGAAAGCAGAGGCGTGCATGAAGGCAGCCCATTATGAAGTAAGTGCTTCGCAGCTGAAAATTTCCACGTATAACTGCGGGAGCCTCGCTTACGTTCAAATACCGATCCAGACTGAGCTGGGAACTGGGACTATTTGGACGCAGCATACTCGGCAGGGCCACATCCAAATGCTGCTGCTGCTTCCTGATGGGCTCCACCAGCTGCAGAAGATGCATGTTGCTCGCCAGATCACTTAAGGCCGGATCCTGGACTTCCGTCTTCTCCATTGCCAAAGGTTCGGCTTCCTTTCGCTTCAAACGCTTGATACCCATACAGTGTTCGATGAGTCGCAGCTTGGACTGAGCCCGGTCCAGGTTCTCCATCTGTAGATTGGTCCACAGCCAGGCCAGGAACACCTCAATGGTCCTTAGGGCCAGTCCCGATTGCAGGACCAACTTGAGAACAATGTTGGAGAAGGCCAGCCGTTCGCTTAGCCTATTGGCGGAGCATTCCGTGCTCTCTCGAACCAGAGTCGAGAGCAGCAGCTGTAGGTAGCCGCCGTCCAAGCTAGAGAGATTGCAGAAGTTCCTCACATTATCCTGCAGCGTGTCCAACTGTCGCAGCGGTGTAGGCATCCTTGGATATTCCTCCGGGTACCTCTGCTCATAGTTCAGCCGAAAACGCACCGTTTGCAAGGTGATCAAGACTATGTCGGTCTTTCCCAGACGCTCGGGCAACTCTCCACGTAGCTGCTCCACTAGGAGTAGAATTAGCTGAGCATGACTGAAGCACTCCCTCCTGGCATAATAGCTGGCCAGGTGGCACAGGCACAGCATTACCGTGGAGTCCTGGCGCTTGAAGAACCTGCCACTCGGCAGCTGCGGCCACAAATCGTCCAGAAGATCCTCCGCTCGCTCCACTTCCTCGGACAAGTCCAGTTTCAGTCGAGGATTCACTTCATTTTGAGCCAAAAAATGTGTCAGTGCGCGTAGATAGGTAAAGCGATCCATTAGCATGCTTCCAATCCTCAAAAGCAACAGCCAAGCATCGTCAGCTTGAGCCTGATAGCCCATTGTGGACAAGGCCATGGCGGCGGCCACAGCATCGTCTATTAGGGCTTCCCAATCTATGGCTGTTTCCTCGCTACCCAGCGGCTCTTCGTCCGCTCGACAAAAGAAGGTATTGAAGCCAGCAATGGCTTCGCTGGCCAAATTAACCAGTCGCTGTTCTCTTTGGATACTGATCTCCGATAGATTCTGTCGCAGCAGCAGCTCCTCCAATTGATTCTCTCCAGTTTCTTTCGAGGAAACCGTGCACTTCTGAGCCTCCAAGGCATCAAGGAGCAATCCCACGTTTGCATGACCCAGGTTTAGATGTTCCATGCGGTTCAGCCAGCTGCGAGCCTTTAGCTTAGAGATAAGCTCCTGGCACTCCCTCAATATGGAGCCATCGTTGCGCAGCTGCCTGGCCAGGAGCACCAAATGATAGTCACTCATTCGGCAGCGAATTAAGGATTTCAAATGAGTCACCGAGGGATTCCTCACATAATGAAGCGCCGCAAAGAGATCTGTGTCGTAGAGCTGCTTCTTCTCCGCGGGAGTCAGGGGATAGGGCAGCGGGCAGGACTCGTGCCACTCGAAGATGCATCTCTGGATCTCCTTTTCCTCCTTGCCCTGCTGGTGGTAATGCGAACAGATCTGTGACCTCAAACGAGCCGGATTCGTGAGCGAAGCCAAGTAGCTGGCACACAAGCGACCTGCTCTCTGGGGATCCTTGCAGTAGGCACTGGCCTTGAACAAACGTCGGAGCAGGCCTCGCATCTCCTGATGTGGAATCAAGGGACGCAACTTCTGCAAAGGCTCCAGCAGGTGACACAGAAGATCTATTTGCTCGGGACACGTAACCTGATCGGCCACATGAGTGAGCTGGCGTACCAGCTTGATGAGCTCTATGCTGGCTGGACCGAGACACTTTAGGCTCTTGGCCACGTCCATGGTGAAGCTGAGGATGCCCAGCAGGGGTTTATGTGGGGTCTAAAACGAGGAAAGTAAGTAAGTGAAATGAAGACTTAAGCATTAAGGACTCACTCTATCCGCCTTCTGTTCCTGCGTCGGCTGCCAATTGATGTAAGCATCCAGGGCAGTCAGGCCAAAGGCCAGCATGCAGTGCCTTCGCACACTCGTGCAGGCCTCATTCGAGCAACTGCTGGCCAGCGGACTCCGCGTCACATTCACCGCCAGCCCCGCACAGCTGTGCAGAAGCTGAAAGTGAGCTGCATATGCCTCCGGACTGCCCTCGCCCTCCATTTGCTGCCAAAAGACCTGAAACGGTGACTGCAGTTTGCTGCCACTCTGCTGGAGCAGCATTTGCAGTCGCTGGATGGCCACCAGCAGGTCCGTCAGCCACTGCTCCGTGGCATGCGGTGTCGCCTTGTGCTCGAAAAAGTTCTGAAACTTTCGGATGAGGTCGATGTAGTTGCGTTTGAAGTTGGGCGTGGCTTCACGGACGTAGAGCAGCTTCAGGTAGTAATAGAGCAGCTGCAGGGCGTAGGTGAGGTTTGTCTCCTGGCGGAAGAGCTCTTTGCACATGCGGAGCAGCTGCAGCGACAGCTGCCGACTCGGTTCCGGGCTCAGCATGTCGATCTGGACCAGGGCCAGCATAAAGCTAAGGTACTCGCTGAACTGATTGCTCAACTCTGAGGTGGAACTGGTGGCAAGGAGTCTTAATAGGGAGCCAAGCATCTTGGACAGACTCTCCGAGGGCAGGAAACTCAGCGATTTTAAGAATGTCTTGCTGCGCTTGCCGAACAACGTTTCGTTAAGTCGCTCCAAAAGTGGTCCGGTTTTGGTAATATTCTTCAGTCTCATTGCCTCAAAAAGGTCGCCCAGGGATTCCAGGGCTTGGCACAGCTGGCTTGAGGCCTCCAGGGGCAGCAGTTGCTTCTGCATCAGCATATAGATTCCATTAAAGTGGGTCAAATGGATGTCTAGATATACTTTGTGGTTCGTTTCCTCCTGCAGGCGACAAGGCTCCGCTCGGATGAGGCCGTAAATCCGTTGACAGGCTCCTATAGATCGCTGGAAATGAGAATAACTATTAAATAAGCTAATGATCTGGCAACACTTTATCCTAAAAACCACCTCTTGGCACAGGACATGCAGAATGTAGCGCAGGCTGGTAAGATGCGTCTCCCACAGGCTGGCTTTCTCCTCACAGGGACGCACGTGTGGCAGCATGACGGCCACCATATCCCCGTAGAGATCACCGTTCTGCTGGGGATTCTCCTTGACGGCTATGCAAATATGGCGCAGAACACTCAACTCGTAACGCAGCGCATACAACGCGTCATTGGTCCCACGCCGCAATCCATCCGCGATCTGGCGAAACTCCGTCTCCACAGTTCGGCATGCGGCCTCTATGTCGCTGCGTGTGCCCTTCTTCAGTTGGTTTCCTATATCACCAGGCATTTTGTCGCTTGGAATTGTCACATTTAATCAAAATTTAAGCGACGCCTGCTTTCTTCATTCCTTTGCGCCAGATTTCGAGGGACAGTGTGACCAAACACACAAAATATACACCACTTTGCAGGGAAATAAACTACAATACATATCAGAAGCAAGGACACAAACCAAAAGAAGTGCAAATGCCTATCGATAGTTTCCTTGAGCTTGTGATAAAATAAATTTATTTCTTAATAATTTTTAGTTAAAAAAGAATTTTATATAAAAGGCGAAAGACATACAATTAGTTATTATTAATTTCAGCAAATGCACCATTTATGTAAGACAAAAAATCTATTATTTCGCTTTTGGGTTTCGAAAAAAATCACTTGTGAATCAATATTTTCTATTGGCATTAGGGAGCAAATTAAGAACATTTTCTGTAAAAAATGTAATTTAAAGCCAATTTTATAAGCAATATAATATAAATAGACCTAAAAATATCACTTTACACAATGTATCATTTGCGGAATAAAATTTTCAAACTAAATCTGCATTTGAAAATATATCATTTGATAAGCTATTGACAAATTTTAAAGTGGTAATAATTGTAATTTAATTTTGTATAAAACAATTATGTATTAAACATAAAGAGAGAAAACAAAGCAACAAGAATATAATAAAAGTTACGCATAGTTGTATATATTATAATCATGAGATCGAATGCGAAATCGATCATAATTAAGCAAAAAATGCATTCATTTTAAATCGGAAAGCGTTCCTATGCTAGTTTTTATTAGATTAATAAATCTGCATACTTAATTTGAAATGTTAAAAAATAATATTTTTACTATTTTTTTAAATTAATTTTTATCCCATAAAATTCTGAAAAATTAAAAAAATTATTTTCTTCCAAACATGCCTAGATCGATTCGTCTTTTTATGCTGATCAAGAATATATATGATTTATGGGGTCGGAAATGGCTCCTTCATCAAGAATACCTAAAATTTGTCTATCAGAGGGACTTTAGATCAATATTTTAATAAGAATTATTTTTGCAAAAATCGTACTTTTCCAATTATCATAACTTAGCCAAAAATGCATTGATTTCAATTTGGAAAGCGATCCAATGCTAGTTTTTATTTGATTAATAATTCTGCTCACTCAATTTGAAGTGTTTAAAAATTAATTTTTTTACCATATTTTTTTTTTAATTTTTATCCTCATAAAATTCTGCAAAAATTTTAAAAATTTATTTTCTTCCAAACATGCCTAGATCGATTCGTCTTTTTATGCTGATCAAGAATATATATGATTTATAGGGTCGGAAATGGCTCCTTCATCAAGAATACCTAAAATTTGTCTATCAGAGGGACTTTAGATCAATATTTTAATAAGAATTATTTTTGCAAAAATCGTACTTTTCCAATTATCATAACTTAGCCAAAAATGCATTGATTTCAATTTGGAAAGCGATCCAATGCTAGTTTTTATTATATTAATAAATCTGCATACTCAATTTGAAATGTTTAAAAATTAATTTTTTTACCATATTTTTTTTTTTAATTTTTATCCTCATAAAATTCTGTAAAAATTAAAAAAAATTAGTTTCTTCCAAACATGCCTAGATCGATTCGTCTTTTTATCCTGATCATGAATATATATGATTTATAGGGTCGGAAATGGCTCCTTCATCAAGAATACCTAAAATTTGTCTATCAGAGGGACTTTAGATCAATATTTTAATAAGATAATTATTTTTGCGAAAATATTACTTTTCCAATTATCATAACTTAGCCAAAAATGCATTGATTTCAATTTGGAAAGCGATCCAATGCTAGTTTTTATTATATTAATAAATCTGCATACTTAATTTGAAATGTTAAAAAATTAATATTTTTACTATTTTTTTAAATTAATTTTTATCCTCATAAAATTCTGAAAAAATTAAAAAAAAATATTTTCTTCCAAACATGCCTAGATCGATTCGTCTTTTCATGCTGAACAAGAATATATATGATTTATAGGGTCGGAAATGGCTCCTTCATCAAAAATATCTAAAATTTGTTCATTTAAGGGAATTTAGATCAATATTTTAATAAGATAATTATTTTTGGGAAAATCGCACTTTTCCAAATATCATAACTTAGCCAAAAATGCATTGATTTCAATTTGGAAAGCGATCCAATGCTAGTTTTTATTATATTAATAAATCTGCATACTTAATTTGAAATGTTAAAAATTAATATTTTTACTATTTTTTAAATTAATTTTTATCTTCATAAAATTCTGAAAAAATTAAAAAATTTACTTTCTTCCAAACATGGCGAGATCGATTCGTCTTTTTATCCTGATCAAGAATATATATGACTTATAGGGTCGGATATTATTCCTTCCTAGCGATACCAGCTTCTAACTAAAATTATAATACCCTTAAAACGTATATACTATATATCCCATAATATAAACCACTAAATTTATCTATATTTCCAATATTCAAATAAATAAAACTACAATTTAAAATGATTTAGTTTATGTATTTCAGTTTCAATGGGCTGGGGGTTCTTACAGACACATTTCATCATTTCATTAAATAAACGTTTTGGGGACTGCTTTTCAATAATAATATTTGTTTGCATACATTTTTTTTCTTTCTTTATTTAATGAAAAATGGGATATACTCGCCGCCCGACAATCAATGAAAACATGGTACTGCTTTTGAAAATGTGAAACAACTCAAGGGTTTGTGGTGAAGGAAAAAATTTCTTAAAAGTACATAAGGTGAAGCAATTTTCGGATGTCGGAGAAGTATATAGAACATGGTTAAGAGGGCGAAAAAACGAGGTTTGTGGTGGGTGTGGGTAACAATGAAAACGTGATTTGAATTGCGCTCCATGCGTAGCTCTCGCTTATAACTTATATATCCGTATTGAAAAGAAGGAATGACTTAAGAGTTAGTTCAAAGTTCTTAGCAGTAATATTTTTAAATCGATTTAACGCGAATTAAAACGTCTGACAAAAGCAGCAGTTGTACAAATAAAAGAGTTTTGCTTTAAAAATTCGACAGCAAGAGACGCTAGATGGTTACAAATTGTACAGTTCATAAATGTATATACTTGATAAACCTAGGGCTAAGCAACTTTACAACTGATGAAAGGGCTTCAAACGGGAATGGAACTCTGGTTTTGGGATGAGGCTATATAGTAATTGGTTGGTTCCTCTTGGTTGTTGTTGTTGTTTGTTGTCGCTTAATCTTATCATTTTCTGCTCTTTTGCTTTGTTTGTTTGATTATTACGTTCATTTTGCTCCGACTTTTCATCTTTTTGTGTTTGTTTTGTCGATTTTGTATAATTTTCCTCCACTTTCTTTAGCTTACATTTTAGAGAAACAAGTTTGTGGGTCTCCTTTACTATCAAAATATGATGTGTGTTGTGTGTGTTGTTGTTGTTGTGGGGTGTATATATTTAAATTTATAACGTACAAAGACGATACAGCGACAGATCAAGAGTTTTAACCATCGTGCTTTCTCTTCTTGCCCCGGGCTTGCGACTCGTCTGAAAATGTAAGAAGTTCATTATTATTTTGTTATTAATTAAATAATCTTATTCTCTTACCTTCTGCCTTCTCGCCATCCTTGTCATTGGCATTTACTGATGCCGCTGACTCATTTGCCTCTCCGTCGGCCTCATCAATATCGGAGTCCTCATCTTCATCATCCTCGGCACCTTCGCCCTCCTCCCAATCGGAGTTATCCTCCTCCAAATCGTCATTGTACACCTCCGATAAGGATACCTCGACATTATCCTCTTCGTCGCTATCATCGCTATCATCGTCGACATCGTCACCGGGACCTGCAAGAAATATTCATTTTATTAGAGCTTTTAACACTCGAACTTCCCTAAATCGAATTTTAGGTACAATTCAAATAATTCTAACATTGCAGACTTTCAACTTGCAGGCTTGAGACTCTTTCAAATTCTGGCAGAGGATCTTTAACTAAACTAGAAATTCTTCAGAAAACTTCCCTCTTGACCTTTTCGCATTAGAGAAGTTCGAAATTGAATGAAAACAGTTCCAAAAAGAGCCATGCTTACAATATATGGCATTGGCCAGATTGAGAATGGCCAGGAACCAATAGAGAAGAAGGGCAAAGCTTATGGGTGGGTTTTGATTGGTGGCCCTTATCACAGATTGCTCGTTGCTTGGAGCGGCGGCAGCAGTAGCAGCAGCTGTGGCTTCCCTCAACTGCAACTCTTTCAGATACTCATCTAATTCGTCTACTTCCTGATCTTCGTTCTCCGCTCGGGGAGGTGGAGGTTGCCCTGGTTTTTCCTGCAAACTCTTTTTCGCCTTGACCCGCTGCTCCAGAGCCTCGAGCTCGTCTAAATCGATTTCTAAACCGTTCAAACAGAAGGCACTGCGCTTATCTGAAAGGCGACAGAAGCCGTTGTTGAATTTGTGCTTGCTTCGAGATTATTTAATAACTGCGCCCCATGAAAAGCTATTTAGCAGCTAAGCAGACGGACAATGAGCATTATAATGGTGGTTAATTCTTCCCATCTCTTTTAAGATGAGTTCCAATTTATAAAACCCTTTCGAAATACACACCTTCTTCCTCGGAATCGTTGCCATTGACCTCATCATCATCATCGCCGTCCGACTGCACTTCCTCGTCGTTGCAATCAAAGCTGAAATAATTATTTTAAATTAATATAAACACTCGCTCAAAAAGCACCAGATAAACCTTACCCATCGAGAAAGTTTAACGATGGGAGCATCTTGAAGATTTTCTCCCGATAATTCTCCACCTGGGTGGCATCGTTATTAAACAGATCGAGCACTTCTAGATTCTTAAACTCCTCCAGGGGCTTGAGGGCATCCAGATCCTTGATCTTGTTGCCGGACAAGTTTAAATATTGCAGTTTGGGACTGGTGGTCAGATAATTGAGGCCGCTCGAAATCCGATTGTCGGACAGCTCCAGTTTCTTCAAGTTGGGCAGCTTGGGGAAACCTTTCAGTGTGGTGAGGCCCACATTAATCAAGCTCAGCGATTCTAAGGCCGTATATTCATCTGTAAGGCCAACGATGCTTGTGCTCCGGCAATTATCCAGATTCAGCTCTGTGATCTGTGAGATAAATAGAATAGATGCATTAGTTTTATCAATTCCAAAGTTGCAAATTTAAATTTTTATTCGGGTTTGAGTATGCGCTAAAATCTAATATAGTATATCGATATCGCCACAACGATAGTGTTTCCAACGATAGTATTCCTACAATTTCATATCGTTAGCACTATCGATGTTTTGACAGCTCTAGTGTGCAGAGAAAAGAAAAAAAGATGGAGAACAATACACACGCAAAAATCGATCAAACGCTGAGAATTTTTTTCTTGAGATTCAAATCGACATTACATGCTAAATAACCAAATTGGCGTAACGACAAACGACTTGGTAAACAATTGCTGCTGTACTTTCGCCAAACTGCGCATCAAAATGGAGGCTGCGAACAGTGCCAACGCGCGTTTATGTAACCTCAACAGAAACAAAGAAAAAAATGTGTGTCTGTGTGCTAGCGTGTATATGTGTGCGTGTACCTCACCACAAAGCAGAATGCGCAAATTGGGCAACGAGAAGAGAGAGCGAAGAACAGAGCAGCAGAATAGCCATGACAAACAACGTGGATTCAGGGGCGGGGGTGGGAGCGACAGAAAAAGCAGAACAAGCCGGCAGTAGCAGTCACAACAACAACATGTTTGACCGTGACGTAGTAGTTGTTGCGCTGCGTGCCTGGGGGGAGACCGACTGATAAGCTACGAACGAATAAATGTACACATTGCCCGTTGGAGGCTGTGCAAGTTCACTTGAGATTACCCAATTATCAATATGTCACGCTGCCACAACGAGACAACAAGATGGTGGGTTGCCCTCTTCGAGGGTCCGTCTGTCTGTCCCTGTCTGGCCGAGAAACAGTTATGTTGGCACAGGGGAACTTCTGTAAGAACTACTTTGTAGGTTATAGGTCAAATTAAGGTAGCGGAAATATTAAAATATTTAAAAATGAAACTACATTAAAGACATCTTAACCTTTGAGCCGTAAACGGACTTAAAAAAAACAGACTAGAAATTGTTATTTAAATTGTGTTTTTTAACATTATTAGCTGTTGATAAGCTTTTTATCAAAACTTGTGATATGCAATTTAAATTGTTCCCTTGAGTCTCATTATTCGTCCAACTTAAGAAACGTGTATATAGCATTTTGGGGTACTAAAATGTCTGAAGTAACAGCATAGCTGTTAATATCTACAAGTTACAATAGAATTTAGCTTTTGGGACAGTTCACGGTAGAGAATTTCAACTGTATCTCGGATTAAATGAGTGAGAATGAATGCACACAGCTTTCGGCTTTGGCTTAGGCGCGTATGAGTATGTATGCTTCGCTGTTTTCGTGTTTTTCTTTTTCTTGTTTCGTTGTTTTGCTGCCTTGCTCACGTAGTTTCTGTTGTGCATGATGGGTGGGTGGTGCTTGGGTGGCCGGGTGACCGCCGATTGAGATTGAGTAGGCTGGCCGGGGCCCGACGCCCGACCAGAGCGCATGTTTATTAATCAGTGGCAGTAGCTACGGCCTGGCTTTGTCTTTCGCCTGCACTTCTTTTGCGCTGCATGCAGCGGGCGGGAGAGCGGGATGGCTAGAGACAGCGGGCAGGCAGGTGGCGAACTTGGGAGGGGGAGGCAGCATAAAAGTATTATGACTGCGCAGCCAATATGAATATGTTTGTATGTGTCGATTATTTTGTGCATAAGTTTTCTTGACTTGTGCATGAACACATGGCCGTCTGTATGTGTGTTTGTAGCTTGTGCGTATTTGTGCGGATGATGCGCCGCGCCGCGCGCTATAATATTGTTATAGATACATTTTGGTATCAAATAACCTGAAATTACAACATGCAGCAAACACACACGACGCAAACGCACACAAACACATGTTGCCGCTGCCGCCGTGTTTGTCACAATTGAAGGCCGGCAGCAATAACAACAGCAACAGCGACGAAATCAAAAGCAAGAACAAGAACCCACAGCAGCAGTGGCATTGCCAGCTGTGGCGTTTATACAACTTCAGGTGCGAAAAGATCGTTAGCGATTGGCCGACCAAAGGTGACTAAAAATCACCAGCTCTATGCACATTTTTGTTTTTCTTATGACTACACCACTTGTAATAATTGCCTTTTATTTGCCAACAGAAGTTCCTATTTGGGCTGAAAGCCACGAAATGGGGGAAGGCGCAAAAATGCGCGCACATGGCAACACTGGCGTGTATGTGACACAAACACACAAGCACGCGCGGAGAGGCAATGGCATGTGTGTAGAATTTGCTTATGGCGATCAATTTTTTATTCGTTCTGTTTTTTTCTTGTTGATGCCGTTGCTTCTTCTTCTTCCAGTGCTCTTCTTTTTTTTATATGGCGTCGACACAAATTGAAACTAGATTTACATGATGGCGCAGTTGTTGTTGCGGTTGTTGATGCACTCTCGCACTCGCACATAGGCACGCAGCGGAATTTAAATGAAAAAAATTTGTGTAATGCCAAAACAAAAGCCGTGGCGCGTTTTTCTTAGAACTTACCTGATTTGCTTTGCGTGCGCGTCGCTCCAATTCTATTCTCTTCTCCATTGCAGCTGCACTGGGTCCTGGTTTTGTTTGTTTGTTTGTTGTTTTTCGCCCGGGTCTCTTCGCTTCGGCTTGCAAGTTTACGGATACGTGAATTTTCCTCCTTTTTTTTTGTTGTTGATGGGGCTGGCTCCCTTCGAAAAACAGCGCACGCACCAAAGGCAAAAAAGACTCGCACTCGCACACACAAACACAAGCACACGCGCGCTCCGCTCGCACACGCTCACTCACACAGACGCAGCTGAGTGTGCCTTGCAAATTTTTCTTTTTGTGCTTCTTTTGGTATTTTTGATGCCGCCACCGCGCGATTCTCGCTGATTTTTATTGCTAAACAAGGTGGTGCTGGGGTGGGAGGTGAAGCGACGAAAAAAACAAAAAACAATAGAACAAAATTAGTAGTTGCCTTTGGATTTTTAAACCGCAACTGCACTCGCAAAAAACCGACTGCATTGTAACGCATTTCCCTCGATATTCCAGAACATGACGCGCTTTTTCAAACGGCCTTTTTCACGTTAATTAAGCAGTTAAGCCGAATTAATTTAGTTTTTCTGGCTGAAGGAGATGCCGCTGCATCGATTACGCACTTACCTGGTGATGCTGAATATTTAAATACTCAGGAATCAATTTTTAATTGTATTTTCAACCAACAAGAAGCAACACACTAGAGATGGCAGTAACAACGATTTAACATCGATACAATGGCGTTCGCACGCTTATCGATGGTGGTGCTCGATATTTGTTTGTTTATGGGAAATGTTTGAAATCAATTCAAAGGGTTTTTCTAAACAGAGAATTAAGATAGTTGAACTTTATGAGGCAACAATATATTGCGGCTGCTTACATTTTCGTTGGGAGGCGCAGTCGGAACAAAAAAGGGTATCGATATTCGATAATTTGAAGATGGGCTAGTTCCGGAATCGTGCGGGTTCCAAGCGGCACTGGAAAAATTGGCGGGTAATTTAAATTTTGACTAGAAACAACTTTGGTGGCATTTATTAAAAATATGCTCTTAAAAAAATCGTTTTTTTCTAATGCTTTACAAATTGGTAAAATAAATGTAAAGGGGTTTAAGTTTAGTTCACATTTTTAATGCGAGTTTCATATCACCCAGCTCTTGTGTGGTTTACCCAAGTGTCACAGCTGTTACCCTGTGCTAGTCGTTACTATTTTTAAAAATGTTAAACTTTTACTTCCCTTTTCCCGTTTCTCTTGTTGTTTTTACTGTTCAGTCTGTTCTATTTACATTTTGTGTGAAGGACACGGGCGATTACGACCAGGAGATCCCGGCTGCCCATAAACATTAGTGGGAAAACTGAAGCCGCGCGGTCGCAATAATGCGCCATAATCAGATGCGCGTGCATCCTGCGGTAATGCGAAGCTCAGGAACGGGGTCGCTTCCAGGATATATAGGATTACTATTTGCGAAGGACGACGGGCGCAACGGATGCCTTAATTAGCCAAGAGAAAAGTCCAGGGAAATAGCTTTGGCCGCGTAATTAAAGGTACAATGTGTATGGTGAAGTCAACGAACGCGGGATGTTTAAAAGTTAACCTTGCGCTGACATGCTTAGCTTTCAGCTCTTGGCAGGACTTTGCAAAGGTGGCAAGGAGGCGTCCCTGAACTTGGCTCAGCTTTAAACAAAGTAAACGTCTCAATTTGATTTTCCTCGCCTCGTTTATCCTGTCAGCTTCCTGCGTTTATCCCCATCCTACCTCCTGTGATTATTTTAATGTGAGCTTAATGTACACCAACCCAAGCACAAGCACACACACATACACAGGTGTATAAGGAATACAGGTAATTGTTTTTTACAGTATCAAAGAAGGAAAATTACTTCAGTCGATCTTACAGAGCGGGAAATTCTGAAAACTTATTGAGGAAATATAAATGTTTTAATAAAAAGTTTAAGTAAGCAATTTGTTTGGGAATGTTTATGTTTATTTGTTGTAATTTATATAATTAATTCGCACAACATTGAAAGTTTTCTTATCAATATGCAAGTGCAATTTCTCTCACTACACACTGGAGCGTATCAATTAGTCAGGTGTTCGTCCTTCTGCCTCCTCCACAAATTTGCCAAACGTGTGTCCTCGCTCCACTTGGGGATAGTCATAAAAAGGTGGCAATTGGAAAATCGGTGGTCAGGATCGGGTGCAGAGGTCCTTCAGCTGCAGCAGCAGCACCAGCATCCATCGGTTGCACCACCATCATCATTATCATCATCGATAAGCAAGGATGGACATTGTGTTAAGCTTGCTGGGCTATTAAAAGCGCGTTAATTCTGCGAGTATGCCATCTATTTGTGGTCTCCAAATAGGAGGAGGCTTGTGCTCTGCCTCATTGGAAGCTTTTCCCTCCTCATCCTGGGGGACAGAGAGACATTGAGTTTTTCCTTTTTGTGGCACGTTAACATTGGTAACTGTTGCTTTGGTAAACATCCGTCTTAATGGCTTTTGTGGGAGTTCGTTTGCAAATAAATAGGAATGAAAATAAATTGGGGGAGAAGGCGGCTGTCCACTTGGATTTGTCTATCGATTTAATTTGCCTATCGAAAAGGCAACCATTTTTGTTTGAAAATGTATAATTTTATTTGAACTTATATATTATTGTCATTATTTCTTGACAACCTTTTTATTTTATATAGTAATTAAAATATATTTTACCAATTTATATATTTTTCTAGAAAGTAAACACTAATATCCTTTATAGTTTTTAAATTTACTTCTCAAAAAAAGCAATTTCCTAAATAACAAATAAAGAATAAACAATCGAAAAACAAACAAGAAGTCCATTATTGTTTTCATTTAATTATGCTAACCCCTTTGCATTTCTATGAAAAACGCGTAATACCATTTTTAAGATCTTATTAGGAGCCATGAACAGCAACTAACTAATGTTTACTGCCGTCTGAATGGGTATTAATTAACTAAGTAAGCCCGGAGATGCCACACGCGAGATAGACTCTCTCTTTTTTGGACTCGCTCTCTCCTCCTTGGCAACCGCACATCCGTACGGAGACCAATCAACAGTTTGCCGTGGTGCGAGGAAAAGCTCTCGGGAAAATTGTCGGGAAAAGCTCGGTGGCAGAGAGAAAGATGCTGCGACGCTGCAGCGCACTATGGGTCATATCTACTACGTATTGTGCTATTAATTAATAACATTAAAGGGAAGTAATATTTTTAGGATTGAGATTATAGTATATTATAGTATTGTTATAACATTTTAAATTTTAAGAAAGAGAAATAACAAAGAATTAAATTCTCCAGAGAATTAGAGAGAATTAATTTGTAGCTCAATTTAAATATTAAAATACACTACAAAATGTTTGTGTTACCAACATAACATAACATAAATATATAATGATTATCAAAAACCTATTTTAATTAATTTTAACAAATGTGTTTTGTCTGGATTATGGTTATTTAGCCCATTGTGCAATGGCAGCGACCAGGGCAGAGGCAGAGGCAGAGGCAGCAGCCACAAGTTGCCTTTTCGATATTTGCAACAGTTGCTGTTGAGTGGCTTCGAAAGTCGGACGTGGCGAAAGGTATGGCGGATGGATCCTAGATCGAGTCCAGGCGGAAAAACTCTTATCAGTGGATTTATCTCCTTGCTCTGTGTTTGTGTATGTGTGTGTGTGTGTGCGTGAGGAGGAAAATTGAAAACTCTTGTTACGGGAAACTAGTTCAAGTGCAAAAAGCGCGAAAGTTGCCAGCAACATTGTTGCCACCAAAAAACAAAGTGAAAATTTCAAATTTCAAATACAAATAATAAAAAAACCTAAAGACATAAATTATAAAAGTAATAAAAAATATACACATACAGAATGCTGAATTTTGGCACATGTTTTAATAAAAACCAAAATTTTCGGTGATTTCGCATTTCTGCGACACATGTTTGTGCTTTCAAAATAAAAATGAAAAAGTGTTAAAGCGGCTACCATAAATTCTAATACGAGGAAAAGCGAAATGAAAAATCTCAGCTAATTCAATTCAGATTGAAAAATACGATTATAATCTGGCCATCAGCAAAGGCCTGACCCTGCCATCCCCTCCCAGAAAAAAAGCCGAGAAAGAAATCGTGGAAATCCCAACGAAATTACCATATGTAATGCACGCACACAATCGCAGAGGCTGTGTATCTGTGTGAATGAAATTCGGGCACTGAGAAAAAATCTTATTATCAGGAAATACCCTAGCTAATTTACAGAAATTTAGTTTGAATTTATTGGTTAAAGATTTCGTTTTTAAATAGGTCAGTGTTAGAGTTTTTATTTTTTAAAAAAAGTGTTGTAATTATTACTTGATGAAAAAGCTTTTAATTCAATTTCTGTCAAGTATAGATTTGTTTTCCTAGTTTAGCGTAGTTTTTTCCCTGTTTTTTTCTCTCTGTGCATAACATATTCACAATTCAACTTCTTTTTTGACACGCGTCTCGTAAGAAATTTCGTTACGGTTACGCATTTCTCTTTGCTCTTTACCATTCCCTGGACTGTTTGTTGTTATTTTTCTTTTTGGGGTTTTCCTGCAAATAAATTTCTGTTGAATTGATTTGATAACACACAGAGCAGCATAGAACAAACCAGCAACAGGCAACAAGAGGCAGCAAGCAACAAACATCGTCAATCGGCGGCACATCATCACCCCCATCCCGGAGTAGTAGAAAGGTGAGTGCCGAATTTTCCTTTTCTTTTCCATTTTTTTTTTTGGGTGAATTTTCCTCGATTTGCATTTCAAAGGTTGTTGTTGTTGTTGTTGTGTGTGTGTGTGATTATCATGTCTGGCCTGCCTCCCCGTTGGCAAAAATGTCAGGCAGCTCACGCTGCGTATGATTGATTGGGCCGCAGCGAGTGTGTGTTCCATAATTATGTTAACGTGTGTATGTGCCGGGCTGCAGCGATTTCAGTTCTGGATTCGCCTATTAAAGGGATTTGATTCGTGGAATTTGTGGATTTTTTTGAACACGCATATCGATAGGTTTCCTAGATAATCATAGGTATATTTTGCAAAAACAACAAGGGATTTTCAGTTGAATGCTTATGAAAATTCATTGATGATAGCTTCCATGGAAATAATGAATAAATATAGCGATATATATTCCTTGGTTTTGGCAAGAGAGAGAGTAATAAATCATTTTTATTTGATATTATTTGAGAACTTTAAAGCGTTTTGCCTGGGGAAATATTAATAAGAGGAAGATGTTAAGTTTAAATAAAGGAAATATAAAATTTAATTTTTTTATAGCAGTTTATAATACGAAAAATTATTAAAGTACTGAAACTGGAATATAAAATAAAGCGAATATATAAAAAAGGTTCATATCACAACAAGAAATTATTTTAAAACCCCTTAAACACCTCTCTAATATAATGTTTTTCTTTCCGTTCTAATTACCACTGTTATTGTGAGAAAATCCAAATTTTGTGTGTAATCCTTTTAGCCAAAACTGCGCCAAACTTCAATCCTTTGCACTTGGCCAAGCGCGAATTACCAGACTCCTTGAGAATATTTCGCCTTGGCAGGAAGTTGGAAGGAAGCGGGAGCCTTGTGTAAATCTTTCAAGAAGGAAACTACAACTTCCTTCCGTCGAGATTTAGCTGATGAAGTTCTTCTGTGTGTTTTTAATCTGAAAAGTTTAATTAGCTGATGGCAAAGCTTGTTAACTTGGCTGGCGCTGTTGAACCAATTAGACAATTTTCCAATTATATTCGTATGCAATTTGTAATTTTTCATTTCATTTTCTTCTCTTGATTGTTTAATCGAATTTCGGTTGCAGTTCAACGGCGTGTTTCTGGCGTAGGGCAGATTCCATTTGGCAGAAGTTTTGCTTAATTGGCCTTAATAAAGTAAGCCACTTAGAGTCAATTATGAGACTGTAAACGTAAACCCATGGCACATTTTTCTTTTCCTTTTATCGTTAATTTTCCCCGAGTTTTTTCTCCCCTTTTCCATTTAAATTTCCTCCACATCCTTCGTGCGGGTTGCTTGGCCGTCGCCGGCGGCATCTGCCGCAACTGCTCCAACGCATTTTAGCACCTTGACACCTGTTCTGCCCATGCCTTTTGCGACTCCATCAACACCTGGACGTGGCTGCACTCGCGCGTTGCATACTTTGCGGCGTCCGGCATGCCCACAGGGCGTATGCGTGATTTATAACTTTTTTCATTGGTCGTAATTGATTTAAATCATTTGCATTAAACTGTGGAAAAGTTATGCAGCAGCAGAGAGGGTTTTTTTTATAGTTTATAAAAATAAATAGCTTTGTTTTTAAGGCGTTTTTTAGCTGCCTATAAACAATTTATTATGATTTCTTATAGTTTTTTAAAGTTTAAGCAAAAAACCGAGACTAATATGTGGTTTCATTAATTAACATATAAAATATATTCACATTGAATTATACTTTTTTTGTATTTAAAAGATAATTACATCAACTACACTCTCTTTTCACATTATTTAACTTTATTTCTGAGGCCTGGTGTGGGCATAAACATAACATTTTTGTGACGCACGTGTTGCCCGTCCAGAGAATTAGCATTAAAATTAATAAACTAGAAGAAACTATGTGCTTGGGGGAATCGCCCTCAGTATACCATCCAAAAATCGCATATAAAAGCTTTTTTTTATATACTATCTAAAGCCCTCGACCGAGTTTTGTTGCTTTTTCTCTTCGAATTTTTTTCTTCTTTCTTTTTTTACATAGTTTTATCGTAGCGTTTTTTTTTTCATAGTTCCTTTATTTTTATTATTCCCCCCTCGGTTTTTAGTAGTTGTCGGCATTGCTCTCCATCTGCACTTGTGCTGAAGAGCCCGCGGAGGCTGCAGGACGAAGGATGCTGTGGAGATGAGAACCAGATTTTAGTTGCGTTTTGGCATTGACATTTATGCGCAACACGAAAGGAATAAATAAAAAAAACGAAGAAAAAAAAAAGAAACTGTAACACAAATTTTATGGCACATTATTATTTTTACTCAGCGTTGAGAATAAATTTTGCGGAAAAGGATGCAGGCGTCATAACGCGTTTTTATCCTTGCAAATGTTAATTTTTAATAAACTTTATGCGTCAAGAGTGTGTGTGGGGGGTGATCTTTAAGGGTCGCGTAAAAGTCAACTAAATGAACTGCTTACAAATGCCAGGACACTTGCTTGTTTCTTGGGATATTCTGATTTTTATTACTCACTGCAGTGGATAATGGGGAGGGGATTTTGGATATTTATTTTAAGAGGAAACTCTTCAATAAAAAAAAGTTTTATCGGAGCCGTTTAATTTAAAGTTCAAAGAATGCAAAAATGTGGTTTGAAGTGGTTGGAAATTAACATAAAATCACTTTTCAAATGTTCATAGATTTATTTTAGATATTATATTATTAAAAAAACAGAAAACGTTTCAAAATGGGTCCCATAAGTCCCTATTTTATTTGAAAATATTCATCATTAAATAAAATGTTTACATTCACAGTCTTCACATTCTTCTTTAAAAATTCTATAGACCTCCCCTCTGAGTAGGCCTATGACCAGCCTTTAACAGGATAATACCATAATATATACATATTATTATCCTGTAAAATGCAGGTCATATGCTTATTTTCAAGACTGACATTTTTGAGATCTTTGAAGTAGCCTTAGTTCTAGGAGGTCCTGACACAGTTTCAGGACTTGATAGCACCTGGCCAGGACCTGACGTTTACGGGCTATTCTAGCCTCCTGAGAGTCTTGCTCCTGGCAGCGGCGTTCCTTGAGAATCTTCTGGGTGTAGTAGGTCTGCAATTCCAGGCGCTGGCGTTGCATCTGCATCCGCTTCATATAAGGTCGGAGCTCGGATTGTCTTCGCCGCACCAAGTTGCACAGGGAGCAGGGTGGAGCTACCCGTTTCGATGGCATTTTCTGGAGTTTCTTGGAACCCTTTTTTCTTGACTTTTTCTCTTTGATTTCGCCTCTGCTGGCTATCTTAGGCCGAGGCTTCTTAATGGTTATCTCTGGGCAATAAATATCCAGCTTGTTGGGTTTCATAAAATCGGTGTCCCTGAAGCTTACTTCCGATCCATATTCATTCATGCATTCCATTATAATATCGGATAGGATTATGGGTGGGGGCACTTTTAAATCCTCGTTACTCTCGCGACTCGCCGAGTATGTTCTTCCAAACAATAAGGAGAGATTATCAGTTTGCTTGATCACTTTAAATTCGGAATCCAGAAAAGGAATCCTTATTTCCGGAGGCGCCAATAAGTCAAGAGGTTTGAGCATCGAAGACTTTCGCCTCTCAGTGAGGCAAACTTCCGGAAATCTTTGCACTTGATTCGTCTCAAGGCCATCGATCTTGAGCTGGCCATAGGGTTTAAAGTACTCCATGTGCCTCATCGCGATGGGCAGTGGCCAGTCGTATTGGAATTTGCTCTTGACCTCGGCCTTGGTCTCCTGATTCTCCTCTGAAACCAAGTCGAATCCATATGGGGTATTATCGAATTTTCTCCTGGATCTATCGGCCTTAAATGGAATATATTTTTCATCTGGTTTTGGTGAGTGCCAAGAGTGCGACTTCCTTATTGATTCCAATCGATGACTCTCGTGGGATCTTCGGCGAATTCGATGTTTATCCTTCATATTGGTAACTTGAGTAGCGGTCTTAATCCTGCCTCTTGGCGAGTGCCAGGAGTGCGCCTGCCTTAAGGATTTCGGTTGAAAGCTATTGGAAACTTTGTGGGGCTTATAGCCGGGTTTCACTAGCACTGGATCTGAGGATGTGCTTAGTTTTTCCACATGAGGATTTTCAATATTTTCCTTATTGGTTATAGATATTTCTTTTGGAAGAGTCTGCTTCTCTGGGATTTGTGGCTTCTCTCTCCGAATTCTTATTTTTACTTTTACTGCGAATTTATTTTTACTATTTTCAGATACTTGCGAAACTTTTGAGGATTTTTTTCTGAGATTTATTCTGGAAGGTTTTGGTTCTTTGGGTTTTTCTTGAAGTTTATGGGGAATGATTAGCAAAGAATCAATTGGAAGGGAAGCCTTTTTCAGCTTATTTTTCTTTTTTTGTACTTTAACGTGAGACTTCTCTTCTTCTTCTCTGAATTCAAGTACTTGCGACATTTTTGAGGATTTCTTTTTAAGAATAGATGTGGTAGGCGTTGATTCCTGCTTTTTTTCTTTGGCTCTATCAGGAAGGAACAATAAGGAATGATTTGTATGATTTTCTACTTTATCTTGTTTGAATTCAGACACTGGAAACATTTTTGAAAATTCATTTTTAAAGCTCGATCTGGAAGATTTTGATTCCTGGGACTTTTCTTGACTTTTAACATTTGGAAGATCAGGATTTTTCAGTTTACCTTTCAGATTTTCAGCTTGATCTTTGGATTCAAACACTGGAAACATTTTTGAGAATTCATTTTTGAAGCTCGATCTGGAAGACTTTGATTTCTGGTACTTTTCTTGGCTTTTAACACTTGGAAGATCATGAATTTTCAGTTCACCTCTACGATTTTCACCTTTATCTTTGAATTCAGACACTGGAAACATTTTTGAGAATTGGATTTTGAGGCTCGATCTGGAAGATTTTGATTCCTTGGCCTTTAAAGGAAGAAAGAACAAAGAATCAATTGGAAGACCAGGATCTTTCTGCTTATCTGTTTGATTTTCTACATTATCTTCTTCTTTAAATTCAAATGATTGCAACATTTTTAAGAATTCACTTTTGAAACTCGTCCTGGTTGCCTTTGGGTTTTCATCGTTTGATAGTTGAGCTTTGGAGAGGTTTTTAGGGGTCTTCGGGAGGATCTCATTCTTTGAGTTAAACCTTTCACTAACTGTGTCATAACTCTTGGATATATTAATAGACTTTCTGCTACTGGAATGTTTAATTTCCGGTTTAATCAATGAGCTTTTGCTGGATTTTGATGTAGATTTACTTGAACGTTTCCTAAGTCTGGCTGCTTCCGGTGCAGTTTTAATGGCATCTTTCGATGATCGATTGACATAGGGTCCGGATTTCGTAATGACTTCCGGTTGCTTTAAAGGCTTAATGGAAGATCGTCTTTTTATTTTTTTCAAAGATGATTTTATGGGTTCTTCTGGTGGACTTGGTAGTTCAATTAAGGGATGACGATTGGTCAATTTCCTGAGTTTTTTCAGTTTCTCGGTCAACTCCTCCGAACGATAAGGATCCTTGGATTGCATCAGGATCTGTCGCACCTTTCGTTCCTCGCGTTTCCATAACTTCCATTGCTCCGGAGACGAGTATTGGATAGAATTGAGTTCTTTTTTGACTGTAAATCGCTTAGGTGGATTCTTTGGCCTGGAGGAACTTTGGTCTTCACTACGAAAACAGGACACAAACTCCCGGTAAATGTGATCTTCCAAATCCACGCCTGGCGGCAGTGTAATCTCAGGTAGGGATATGTTCAAGTTCTTGCAAAGATAAGTCCTGGGTCCACCCGTTGGTGCCACTATCTTGGCGTTCTGCTCGATGCGCCTGCGAATGCTCGTCAGTCGCTCCTGGCAGCCGCTGGCATAGTAGCTCCATGTGGCCCGGAACAGCATGTCCTTGTTGGACATGCCCAAGTTGAGCTGTTTGATTAGTAGAGGCGACAGCTCCTCGATCTTGTTCCGCAGACATTGCCGATTCAGCACTGGGCTCTTCCTTAAAGCATTCATTTCTGAGCAGAAAAAGTAAAAGTTACACACAATTTTTACGATATTTGGTTACACAAAATAATTTTGAATACTTACTTGACAACTTGAATTGTATCTTCGGAGGCTTCTGGATGTTCTTGATACAATCGCTAAAGGTTTGGCCATGTCTGCTGGCTCTATTTATGAAAAGTATTTCTTGAGGCAAAGGTAACCATGATTATACGATTTATTAAGCTTCTGAAAATTAATTCTTAAGGTTTTAAAAATAAGGAGTAAGCCTAAAAAGGAAGCTTAGAAAGCAAGCTAAGAAAAACAGCTCAGAATGATGGCCTCTCGATTAAAATAAAGAAAAAAATCTCATAAAAAATATCACAGTTTAATAAATGTAAAAAACCAAAGAAAGATCAGTCAAACAAAATTGTTTCATGGGAAACTAGGGACCTATTTTTAAGGAAGCTCAGCCCAGTTTCGGGATTGGAAACACATCTGCAGCATGCATTTTGTGCTCTTATCCTGCGAAGTCGGAGTTGAGCTTCAACTAGTTGACCGCAAAGATTTAAAACAGCCTGGCATTGCTCCAATTGGCGGCGCATCTTGGCCCAATTGATACATTCTTTCGTTTTTACGGGTTTCCCCTTTATTTCGAAAGCGGAAACGGAAACCGAGTTACTTTTCCGCTGGCATATCTGTGGGTAATAGCGGCGAAGAGCTTCGCGATCCTGCTGCTTTATCTTCACTGGCAGAGGTTCATCCTGTTGGCTAAAGGACTTACACAGATTGTACAGGTCACAGTCAATCGGAAGATCTTCCGTTTGACAGGACACCGCTCTTGGTTTTGCAGAGATGCTGCCACAGATTTGAAAGTTTTTCACATTAAAAGAGTGATATTTACAGGGTATAGGAAAAGTCTGTGTTCGGCTGAAGGAAGAATCGCTGAGTTTTCTTGTGCACCGTTTCTTGATCAGGGAAGGCTTCTTGAGCAAAGGATCTTCTGGCTTTACTTTCCTATGCCTATGCTTCAAAGGTTTTGGCCACATTTTGGGCCAAGAGCTTCTGATAGCAATCGGGTTCTGGGAATGTGAAGCGAGAAAATCCGACTTGTACTTAACCAAATCAATGGGCTCGAAATAATAATTATTGAAGGCCTGGTGGGCATTGATGGATGTCGGTGGAAGCTGAGAGATGTATTGATCAATGGACGGAAAGCTGCTAAGCAAATTTCCCTCGTCTTTTGGCATTTCTGGTGTCATTATCATTTCGGGTTTCACCACTTTGCCTTTTAGTGGTGTTAACTCCTTAGCTTTGCGATTGGTATTATGTTTTGATTTATATGATCTTGTATCTTGTATGAATGTCACTCTCCGATCTTTAGAGTTTCTTGGACTACTATACTTCCATGATTGCCTTGGCGTTTTACCAGTGGATTTAAATGTCGTTTGGTCCTGTAAGGACTTCTTATTGCGACTTGACTTGGATGTTATTAAATTCTTTTTTGAAATCTCGAAGATGTCCTTGTTTCTGCTGGATTTGTGGGAAGAGATTTGATAATCCTTCTCAAAAGGAAAGTTTTTCTTTTTGTATCTTGTAAGAGGTAATTCGGGGAATGATAATTTCTTGGATCCAGAGAAACCCATTTCCTTGTTGATGTCTGTCATAAACTTGTTCAAATTTTTTCCATTGGTTGAAGATGATTTTTTAGATGCAGGGCATCTAAAATCTTCGGTGAAGTTTAGCTTACATTTATTTGAATAGTTTCTATTGTCCGACTTGATTTTCTTGTCGACGGAGGTATTGCTTTCCTTCCGTCTTCTGCATCTGGAATTATAAAGTCTAATGAGCTCGGACATCTCTGGATCGATCAATTTCCAGCAGTTGGGACGTGTATTGATTTCTGTCAAGTTCTTGGCACAACTGGATTCAAAGGGCAATTGCCAGCCGACTGTGATTAAAGGTGGAGAATTTAACAATTTTGGTAGCCGAAGGCCTCCAACGGCCGCTGTGGCAAATCCACGCCTGAGACTCCACATTATAATACTTAATATATAGACACTGGCTAAAGGGTTACAACACTGGTAAATAGGTAAACAAAATAAGTTACAGTGTTGAGAATTTGCTACGACACCGAATTTTGGCTAAAGCTTTTGACAAATTACTCCAATCGGTTTCGATATTATTAAAAGATTCAACCAAATTTAAATTAAATATATATTAAATAAGTTATTATGGTATTTTAATATTATTAAATTATTTCTTATATATCCTAGATGATATTCTTAATTTTTCTTTCTGCACTCTGCAAATTAAAATATTCATTTTCCGGTAAAACTTTATTATGCCCGGCAAGGCAGCCTTCCGCTTTGTTTTCCCCCATTTCCATTTCCATTTCCCAAGAGCGTTTCCCATGAGCTCCGCCCACATTTGCCATGAGAATAAGAATAATTGTTGTCTGTCCTGTGTGTGCCTGCCTTGAATTGCATTTCTATGCACATTGTGTATTTTCACAAAGCCTCAAAATGCCTCAGGGATGCCACGATTCTAACCGCATTCCTTTGGCCAACTGTTGGAAATTATCAAGGTGCTAGAATATGAATATTTGCAGTCGGTAATTATGAGGTGGCAGGATCTTAAATTGGTTGGAAGATGCAAACCATTTTTTAAGTTAAAGTTCTGAAATCTCTAAAAATTAATCAAACCATCTTAGGTAGTTTCATTACACTATAAATATTTGCACATATTTTATCTGTGATATCATTAATCTAGAATCTATTTTCTCATTTAATAATCATTATTATTCCCCATTGAAACTTTTAGAGGTTATTGCCCCATTAGGCACCTGAAGCTCCCTCTCGCATATTGTAATTATACCATTGTTTAAATAACAATTGCCATAAAATTACACCTTAGCACACATATGTGTAAATTCATTTTATGATTCAATATCCAAAAATACGAAATACCCTTGCCAAGTTCAAGTTCCGACCCAGTTACGATCCTTCAAGATTATCATATACACAGAATGGGTGGAAAAGAATTCTCCTAGCATCAGGGCACTGAGAGAAATCAGTATGCAATCTATGAAAATATGCCATATATTTAAATAATTGTAGGAATACTACATAATTGCAAAGTTTTTTATATTATTTAAGGAACTTTGTATTCTTAAAAAGGGATATAAAGTAAATCTTCAACGATTCTGTAGATATTACTCTATTCTTCTTCCGAAATCTTTATAAAATTGAACTTTAGAAATATTGTAAAATTAATTTAGTTAAAAATATATAAAAAACTCTTTAAGTGCCTTTCTTTAGATGAGATCGGTAGTATGTACATCTGGCTCTCTGACATCATAGTTAATAGCTTTTAGCAGCACTTTATCGCTTAAGTTGTTATTTGTGCTATTTTTTTTGGCAAAATAAACGAAGCTGGAAGCCTGTTTATTTACTCCCAGTAGCAGTGCTGGTGTGTGTGTATATATTTGTGAATAAAACATAAATTCCCTCACATCGCAGTGGATGTTAAAATAACACAGCTGCTGCTGCTTCTGTCTTTCCATTTGTGAAGCCACCTGAGTAAAAGTGATTTGTTCGAGTCAATGGCAATGGGGCTATAAACAAAGGGAACTGAAATTATAAAATTAACACACACACACACAGCACTCTGACGGACTGGAGGAAGTGTAAACATTCGATGACGGTTTATTAGCAATTAATTTAAATATTGCCATTGCCGGACGAAAGGTAAATGTCGGTCTCTGCCCCAGCGCGTGGCAAATAAACATTTGAAAACAAAAAATATAGAAAATAAACAAAGCGACTTACCATAATCAATTTCAAAGGGTTCTCATAATAATAAAGGCCGCGTGCTGTTAATTTTAATTGTTATTATCTGGCATTTAAGAAGCGAAAATCAACACATTAAGTTGTGTCATTTTAGGCAGTAAAAGATCAATGACGGTGTTTTTAGAGGCAAAAATAATAAAGTTTTATTTGTATTTTTAATGGGGAAAATTGAAAAAAAATATTTGCAAGCAATTCAATGGATAGGCAGGAATATTCTTTAATAAAAAAATATATTTATATTATGACACGACTTTTCAGGGAAAGAATATTCTTTAATAAAAATAAATATATTTATATTATGATGACTGAAGATTTTATTGATTTCTTCTCATTTAAATTATTACTAATATATGATATATACTTCCTTATTTTATTTTATTATTTTTTGCCTTCACAAAATCTTTAGCCAAGTGCCTTTAGCACTCAATTTGCGTCTGGATTTCCACCATTCTGTAAATTACAATTAATTACACAGCGCCCTTTGCCGCGATTCCCTGCGGTTTTCCAATTATCTAAATATGTTGGGGAAATCTTATGGCATTTCAATTAAATATGAATTTCCTGCGGTTCACCTAATTCCCATTGAAAAGCGAAACGCATTTTCCAGACAGTTTGTATATATGTACATATTTCATCATTTTAATGCATTCAAGTGCCAGAGCAACTGATTCCGAGTTCCCCGTTTTCCATTACAAAGTGAGGCTGCGGCTCAAAGCATAATTGCAAACAATTAGCATGCTCCAGGACTCGGGAGGCAGCAGGAGACCCAGGACTCAGGACGCAGGACTTGGGACTCAGGACTCAGGATTGGTAGAATCGCAATCGGATTCGCTGGCAAGTACGGTAATGACGTTTGGCATGGTAATAGATGGAATAGAAGTACTCACTTGACAGTGCCCTGTCATTGGCATTGTGCTATTCGCGGTAACGAAAGGAAACCCCCGGCTCTAAATCAATATCAGATTTCATACATGTAAGCCCAGGCAAACAGGGTCCATATGTCGGCACGCACAGTGCTGGTTATAAGAATAGCATCACTTGTATAGAAAAAGGTTCAGAAAATTCAAGAAACCTTTCTTTACAAAATTATATATATTTTTGTAATGGCTGAAAATATTTTCTTTCATATTTATATTTCTCATTTTATTCCCTACTTTTTTGCCTTGGTTTGTTTGTTAATGTAAAAATCACATGTCATTCTGGCCATGGCTTTTATCCAGTCACTGTTCTTGGCTTTGTGCTGCCAGCAGATGGATTATTTCATTTATTATTTCATTGGCATAAGGCAGGGACAGAGCATTATTAGACTTTGGTCCTCTGATAAATGTTTATGCGTACAGGCGACAAAAATAGCACAAAGCAATCCGGTTACATGTGCTGCTCGATGGGGGAAATAATAAAAAATGCAGAACGATTTTATTTCATTGTGACAAGACCTTTTTATAAAATAAAAATAAAACTGTCTACCGGGAAGCTCTGAATGTTATAATTTTTTGTTAGATATAATTTTTATTTAAAGATTTATTTGTATGATTAATATTCATTCAAAAATTCGATCTATTTATTCCCTGTACCTCATCAATTACCAATCATGATGATCTACTTTTAGCCATGTCTTACAAAGTTTATACAAAGTGCAGACATTACTCTTTCTAGATCAGACATATGACTATATATACTTATATATCTAGAAAGTGCAGTGGAGCAAGGTTGGTTTACAGATGCCATGTGCTGCATTTCCGTTCGATTGACTTTTTAATGGGCTTCACGGCGAGTTGATTGAGTTGAAATTTCACAGAAATTGGGCAGGCCAATTGCGTAAATCGAAATGCAGTAAACAATTATTTATTATTAAATGCTGAGATGGGGCATACCCCACAATTGGGGAAGCCTAATCAGCGAAGGAGCAACTTTTTCCCCAAAAGCCATTATTTACACTTATGAGAGACTCACACACACAAGCATGTGTATGCTAATATGCCAAGTACCCAGAGTAAATATTTTTTCAAAAACCCTAAAACCAAAACCGGGCCAAAGTCAGCAACATTAATGGCAACAATAACAGCAAACAAGCTAACATGGGGATAGCATATGGGTAAAACGACCCAGAGCTAAAGCCAAAGTTATGCCTAAGTGACGGCTTTTCCCCCATCTCGGAAAAACCCCACCGGAAAAACCGTACAAATTTCCCAGCCTGCGGCTACCAAAATAAATTAAAGTATTCCCCCCTTCGCACTTGCCCAAACTTTCTGCCTTGCTCTGCGTATTTTTTGTCTATTTTTTAATTTTCTACAATTTGCCCACATAAATAAATTCAAAGCGGAGAAATGTCCTGTGGCCAGGATTCTAATGATTGAAAAAAAAAAAAATGGAATGGAATGGAAAGGAGAAGAAGAAGTAATAAAAGTAGGACTCCTCTCTCTTCTCTTGGTCTCTGTCCTGGCTTTCAACTATTATTACCTTTGCAAAGACGTCTATTTGCTATTTCCTTGGGGATATTTACCCAAAATCCTCTCAGTGCCAAGATGCCTGGGCCTTCGGTTAGGGTATTACAAATTGACCGTTGTGCTGTAATTTAATTTGAATTCAGAGAAAGTTTACACCCAGTTGCAGCACACACACAAAAATATAGCCATAAAATATGCAACTTTGAAAAGAAATAAAAAAGGGAACGGCAACAAAAGGAGATTAAATTGCTGTCGACATTGGGCCACAATTTTTTCTAAATGGGCTCATTGAACTTGGCTTTAAAGACAGCGCCAGTTAATATAAAATGTTGCCTCTCTCTGGGAGGGGAAACATGGAAAAAGTTGGGACTGGTAAATGCCTGTGCAGGCTGTGTTACATTGAAATTTTGAATTTTAATAAGGGGAAAACGAGCATGTTTAAGCTTATTTATTATATGAAATACAAGCGTTTTAACAGCTTAATTTTTGTGATAAGAAGATGCTCTTCTTCTACAATTTCTAGTACAATTTTATCACGTATACGTCATGTGGCGCCATCGTGACCACCATAAAAATCTATTAAAAATCAATTTGTTTAGCGGCAGCTGTTGTGTGTATGTCCCAGATCAAGTCAAGAACTTTATCCTCGGCCCAAGGATTGTCTAATTAAAGTGCTCGAGGTCCGGGTGGAAATGTGGAAAAATTAATAAGCGCAACACGTGCAGCGGTTTTCGATTGCGATTTTCCTTCTTCGCCTGTTGCCAGGATATTTTCCACCTCCTTAGTAGCAGCAGGGGAGGGTCTTCTTCTGGACACCAGGCAATCCCAAAGTTTGTTGTGCAAACCGCTTTGAAGTCTAATAGGATTAGCTCGCCCACCAATTGTGGGGCTTTTCTTTCCTCCTCCCCCCGCTGCCTGTCTATGACAAATAAACGCCCCTTTTTCAGAGGCCTCTGACTGTGTGTGTGTATATCTGTTGGCCGGTATAAATAATATTCAATAATGTAAAGCAAATATTTAGTAAGCAAATATGCCTAGACTAGGGGAGATTTCTTATATCAGTAAATATTTATCCATGCCAGAAACGGGGGAAATGAGAAATCTCTGCTAAGCTTTTTATACCTTTATAAATAAGAAGCTGCCAAAGTCTAGGTTTTTTCCTAGAATTTCTCTGATATATATTCACTTGAATCTTTTCGCCCAAATTAGACAAGCCCTGAAGGAAATTTCATATAAATTTGCTGAATTTAATTTCATAAATAATAGTAACTGAATTTAATTTTGCCATAATAACACCTGAGGCATTGGAATTTTTGAAAGTCACGAAGGTGAGGGACATTTGTTTATTAAATTCAAGTTATTTGCTGACAGAAAAACAAGAATTCAATGGAAAAAAATGAAGCATTTAATAAACTACCGAAAGAAATATTTAACGAATTTGTTTCCAATAATATTTCAGCTTGCAAAAGTAGATATATTTAATAATATAAAATAAAATATAAAATTACCCCGATGAGACAACACAATAAATGCACTAAAGTGTACTAAAATTTCCGGTTCATGGTCCTTAGAGTCAGCCAGGTTCTTCATTGGTTCATCATTCTGCCATTCAAATTGGTTTTTAAGCCTTGTCAATCACGCGATCGTTGAACACAATCCTCAAGTCAGTCTTGGCCATGTTGCCGAAGGCGCCAACCAATTCCGTCAGATTGGCATTGGGCAGCCGCCTGTCGAAGGGGAAGCCCATGGTGCGTCTGTCAGGATACAGCTTGTCCTTCAAACCGCAGAAGGAGTAGGCAGTGCTGCAGGCATCATTGGGTCTAAAAAGGAGGCCAAGAAAGTCACAGAGTGATGATGGCTGAGTTAGGCTTCAAGGACTGCCTGCTTACGTATTGGGCTGCTGCACAGAGTCCTGGGTGTAATCGGAAATCATGACAAACAGATCGAAGAGCATGCCCTGGGCATTGCCCTTGGGGAGCAGGAGATGCTGGGGCCACCCACAGCCGCAGAAGCGGAACCGGGCCAGCTCATCGGCGGCCTTGGGTTGATAGTCAGCGCCCACCGGGCGGAAGGAGCGCTCGAAGGGAATGGCCACCGAGGAGTCCGTGGACTGGCGGCGAATAGTGTTCACACCGGGCACCACTGGGAATTGTGTTAATTAAAATTAATGGTTATTGCTTTAAAGTAAGGAGGAGGAAAGGAGACTCACAATCCACGGTGAACTTGTCCATCTCAATGGCCAACAGTCGCTGGTCCTCCAGCCTCAAAGGCTGATTGCGCTCATCCACCTTGGGACAGATGAAGATGCGGCAGGTACCCGTCCTCTTGGCTCCATTATTGGTCACATTGAAGGTATAAGTGTAGGGAGCATTCTGCAAATGGGTGAACGAAGCAAAGATATTGCCATCGGCCGAAGGACCAAAGTCCAGACCAGCGGCCAAATCAGCACTGGACTTTTGCCAGTAGGTCAATAAAGTATTAGCCTTGGTATTGGACTTGCCAATCTTGGCCTCAATGTAGTCCACAGTGACGCCATCAAAGTTCAATTGGGAGGCATTGTACGGGTCCAGGCGGGCCTTGAACTTGTTGAACACCGAGTCAATGAATCCGTGCCACCTGTAGAAGACAGGATCCCTCATGGCCGTGGTCACATCGCCCATCACGCCGAATTCCTCCAAATGCCTGGCATCGGGATCGTGGGCAAAGGAGATGATATTATGTCCCTGGTTGTGCAGGTTGCCATAGAAGTTGCTATTGATGGAGAGAACCGGCGAGGCCTCGATCATGTTGCCCAGAATATCAATGCCACGGACATCGTCCAACTGAGTGCGGTTGCCAGAGGCCTAGAAAAAGTAGGGAAACCAATAGAATAATATAAGAAAATTCCACAAATGTTCTTAAAACTCACATCCTCGACATAACCCTGATCGATGGCCGCAAGGACACGATCGCGCCAGCGTTCCACCTCGGAGATTTCAATGTTGGCATCCTCACGGTCCACATCCCTTAGCAGCTGATTCGACACACGAGCGGGATAGGTGCGATTGTTAACGCTGGACAGGATCTTGGGGAAATAGCCCTCGGGGATCTCCACTCGCAGATTATTCAGCGGCTGGACACGCTTCAGGTTGTTGCAGAAACGCTCCACATTGTAGCGGGCCAGGATCTGGTGGTGCATGTAGTAGAAGAGCTCGCCACGGCGATCCTTGTTCACCACCTCCATGGGACCGGTGGTGGGGTAGACCAAGTGCCAGTGCCAATGATGGCTATTAACGCCAATATCCTCACGGAAGTAGGCCAAACGCTGCTCATCCTCCCGATCTGAGGCTGTGTAGTTGCGAGGAATATCCACATGGACACGCTCACCGCTGTCTCCAATCACAGAGGCCTCCTGACGGGCATCCTGGTATGCAGAAAGGATAACGATTTATAGAAGTTAAAGAAAGGATTCAGGATAGGGCCAAGACTCACCCGGAAGACAGAGGGCTCCACAAAGTTGCTGGGAAAGACCTGGGAGATATTGGTAATGGGCACCTCACGTGTATCCGGACGATGGGCAATGGCCACGGCATAGGCGTACTGGAACAGCACGGGGTTCACTCGATCCCTGGAAAGGAAAACACACTTAGAGTTCTTCAAGAAACCATAAAGAAGACTCCCAAATAAACTCACTTGGTATAAACAGACAGCGACACAAACTGCCTTAGATTAGGGGCTCCCATGAAGAGTGTAATAAGTTGACTGGCAATCTCCCGATGACGATCATTGAACAGCGAAAACTGATGCTTGGGACCCAGCTTCTTGGTGAAGTCCAAGTTGGGAATGTTGGCCAGCTCCTGGACTGGAATCTTTAGATCCACATCCTTGGAGAAGCGATTGCCCACCGTCTCAGTATCATTGCGATACCGATCCGTATAGAAGCTATCGGGCAGTTCCAGGACAGTCTTGCCAGAGTCACGGGTGGTGAACACCGGCTCCAGGGGACGCTGGAACAGCAGCTCCAAGGCTTTCAGATCCGTGTTGGTCATGATTTCGCTGAGAACTTTGCCACTCAAAGGTTATTTGAGAAGTGTGTTTTTGTGAGGCAAGTGTAAGGGTTTTTATAGCTGGAAATTAGTGAAAATAAATATTAAAATTATATTTCAACCACAAACTGCAAGGGTCGAGCGGTTTTTCTAAGATAAAACAAGCGGTTAAATTGCTGGTGAAGATAAAACTTGCTCCGGTTCTATATTTATTTTCTATTAAAATGTGAGAAAGAGAAATTTGAAACCGCAATGTGATAAGAAGTCTTCATAATGCATTTTTTAATCAGTAAGGCAATGGTTAAATTGTTTAATTTAATCAGTTTTTTTTTTAACTCTTTTAAGCATCATTAACCAATACTTACAAAATTTCCAATCAATTATTTTAAAGCTCCGCCAAGTCATTACTACTTTCTATGTTATGGCTTCTTTGAATTTCTAAAACTTTGCCATCAAATACGAGGGAAACCTTTTCGCGAAATAGAACTCTTCGTGAAAGTTAACAGCCTCAAGGACAAGCATCTTATGCTCATAGAATTAACAACGAAAACTTTCGGTTACTCAACAGGCTGCCACAGGACCTGCTCCTCCTTGGCCCATAAATTGTACATCTCCCTCCTTCGACGTGGCCCATAAATTAGATTTCGGAAAGGCGAAAGGCATGTAACTAAGAACTTACAACAGCCGAGAGCTTTGATGATTAAAATATCTCTACACTGTAAATCAATTTTTGTCGTCCAGTCCAGAACGAGAGAGAGAGAGCGAGGAAAAGCGGAAACCAAAACTTTTTTGGCCATTGTCAATAATAAATGTTCGCCTGCCGACTTTGGCGTTGAAATGTGTGCGCATTAATCTGTGAAATTGACAGCAAAGTTTGGTACATAGAGGAGGAGCAGAGTTTGCATAGAAATGCGGGCTTGAGAGGGGAAATTGAAAAGATGAATTTTCACAATTTCTGCACTTCGGACATAACAACATGAAAATGACATTTTAGAGTCAAGTTGGGGCAAAACAACACATGGAAAATACCCTAAGTCCTTTTTTCTATGAGGAGTTTTATTTAAAGTTAAGTGAGAGTGGCAGAAAATATTTGTAATATATATAAAAGTGAATAATATTTGTGATATATTTATAATTTAATAATTTCTTTACTTTTTTTTATATTAAATCTAAATTTAGAGAGAATTTCCCAGTCGACTTTCCTCGCCAGTAAAAGCACTTGACTTTTCGCTTGCTCTTGCGCAAATATTTATCCCAGCAATGTCATTTTTCATTGAATATTCTATGGCAGCAGCCATGGTAAATGTGCTCCAGATTCTTCTTGGCCAGAAAAGACAAACTTGCCTTAATTAATTATAAAGTGTAAAATGTGTAAAGTATGTGAAGACTGTCTTTAATTTGCTTGAATCAAATTAAAGCCGTGGGTTTTCTACCCCTAAAAATCACGTTTGAAAAGTTTGCTTTAACCGCGGAAAATGAAACACTGACTTTACCACCCAAAAAACAAAACTTTTAAAGAAGAAGTCTTAAAAACCAAGCAACTTTGTAAAAGTCGCTCCACTCTTTTCCCGTATGGCATCTGAGTCATAAAAAGGCTTCTTCTGGCTGCCTCCGTGTTAATTACTCGCCGACTTTGCCCAGCCGATCCCAACTTCAAATTTTAGATTTCGGCTTAAGTACTTTGCGGCAAAGAAAAAACAAAAATAAAAAACATCAACACCAAACCCTAAACTATTCATTAGTTGCGGCTTAACCGCAGGAATTTGCGGCACACACACACACACAGGGCTCTTATCAAAATTTTGAGGTAACCGCCTCTCGCTTTCAATTGTTTGCTCACTTGGGCACGAAACTGATTAAAATTTCATGGCTCTAATCTGTTGGCAACTTATCAGTTCGTTAAGTGGTTGAGGAGAGGAGAGAGTTGTTCTTTTTGTGTAAACATTTCAGGGGGAAAGGGTATCCCTTATCCCTTATCCTTTTTACTTTGAAAGTTCAGGGATATTGTTCTTTTCTTTTTATGTGAAAAGTGAGATTTAATGGCTTTTATGTCAGTCGAGAATATTCTTTATCCTTTAACTCGTAATATTTGTTGGTCTGCATTATGTCATTATTAAATCCTTACTTAAAGAGAAGATAGTAAAGAAAATCTTGAACTTGGTTTATAATATTTAACACAATTATTCCCTTATATATATTGAATTACTAGCTTAATATAATTATTATTATACTGTATTATTTGGTATAGTTTGGAATACAGTTAATCAATAATTCAAGGTATTTTAATTGAAAGTCAACCTTAGAAATCTTTGCTCATTTTATTGACTTTCACTTATTTTTTCCCACTCTTTTCCATTTAAATGAACATCATATTATTTACACCTGAACCCAATTTAACGACTTCTTTGTTCTTTTTTTAAACATATGCACATGGCACTTAAATTAATGTTCCAAATTTTCACGATTTCTACCACTTATTATCCCCTTTCCCTTTTCCAGCCATTAAAACTTTCTCTACAATTATCCTTTCTCCCAAGAGCTCTAACAACATTGTTTTTAATTGTTGTTCAAGTAGACACCATGACATTTTCCTCTGGATTTCTGAACTTTATTAATTACAAATACTTGCTCTTAGCTATTTGCCATAAAATATAATTTATGCTTCGAATTATTCAGCAAACTAATATAGAATTACAGTAACAAACTGATTAATTTGTTAAAGATTCCAATTTCCATTCCTTTTCTACTTGCGTTGATGGGTTTTCCTTTGTTTTGTGTTCGTGGGAAATGTTTCTAATCAGAAAACTGCACATATTGTGTGACACTTTGTGGGCGTGGTGTGATGACGATAGAAGTTTCATAAATTAACTTTGGTCCTGGCCCAAAGACAGATGACAGCGGCAACTCGGCCAATTAACAGTTGGCCCTAATTGGTTTGGGGATGGAACGCAAGCCAGGAGCGGCAGAGAAGGGTTCTCTTGGCCAACATTGATGTTGGCAGCAAACAGCTCTAGTTTTGGCCATCAAATCGAGTGACAGGCGACTTTACTAAACTTCATTGTAATGAGACACATACACACTGCCTTTTGCAAATCCCTGACATCTAATTAGAATGTATTCCTGCAGAGCTCATGGGCAGAGGGGAAGAGAGGGAGACTAAAGGAAAACAGAAATGAAATTTAAGAACAGGAAAGAAAAGTGAAAATGAAAGGGAAATTTTGGGTTGAAAAAAGGGTAAGACTTTGAAAGGAAGCTGGAAGAGGAGTTGTGGTTCTATGGCACCGGACATGTCAGGAAATAAAGAGAATATTCTTTTAATAAAAAATAATATAAAAATATGTTTAAATTTCATACTTAAATAGGAGAATATGAGTGTAATGATATATATATTATCTACCTTATTAATGCCAGTTTAACTGTTTTAAAATGCATTGATGTCTTTTAATTTCTAAATATAACTTTTAAAAGTAATCAACATTTCTTTATTATTTTAACAACTAAAAATATCCTTTCAATTGTCCCACAATCATCTCTATTCCTCACAAATCTTGATTGAAAGACACAGATAGAAAGTGGGCTTTCTTCCCCTTGGGAAAACTGCAACTGGAGACACATGTCCTCATCGGAAGTCCTTTCAGTTTCAGTTCCAGTTACATTTACAGTTCCAGTTGGTAACTGTAACAAATCATCAAACTGATGACATTGTCACATTTCTCACCTGCGAAGGTGTACTAGGGTGTGTGTTGGTTATTAGTTGCCCCACCGCCTCATCATCTGTCAAATGCCAAATTGTGGCAGCTGGTTCAGCTTCTGTCGCGCCAAATGCCAGTCGAAACAAGCTCAAAAACACAGGCAGGACGAAGGTTCTCTCAACCAGTTGATGCCACAATGTTTCTATGTCAGTGAGAGAAAATATTAGGTCATTTCAAATTTATCATTTAATCATAAAAAATGTCATAAAAAGAACTATGATATGAATAATTTGGGTTTGTTTTCTTTTGTTTATAAAATCTTGAAAGCAGTAAAGGAGCCATTTCCGACCCCATAAATCATATATATTTTTGATCAGCATAAAAAGACAAATCGATCTAGGCATGTTTGAAGGAAAATAATTTTTTCTTAATTTTTTTAGAACTTTATGAGGATAACTATAAAAAAATGGTAAAAAAAATAATTTTTTAACATTTCAAATTGAGTATGCAGATTTATTAACTTAATAAAAACTAGCATAGGAACGCTTTCCGAGTTGAAATCAATGTATTTTTGGCTTAGTTATGATATTTGGAAAAGTGCGATTTTCCCAAAAAAAATTATCTTATAAAAATGTTTATCTAAAGTCCCTTTGAGGGACATATATTGTAGGTATTTTTGTTAAAGGAGCCAATTCCGACCCCATAAGTCATATATATTCTTGATCTGCATAAAAAGACGAATCTATCTAGGCTTGTTTGAAGGAAAATATTTTTTTTTAATTTTTTCAATAATTTTATATCGTTAAAATTGTCAAAAATCGGCAAAAAAATTTAAAATTTGTTCCCTTTTAACTGAGTATGCAGGTTAATTACCCTAATAAAAACAAACTTAGCCCTGCTTTTTGAATTAGAATTAATGCGTTTTTCGCTTAGGTATTAGTTTTTTAAACTTGGATTTGTTGCACAAATTTTCATTTAAAAATATAAATAATATCGACTAAAAAATTGTATCGAAGCTTTAGTTAGAAGCTTAAAACGCATTGAAGGATTCGTTTTTGACCCCACATATCATATATGTATATTCTTGATCTGCATGAACAGACGAATCTTTCTAGCTATCTCCGGCAGAAAATAATTTTTTTCAAAAATGTTCCATTTTTGCAAAAAACTGGGTATGCAGAATTGTTAACCTCATAAAAACTAATATGGGACCGCTTTCCGAATTGAAATTAATGCATTTTTGGATTAGTTATGAGTTTTGTAATTTTTGATTTCTGAACATAAAACACACATATCAAAATATCGAATATTTCTGTTTCGATCCAATAATTAAATTGCTAACTGCAATGGTCTATAAACTTCGTTTTTCCGGCGTATAATTCCTTTTTTTGTGCTCAATCAATTAATTATAGTAGCAAACATAATATTTAAAATATTTTAAATTCCCCAAATATATATTCTTTTCGTATTTAAATTTTTCTCTGTGCATTTCCATCGCTTTGTCCCTGTCCCTGTCCCTGCCTTCAACTGTCTGTCTGTGTCTGGGCGCAGGTAATTGAACAACATTTGTGGAATGACATGGAAAGAATTGCCCTGAAAGGAGGAGGTGGCAGCAACAGTTACATTTGCAGGATTCCAACCTTCGCAGAGGAGGAGCAACATCATCTGGTTGGTGGGGAAAAATAAAGGTTGGGACTGAGGAGGAGACGACAGGCGTGAGTTGGACAGGAAAATACAGACAGGTGGCGGCGGGTGATTTTCTGCAATATTAACTCGGTGGCCATATGCTCACCTCCGCTGATTTGTCATACGCACATTTATTTATTAAGCCCTTGAAGAGGGTACTATTATTTAGGACAGGAGTCTTATGCCTTGAAATGTAACCATTATTTCCACGCAAGCAAATGAATAAGGATTATAATTTGTAAGAAATGTGTAGTTGGGGAAGCTGGAAACTAATCCATAATATTTCAAATTTAAAGCGAAAGAGAAGTCGTTGTCAAGGTGATGTAAATCGATTTAAATTCATCTACTTGGGTCGCTTTTTCTCGCTTAATCGCTGAACCCTGGCCACCAGGTAACCCGTGATCCATTTAAATCCCAACTGTTTGCTGTGATACCTGAACTCAATGTGAACCGGGGTCTCCATCTCCACGGCAGGCAGATTATTCAGATCCAAACGAAAACCCCTGATATAGTAAGAGATATTTGCCTTGAAGGGACACTGCTTGGGGAAGTTACTGAAACGATCCATTATGTTGCGACCCAAACGCATGAGTGGAACCTGATTGCGATTCGACAGCAACTGGCAGCCATCGGTGGTAAGGTCGAGCAGGACAAAGTCCTTCAAGGGACTCGCTCTTGGCAGGACAATTTTCATGGAAAAATCATGCTCGTTCACAGGCTGAGCCAGCTTAAATTCCATGTTCCAGCTACGTCGTTTAGAGTTCTTATTCAAGCCACAGTGAAATTCTCTTATAATCTTGTACTCTGCATCCTCGCTGCTGCAGGTAAAATTATCAGTTTGCAGCTCGAAATTATTCTGCAATCATTTAAAATGATTGTTTATTTTTTTCATATATATGAATATATCACGTATACGCACCTTGGCCTCTGCATTTAATTTCCAATTAGGGAAAATACATACAATGGCGGCCACAATGCACAATTTCGAAATCTTGGGTTTCAACTCCATCCTCGAGGCTGGTTTGAACACCGGCGGTTTTAATTATGCAATCCAACTGGAATTGATGCCCAAATGCATTGCAAAATTCAGTATAGTAATCAGTCGATGCGTGACTAATGATGGCATAATAATTATTATTGTTGTTATGATGGACCAGCAGATGACTTAAACCCAGACAAAATCGATGCGTTTATTGAGCTGAAACAATCTCATTTGATTGTTTCATTATAAACAATATGTATTTATGTAGAACAAGGGAAAATGTGGTTTGTATAACGTATAAACTTTAAAGTTTACATTGATTTTAGGGCACCTTTGTTTGGAAACACTTAAAGTATGTCTACTCTTATAATCGGATCATTATTAATCCCCCCGTAATCACTTTGACAATTAACGCTCTTTGCAAAAAAAGAACAACATTACTAATTATAAATGAGAGTAATTAGTCAAATGGATTACCGTCTGTGTACAAGTGAGCAGCTCGCAATTAACCATGGCAAATAATAAAATTTTAATCTCAGTTCGCGCGAGCTGCTTTCAACATAATGTATCGCAAATTCTGTGTGAAAATTGTGTTAATTATTTTCGGTATTTATTTTGTCCAAGCCAAGGTACATGTATATTAAATTTTAAATTAAACATTAAAGGTGCGTGCTATTAAAGTGTTTGATTGTAGGCCAACTTTGATATGGTTTTCACCAACTGCACTTGCTACAGCGAAGATCCCGAGGAGATGTTGTCGCATCTCAAGTGTGGCCTGAGTAAGAGTGTCAAGAGGCCCTCCTTCAACATTGAGTTGCAGTTCCAAAAGCCTGTGGCCAAGTTCTTTGTCAATATGCGAATTGTCCTGCCCAGGAGGATAGGTGACGACTTCACCCTATTCAATCTCTCTGCCATCGATGGCTGCAGCCTGCTCTCGAATAAAAACCAGATAGCATTTATCCAACTGGGGCGAAAGCACATGGATCGCTTCAGCAATGTTCCCAAGCGTTGTCCTTGGCCCAAGGATGTGTCTTATTATGTGCGTGGTTTCCGCGCGGATATGGCCGCCATGCCGGCCTTTAACTTCGAGTCGGACATGAATCTATGGTTCGACTTTGTGGTGAATCACCATAAGGTGATCCGGGGGTTCATCCAGAGTAAGGTGCAGCAACGGAGGACGCACAAAAGGGGCCATGAGGATGAGTGATTGGAATCGAGCATGGAAAGAAATTTTGGAATGAATATTGAAAATATAATAAATATTACTAATATACAAAAGGATTTAAATATTTCTACTTTAATTGGTTTGATTCCTTGGAAAGTTGAGTTTTTATTAATAATATATGATAATACTTTGTTCTAAAGCTATATCTGGAGCTAGGAAATATGCTTGCAGGGTATTATAATTTAAGTCAGAAGATTGAAACACATTGAAGGAGTCATTTCCAACCCCATATATCATATATATTCTTGATCTGCATGAAAAGCCGAATCGATTGAGCCACCTCCGGAAGAAAAAATGTTTTTCAAAAATTTGAACATTTTTTAAGCCGTTAAAAATTGTCAAAAATTGGAAAAAATGTTAATTTTTATACATTTTAAATTTAGTATGCAGATTTATTAATTTAATAAAAACTAACATAGAACACTTGTCCGAATTAAAATTAATGGTGTTTTGGCCTAGTTATGAGGTTTTTAAACATTCTTTAGTCGAAAATTTTAAATATAAATATCGAATATTTGAGACTTAGTTACTTCCAATTCGATTTTATAATTTAATGTTTAGCCATTAATTTAGCATTTTAAATAAAGCTACTTAATTTTATAAATTTTAAACTAGTTTCCCTTAAGACACCCATGGCGTATACTTAATTTAGGGGTCGCACGTTAAGTATACGCCATGTATGCCACTTTTGTCTTCAATTAAAGACTATTTTTACTCTTGAAGGGAATTATAATTTTAGTCAGAAGCTTGTAACGACTTCAAGGAATCATTTCCGATCCCATAAAGCATATATATTCTTGATCAGCATAAAAATACGAATCGATTTAGGCATGTTTGAAGGAAAATAATTTTTTTTTTTATACGGCAATAATTGGCAAAAAAAATAGTAAAAAATTTTAAATTTTTTTAGATTTTAAATTGAGTATGCAGATTTATTAATCTAATAAAAACTAGCATAGAATCACTTTCCGAATTGAAATCAATGGACTTTTGGCTTAGTTATGATATTTGGAAAAGTGCGATTTTCCCAAAAAACATAATTTTATAAAAATGATGATCTAAAGTCCCTTTAAAAAAGTTTTTTAGGTATTCTGAATCAAGAAGTCATTTCCGACCCTATAAACCATATATATTCTTGATCAGATTCATTAGCCAAGTCGATCTAGCCCTGTTTGAAAGAATATATTTTTTTTTAATTTTTTCATAATTTTTGTTTGTTATTTTCTTGTTAAAATTGCCACAAAAAATTAAAAATTTTTTTTTTTCAAAATTTTATTTGTTAACATTATAAAAACTAGCATAGAACAGCTTTCCGAATTGGAATGAATTAATTTTTGGTTGAGTTATGGGTTTTTTAAGCTTTGATTTGTCGTAGAAATTGTCATATAAAAAGATATATAATTGCAATATAATTGATTTAAAGACTGCGAATGTCTTAAGCTTAGTTGGGATCTATTTCCGATTCGATCTTGAAAATCACTTGAAAACTGCATGGGTATATAAACGGTGGTCTCCCAAAGTTGGTCTATTATTTTGTTTCTTAAATTTAATTTAAGACATAAATATTTTTTTTACTTTAGCTGGTGTTTAATTTTACTAAGTTTTATCTTCGTTTTTGTTTGTATTATTTTAAAAATATTTTAATAATTTTAATTAGTTCCCTAATATTATTTTTTCTTTGTGTAATTCATGTGTGCAGGTGGTCAATGGAATGAATAAAATTACGGCAATTGAGTTTGCTCCCTGTGTTCCATTTTCCTTTGCCTCCCATTGGTCAGCACCCGAACCCACTTGGGCTCTTGTCCAGCAGTTTTTCCAGCTTTTCCACCGTTGCCCCGGCAACCCCGGCTGTCTTCGCCTGCTTTTTTTATGGGGGCACGTGCCGCTTTTTTCGGTTGCCCGCCAACTCCAAACCCCTCAGAAAAGACGAGAGAAAAAAGAACGCCACATGCGGCGGGCAGAATTAAAAATTCCAAACTCGTTTCGACCTCTTACAAGGCGATTTCGCCTTAACGTGGTTATTAGGTAGCAGCGCTTCCGAATAAGCCAAATTTGCTTAAATGAATGCCGGACCATTCGGCGTGCGGGAATTTTCCCAGATGCTGGTCATATCTCACACCCCCCCGGGGGTTTATTTCCTCTTGTTAATCTCCTTTAAAGATAATTTCCTTACTTCTTTTTTGCTGCAAAATGCCCGATCGATCACATATCGGCAAGGAGGTTGGTTTATACCTCAAACCCTTCTTCTGTTGAAACATGACTGCTAAGAGGCGATAACACGGATTTCCATGGAAAAGGAATTAAGCTTTTACTGGAAAAGGTTTTATGGAGGCTTTGTTTAAAAGTAATATCTCTGGGATGAAATATCATAAAATTTGCAAGAACTAACTAAAAGCTCATGTTTAAGTATTTATATTTGCAATTATTTTAACGCGTTATTTACTAAAAGCTTTTTCCCTTAATTTATTTGCATTCCTCTCACAAAATCGCAACTAAATACCCAACAAAAACAAGGCTAAGAACAACAAACACGCACACTTGTAATTGCTATATATTTTACAAATTAATTAAAAAATCCCTTGTTTTTGCTTTCATTGATTGTGTGTAATCCTGTTTACGTATTTTTATGTTGAATGCAAAATACACACAAGGTTATTTTTGCTATTTTTGCTGCATAGTTGTTTGTTGAATGAAAAACCTATGCACATTTTGTGAAATTGGAAATTTGCTTTGAGGTTTGATTTTGGAGCTATAACCAACAGTGATTACACTAGACGGCAAAAATATGGGGACCTTGAAAAAATATAAATAAATTAAACATAAAACATGATTTTTTCAATGTCATGCAAATTTACTAAAAGTATTAAAATAATTACTGGGGCCTAGGAAATCTTAAAAGTAGACTATAATGTATTTTAGCTAATAAACTCTTCAGTATTGTGATCTGTATAAAAGGATATTGAATATAAATATTTTGTTGACATAGAAAATTATTTTAGATCATTATAAAAATAAAATTTTTTACTATTTCTGTAACACAACCTCTTTATTAAAAGTCAAACTTCCCATTGGGCCCCACAATAGCTCTTAACCTTGTGACCTAGTGTTATATCTTAACTTTGGCAGGAAAAACACACACAAATTTTCCCCCTTAGCAAGAGGAAAACTCTTGACTTGGCCAAAAGGGAAAAAATCCAAGTATCATCAGCCTAATCATGTGGAATAAGGCGGAAACGGAAATTGCACACACGTACGCACCCAAACAGTTGCAAATGCCATCGCCGCACGTTTGCGTGTGTGTGTGTAAGCCAACACACCACAGCACACATGCATATGTCCGGGGCTCACCAGATGCGAGAAATCATCTGCTATATATATGCTATATATGCCACCTGCCACCTGCTGGTCTCCGGAAATGTTGGAAATGAAAATTTTGCGGTACAATCCTGAACACACGTTTACCCCTTGTCTCTGGGGGATTGGAAAGCCAAGTGGTTTTCCTGCATTTTCCGCATTTATAGGAGGCCTGAGCTGTGTAATGGCATATTAATCAAAATTGCATCGCATAGCTAACCGAATTCTCTCTTCGACCAGGTTATAGAGCTGCGGGCTGCCATGTATGGGTTAATTTTATCGGCATTTTGGACACGTTATCAGGAGGCATGAAATTAGTAGCTTATGACGTGTTAGGGTGACTCGTGATGATAAATATTCTCTTCAGGGATATTCCTAACTTTCCCAAAAGTTTAAACACCAAGTTCACAATGAATTTAGAATTATTTAATAAAGTTAAAATATTTTTACGTTTTGGAAAATGACCTTACATTTTATGCAGCTCACTTTTAGGCGCATGTTTCAATTATTTCTTTCACATTTTTACCATTAATATTTATTAATAAAATTAATATATACTCACTCTTTCCTTTTCTTGCCTTAACTAATCTCTGAATTTTCATAATGTCAACACAGCACCCCCCCCGTTGACATTGTGCTGTTATCAGAATTTGGCTTTTGGCTCATAAAAAAAACCCCAACAGCTGTCACTGTGTTGCGGCTTGCGGTTATTTTGTTGCCATTTTCCCCCTGCCTTTTGGCTGCAAATTAACGCGAGCAGCACCTGTGGCAGAAAAAAAAACAAACGCGAAAAAATTGATCAATATGGGGAAAAACCCCAGTTGTTAGTCGTCTCGCCTTCGCGCTAAATGGTTTCGAAATGTTTTCCATTTAAGTTCTCAGCTCTCATTGTTTCAACTAGCTGAATGAAAAAGTGTTTTCCACCATAAATATTTTCATATCAATGTGCTGTTGCCTACATAACAAAAAATAAAACGAAAATAAATTAAAACAATACAAATGGAAGCCCATCGGAGAGCATACAATGCCAGGGGTATATATCGCAGAAAAAAGTCAATTAAAATAAATATAGAGAAAGTTCGTTTGGTTTTAAGTAAAAATATGAACAAAAATGTATATAAGACACAATGAAAAAATTGATTATATTTGGTAAAATAGTAATATATCGCAGAAAAAAGTCAATTAAAATAAATACAGAGAAAGTTCGTTTGGTTTTAAGTAAAAACATAAACAAAAATTTATATAAGACACAATGAACAATGAAATATATTTGGTAAAATAGTAATCTGTTTAAATTATAGATTATGAAACTTTATTTTTTGACTTTGAAAGGGTTATAAATTGTTAATAAAATATTTTTAAAGGAATGCATGTTTGTTTTACATTTGAGCAAATACTTTAAGCTTTAATTTATGTATTTTATGTTTATCCTGCGTTTCGATTTGTGGGTTCTTAATGGTTTAAAAAAAGAAGTTATCCATAAAATGTGTGTCTTTATTGTCCGCTTTTTTCTTATATATATTTGCAGGATTGCCACGCCCCAAGGAGCGCTTAAAGCGGCGCACCGGCCCCACCATTCCCATGCCAGCCCGGAAGGGGCTGCTAGCGCCCCAGAACACATTCCTGGA